ATCACCTGATAGCGCCCTCGTAAATGAAAATGTTCTGTTTTGTTAATGTACGAAATCACTGCAACAGACGTTTAGCCTTTGCTATTTTTACTCCTTTCACCCGGTGGTGCATGCGCGCAATTCTCTCCCCCACGATACAGCTTCGCAAAATTCGTTCGAAGTACTTTAAAACCCAATGAAAAATTGATTCCACACCGACATGATTAATCGAGTGACCTCCATTTCGTGTCAGGTATATCTACTAGTCCTACTGAAACTGCTGAATAATTCTGTTTCGCTGTTGGCCAACATTGACGTTCAAATTGAAAGGGTCTCACTGTACCCGAACTAAGTTCATTCTCAATTAAAATACCTTTCGAAGAATAACATATGGTTGAACGAAAACAAGGTACTAACACGAGGTTCGAGTTTCGAGCTCTGTACAAACAGAGCCAACTCCGGAGCTTCGAATGGGATTGCGAAGCGGAAAAGCAAAAGGTAAAAGGGGATGATGCTCAGGGAAGTCGGCTACGTTCGAACTTCTCAAGGGACACGGGTATAAAACCCGTCGAAATCGAACTTCCGGTATTTACGATCGTTTTGTTACATACTCTAAAAAAGAGGATAAATGATCGTCGGTTGATAGCTAGGGACTCGTAACTCGAAACTGAAATGAATTTGAAACTTACATCTTTTCTTTTTTGAAAAGATAGGATCAATCAACGGTAGCCATGGAGATTCTAAAGTTAAATCGTCTCTGCATAATTTCTTTCGGTCGCGTGCTAGCGGAACCGTTTCTGCTTAGCTAACCCGAAGAAATTCCTATAACGAAGCTCTGTCTCCCCACGACCGTCCAAATATCTCGCGTTCCTGCTGCATATTTAGCAGACATATTTAAAAGCCTGCTATTTCAAACCTCGACTTTGTTCCTTACACACGATACACGTGACGCAAACCGCGATTGTAAGTTATGCAAAATTTAGAAAAAGCTTTAACTGACTTTGCTTCTCGCTCGACGACCCAAATTTCGAACAATGCAGCGCGCCACGATCAAAAGCACTAGTAGGATCGTTGCACGAATTCGCGTGCTTCAAAGGACCTCGGTGTTCTCTTCTTGCCGAGCACAAACAATACGAGGAACGCGAAATAGCTCGGTAATCGGGCGAAGAATGGCGTCGTATTTTCAGGGGCAAAAAGTTTCGAGGGGAGGAACAGAAACTCGGTCGGAATTTAGCGGCTGTGTACCGTAAGATTTCTTGCTCGTTCCGAGCCATTTCTAATTGGCACTGCAGAAACAGCTCCTCCAGTATTCGACGGAGGAATTTCATTCGACCATTGTGGAGAGCCAACTGAATCGTGGAATTGTAACAAAGACGATTCTTTCACCGATGGTTAATGGCCTGGTTCGAATTCATTTCTCAATCTTTTCAAATTAGGTACCTTCAGCAGCAAGTCAGTTTTCCCCGAGAAAATGGCGATGTCCCGGCTTCCCACCTTTCCCCGTAGGTATCTCCGGGGAGAATGACCAATGTAGTCATATATGTGACTTGCATATAAACTTTTACGAACAGACATTTGAATTATCTAATAATTAAAAATTATATTATTCCTTTCTAAATTACTATTTATATTAAAAATAACTTGATACTCCCATGGATTAACGACTGATAAAGATAGCATTGATTTTGTAATCATTTGAAAACCAGAGATACAGATATACAGTGAAATCTATTGAAATTCTGATTGGACTAGAAACCTGTTCAATGGTAAAATGATGTACGAATCCCTCTTTCTATTCAGATATTGGTTCTCGAAATATTCTGTACATGTGCACCGATGATCCATCTATTCTCGACTTATCCTTATTCCATTCGTCAGAGGCTGGTTGAAGCTGAGTGCAACGGAACCCGATTACGATCCTTCCTTATTTTCCCCAGCATATTCTCTTTTCCATGCAGTTCGCAATCTCTTTAGGGGCCTCTGCCCTTTTTTTCTTCCAGAATATCCGGAAACGAGAGAGGATTTCGCTTGATCGGGTTGCGCGCTTCTCTCGCGCGACAGATATAATTGCAAACGAGATTACACCCTCGTGGAAATCCTATTCAACGCTTTCATGCCACTCGTTTCGTGCATTTTTGCGAGACTGATACATCGATCAAAGAAAAGAGCCAGCTTTTATCAAATAACAATACTTTTCGATAACAAATTCACTGCAAAATTACATAGAATGATTCTTTTTCCCTTTTTTTATTACTTCTAACGTTTCAGTCATTGCATTTAACGTTACACGATGCACTTTCCTCGACTGAATTCCTTAACGAACTAGTTTTCAGCCGCGTCTGCATTTCAAACGCATCACAGACGTTTTTTTCCAAGTCGAGACGCGAAGAATCGCGCGCACTAGTTAGCATTTTGACCGAACACGAACTTAATTCCGGATACCGTTAGTTGGAATCACTTGGACAGGAAATTAAATCCATCAGGTTAACGATAGAAGCTCGATCAATTTAATACGTAATTTACACCTTGTAATCTTCTTGTTTCAAAAAACTGCATTACCTACTGATTGAATAATTTCATTCTTCCTATCCACATCTTCGCGTTTATCTCATGTGAAATTAAAATTAAAACCAGTTGTTGGAAATATAAAATATTATCCGAATTATCAAAATTATTCGAAAAATTGTTCGTGAGACTGTGTGTTCTAAGATAAAGGATTGAATAATAAGGCCACCTTCACACCGTTGCTACGGTTTCTCCACGAAACCCATTCAAAACTCTCAAAGTAGACTTTAATAGCAGGATACAACGCGAACGAAGGCGAGCAACGTGTTCGAAAGCAAATAAATACGTGTACCTACGTCAAGTGGTCGTGTTCAAGAGGGGAATAAGCGCAGAAAGTGAGTAGAAGTTGCGAGCATGTGTAAAAGACTTAGTTTATGCATCGTCTACTAATAATTAACAAGAATAGTAGCCGAGACATAAAAATCCAAGAAAAGCTATGCATTTTTCTGAGATAAGGAAATTTATCTTCTCTCAAGTGGAACTATCGAGTTCTTGATAAGAACTGGTATCATTAGTTTAATTTATGTTATCAAAGAGTGTTACTTGTCATGGAACATTTACTAATTTCAATTTTACTATAATATTAATTTAAACGATTATTTACTGTCCCTCGCGGTGAGTGTAACTTTTTTCAATGTTAAGATAATGTGTATGCGTATGGAAAATATATTCACTAACAGTAACTGTATCATGGTTGATCCGCTCGACCTACGGTCTAATGAAAATTAATCGAGGAACACGCGGCAGGTGTTATGATAATTCGTTTAAATTAGCCTGGGTAAACATTGCCATGCAAAGTTATGCACCGAACTCGTGCTCATTCCACAAACGTTATGGTGGTTACGGTATTATTTAGAGAGCTGCAATTATGTTACAAGCTACCATGACTCCGCAGTTCGTGTTATTTTAATTGACCATATAACAATGCAACGTATTATTCGTCTCTACGAAGGTTTGCTTTTCATGTCATTCAGAAAAGAAATTTAATTACACACTCGATAAATAGAAATTTTCGTCAGGTTAATTAACTTTCTAAAAACTAATTAGAATATATCAACAACTGTTTATAGAAACTGTATTTAATACCAGTTAAATATCAACATTATAATATTCTCCATTTTAATTCTACAACTCGATTCTCTAATTATCTGTAATTAATTACTGAAAACTATAATTAATGAATCAAATTGTAGTACGTAATTCTGTAAGGCATCGTATTCGATTAATTACGCTAATCATATAAAACATCACGTATGCTATCTCTACGGTTCGTTTAGAACTTTCAACAAACTACGAACAGTTTAATTACCCAGAACAAACGGTCGGTCGATTATTTATTGAGAAAGTCTCTTATCGATCATGCCAATTAGTCCAACGTTGGATTTGAAACAGTTACGACTCGTTTAATTGGACAACCTACATATCTGACACGTTTTTTTAGTCTCAATCGTACCACTTTACTCTGCTTTGAGTGTGACAAAAATTTTTCAATTTTAGAGATCTTAATTAGCATTTGAATTAATAACTATCTTTTGACTAGTTTTCTATATTTCAATCAAACCGAATGGAACGTTTAATAATTCATTCATTCTACAATATTGTTGCTAGCTACATCCACGATATTCCATTGTTCTATTGTTCTATTATAACTAGTTGCAACGGGGTGATGCATAATAAGGTGGTTCTTGCCCTAAATATTGGTATCTGTGGTACCGTTGCTCTGTTAAAATCATAAACGCGTGAATCGAGGCATCGAAACCGATAACACGGTTCCCTTAAATTACTGGTAAGCATAATAACCCGGTCAATATTTTCGTAAGAAGTTTAATTATCGCGCCAGGATATTGCCCTCGCCACGTTCCATAATTTTACCCCGTTAACTTGTAATTAACGTGTCATATAGCGTTACTTTATCTTTACACCGGCCAGCTATAATGCGTCAAGGTAACACCGTGTTATTATTGAAATTTGATAAAAGAACTGCGTTCATTTCCCGGAATTGTACGGAGTAATTATTTACCCGTTATCTTTATAATCAGAGTTTCAATAAAACTGAATTTCACACGTGGGAATTCGAAATTTAAGTAACAGCAAAATAAATAAACCTAGGACTTATAATTACACAGTAAAGAAATTACAATTACAGCTACAAATGATATGTTTTAACCCTTTGCGGTTAAAATAATTAATAATTGCCATAGTAATTTATAATTCTGTACATATTGCAGAATATTGTAAAAACACAGCTATACGTGTAGACAGTTAAGATTTATAATATATGCTTTGAAGAATGGAATCATTACTTCTTTTACTTTAAATTAATTATACGCTGTGCTTAAGAATGTCCCGTCCCCAAAGGGTTAAATTATCAACCATGAGTATGTGTATTTAAATTGCCCCTTTTGTAAGGTTCGCTCTAATTACTCGATAAAGAAGGAAAATAAAAGACTATTTACCTTTTCGATGGCTTCCAGCGCCGCTTCAAAACTCCCAGCATGAGTAAACTGACGTAAACGAGGCCCAAGTGCCAACGGGCTTCCGACTCCCAGGAGCGTATCAAGCACCACCACCAAAACCAATCACCACACAACCACCGGTCAACCTCGTCGATCTTTCCGAAAGATCCGTTTAATCACCCGAGTCACACCATGATCGTCCACTGTTCTCTCTTATTTCGTCACACGTTATTTATCCCGATCGAAAAAAAAGTCCTCTAATCGATTCACACGTGAAAAACTTCGCTATTCGTCAACGGAGAAAAAGAAACGGACAATTAACGCGGGCACCGTTCGTAGCGTCGTCAATTTCAATATACTCGACATATTTTTTGTTACGATTAATGAAATACAAACGAAGAGACTATTATCAATTTCCTCTTTTCTTATTTAACAGATAGGAGAATAAAAATAATGCCCGTCGGATAACGTACGAGTGAATTATTGATGTCTCGTTATCAATGGTATGAAACATTTTCTCCCAAGAACGTCGCGTCGATAAGAAGTTTGAAGCGAGCCTAGAACCTCTATAGTTTCTATGATCCGTTAACGCATAATAAGGTCTTTGCACGTCGATACAGGTGAACGTCCTGCAATCGTAACCCGTTTACAAAGACACATGTCGATACCATTGACATGTTAGCCTCGCGAGAAAAATTGAATAAAAAGAAGGAAAACGTTCGAATCGAACAGAACTAGTCAAAGGACGTTTCTCGTTGTTCTGTTATCTGTAAACATAACGTTCAACACGCTCCGAATCGCGTATGAATTCGACCTCTACCTGCTCGAGAGGACAAGGTTAATGAACACATTAAATACCGTGATGGCTGACGTCACGATCTTAACACGGAATTATTGAAGGAAGAATTACAAAAAATTTTAAGTAGAACAAGAAGAAATAATAATTAGTGTCAAAGCATTTCATTAATAAGATGATCGTTCATACGTTTAACGCGTGTGGTCTTTAGCGATTACGCTTTAAAATGGCAGGAAATAAATAACTTCTTCACGAATGAAACGTATAACAATTTTCCCGTCGAATAATTACTCACACAACGATAATCATCTCTACAACGTTCAACGTTACTTGTACATACACGAGATACGTCTGTAGCTGATTAATTAGCTGCCAATGTTGTCGGTGCGAACGCTGCCTAGGTCCTCTGATTAATAACTGTTCTTCCGAAATAATAAATTACAGGCCTCGATAAGGAAGCCAATAATTAACTGAACGTTTTAAAGAAACTTGTAGCTACTTCTGAAGCCATGCACCTTATACTTTGCTTCATAAGTATATAAACGAATAAAAATGTTGGTAATCTGCAGATAAGTTACCTACGGACCGCGGAAGAAGTTAATACAAAATGGCGTAATAACTATGTGATTTAGTTACACTATATAAAGTCACATGATTTATTTTCGACGATACATTACGAAAGATAATAATTCATTCCAGACAATAGACAATTAATCTAACAGACGTTTCTATGTCTATGTACTTGTAACTGAGAGTATGAATGGCGATGGAATTAAAAAACGCGCGAACATAATCGAGTCGCGCTCCGAAAAAGTGCGTGCCTACGCGTCGTTGACGCGATCGATCGACTCGAAGCCACGAGTGCGTCCGCCAATCGATATTTCAGAAGAGAATCTACGTCGCAATATTTACGTTAACAAAGTAACTTTGAAGAACAGGCAGAGCCTGGGAAGACTCCCTATCAGTACGTTCGTGGAAAGTAAAACAAACCTCTTACTCCTTTTCTGCGTTCAATGAATCATCTCTTTCTGAAGGAGCCGCGTGACAGCCACCACTTTATACCACTCGCGAATTAAACACCAGGAAAATTTCAACTCTTCGAACTGTTTCTCCCTAAAGACCACACTAGTTGTTAACCCGCCGATAAACGTACACGACGCTACGAATCGGTGCTTGTTTTACCTACGTTTTTATAACCGTGTTTTGGAGAGGAAGTTAACGTGAAAACACTCCGAATCAACGACGAACCGATGCGAGTTGCGACGAAGAAACGAGCGTTGATCACACGGAAGTCGCGCGCGGAACACACAGACGCGAACCGGCTGCGCGCCGAACTCGAACTGAAGACAGAGATGGCAGACACGCGGTACTCCTTCCCAACTTCTCGCTTCCCCCACCCTAGGCTGCCAGCTATACAGGCTTCCCCTACCGACCAGCACTCGCGCGTTACTTTAACTGATATCATTTGGATTAATCTAATTCTAATTAATTTTCGTTTTGTTAAATTAATATCAACGCAATTTTTAATTAACACTTCTTCACGCCTATTTGTTATCTGGGTACACAAATTACCTCTTTCTTAACTTTTATCAATTACCATTTCAAATTTAAATATTTTCCTGCGCTTTTATGCATTTCGAATAGAACTCAACTTCCACAAATTGAACAGAAAATTTAACAACAAAATAATACACTTTTTGCGGCAATCAATTTTCTGATCTTATAATTACCACGAAGTTTATTTCATGCACATAGGTACAGTTATAACAGCGCGATGTTTTACAAGCAAATAAGAAAAGACCGTAAGACACAAGTTCTTCATGAACTTAAATCCGCCGCTCTTGTACTAAGCTATAGGATTGCACGTACATCCTGTAACCCGGGTATAAAAAGGCCGAAACATAAGAGAGGATGAGCTCAGCTAATGTTACATAATCCCCGTATTCTCTAATCGTATTATGAAATGATTAATTCGTAATCGTGCCACTGCAATTATTCAAGAAAATTAAATTCATTACGAATTCTCTTACGAATTAAAATCTGCATTAAAATACTGAAATGGAAAACGAGGTAATTTACCAACGATAATGATATTTATATGAATTATCAATGCTGAAGATCAAATCTCTCAACAAGAGATTTATGGAACAATTATTAGAACACCCTCTGACATTTCTACATCCCTTGAGGGTCTTTTATTTTCCTTGCACTGGCCGCGATAAAAGGTTGCCCTGATTTCTGTCTATTTCTAGAGAGATACGTTACGAAATTACAAAGAAACATCTTAATTATAACGCTGAGTAACAGTCTTATAAAGCATACTGTTGAAACAAGGATAAATGAAACGCAACGTTTGCGCGAAAAACAATGAGATTCTTAAACGGTGAACGTAATTTAAATAATAACCATCTAAGTTTCTCTTTGAACATCTTAAATCGTCTATTTAATCTGTTTAATGAAATCGTATGATGTCGTCCTGTTCCATTTATTCGGACGAAAATCTGCACATCACAATTGCGCGTTATCTGTCTCTGCTAAGAATCGGCACAATGGCCGAGCAATAAACAAAAGATACTGCTTCCTTTCAAAGCTCCGTTTCGTGTGTACGTTTCAATGCAGATAACGGGGAGCGCCACTTTTTCGTCGTTCTTTCGTAGGAACGAATTTCAATAGAAATCCTCGTTGAATATAATACCGAAAACAATCATTGAATTGTCATGCTTTGAAACGATATTCTTCTAAATGTGCATCTAACCACTTCTTCAAAAATAAGTCATAATTCTTGCACATTGACCTACAACGAGATTGACCTTTATAAATGAAAATTAATCACCATAGACGTGTCTCTAATTCAAAGGCATTCAATTTTTTAATTGAAAGTTGGTAAGTTTAAAGGTCGAAATCTAGTTCTCCCTGGTTAAAAATGCACACGGTTTCCTTTCGTACTGCATCATAAATCAGATGCACAACCTCGAATCTTCCCAGAGAATCTAATCAATAATTAAGCATTTATTTCACACAGCTTCTCATTTAATCCGGCAAAGCAAAGAAAGTCGAATCACGTCCCAGATATCTGGAAGAAAGTACGGAAACGTCGTCGCCGAAACGTATATCTTACTCGCGAAATAACAAGACTCTCATCGTACCGAACTTTCCACTCTCTTCGGGATGGGAATTCGCCACTTCAAGGTGGATCTAGATTCTGAGATAATCTGTGCAAATCGGCTTCTACGTGCTTCGAATTCAGCGTAAATATCTGATAATGCTGATGCAGTTCAAACATAGAAATCGTTTTGGGCCACCAGCGCAGCGGTGTAAACAAATTATCTGAAAATTTAAAAGTAGTTCGAACTGTTTTTTTTTTTTTTTGGACAGAAATCATATCGGGAGCTGGTGCAACGATGGTATCTCGGTGCAGTTTCGCGCTGGTTCCTCGTATTCGGCCCAGCTGAGCCGACTTCGGCGGTGCTCGGCCACAATCGCAGGCGATGCATCGATTTTTCCTTCATCCACCGCTGCTGCAGCTACGGTGCATCGCCTTTGCACCGTGGTTACGTTCACACTCAGCGAGCCTCCTTCTGGTATAAGAACACGGTGCCGCGAGAAATACAAATTTTCTGGCTGTCGCTTGCAACTAGGTCGAAAAATCGCATCGTAATATTTGTTGACAAGAAAATTGCACTTATAATACTATATTTAGTATGTTTTCGTGCCGCTTTCTCTTTGCTTTGCTTCGATGGTAAACGAAAGGATATAGCTTCTTGTCCAATTGAAATTACACCAGTATTTCTTATTAATTGCATCATAAGCTCTTCCTTGCCTTATTTTTGTATTTCTGATGCTGCAAGACGAATACAAAAGTGTCTCGTCTACACGGGTTCACTTTATCAAAATTTCACGAAGACTAGGTGAAATATATGATTTAATCGAGGTGTAATACCACGCTACTGAATATCGCAACTCTTGGATGATTTATACGGGGAGCGTGATATACGTGTTCGGTGAAAAGAAACGAGAAAAAGTTTGTCGTTCCATTCTACCCTGAAAAAAGTTGACACATTATACATAAATATTATTGAATAGGTGTGGTAGTAACATAAAATATATCCACACCTGGCAGCTATTAAATTCGGTTCGGAAAAACTATTATAGAACTTAATTTAACTGTTGCCTTGAACGTAGGTAGTGATTAGGGTCAGGGTGAAGTTCACCTGCGGGAACGAAAGAAAGCTGCAGGTGGAGATCGCTGATGGTTGGAAATATTAACGACCGTGTGACTGGTTTCTCGGGATTTCACGGTCTTTTCGGACAGGTTGTACCCTCCGGACACACAAACGACACGGATTAAATGCCGTGTACCTCGAACCCGTCGCTGAAACTGATCGTTCCATGCTGAAAGGTTCTTCCACCTTATTCATGAGCAACTGCTTCTAGTTAACCATATCTTGAATAAACCACCTGCAGCTTCAAATCATAGACATCAGATTAATTCGAATTATTAGTTGATTTTTTCTTTAGGTAAATAACACGATAGAAATACCTGTCTCTAATACAGATCTTCGTCTACTCAAGAATTAGAAAGAACTAGTTATGAGTATGAAATAAAGAAATTATTTGCATATCACTCGAAGAAAGAAATGAGAAGAAATGAAGAAACTAGTGAAAAAAGTAAATATTGGAAAGGGTTGCAAATATGAATTGAGCCAACCGCGGAAAAATGAACATTCTGGCTATACCGATTAAAACCTAACTTATCTGTGTATGCAATGCCTACAGTTGATACACTTATCGACAGAAGTTTATTTCAGGACGCGCAATGCAGTGATCTTCAGCATCAACTATTGGTAAAAATAGCAGGCGTCGAGGCCGAACTCCGAATTCCGCATCGGTAAAACAGCTCATGTTTGATCGAAATTAATAAATATGCAATTGCATATTTGCCCTACATACCAATATTATGAAAAGTACCGAAGTAAAGTTGACGCGAAATATTAAAATTTCTTAACAATTTGTATCGGTTTTTGGCAAAATAAGGAATTTTGGGCATTTACGAGCACCATAACATCTTTGTAAACAGACCATTTAGTATCTATTTTGCAAATAACAAATTTCTGCTTTTTTATTTGCAAATATCTCATTAAATATAATATCTGCGACTGGAGCAATTTTAGATTCCGAGGGAGCAAATGAGGAACAATTTTTTAATTCCGCGCCAACTTTACTTCCGTTTTGAAAGTAGCAACAAGAAGAGAAAAATAACTTAGATATGGTTAATCAGAGATCTTTATTATTGGTAGAAATGGTATAAAGTCGAATACAATTAACAAAATCATGTTCCGGATGACGGAGCAAATATATTTCTGTTAAACATAGCTTTCTTTCTTTCTTTTCCTTACCATATTAACAAAAAAACTCAAATATATTAGTACGAGTATATCAGAAAATATTTTGCTGTTAAATGAATGTACTTGAATATTGTATGGACGTCACCGCTCCTATTTCATCCGAGTTTGTACTTAAAAATAAATACTATTACCTAATAAGAAGATGGATCTCTTTCTTTTTTACATTTAAAAAGGCACGATAAACGACTAGGTAGAAACAAATGTTACGCCAAAAGTAGTTCGATCTCGCTGAAAAAGATTGTTCGTGCTCCTTATTCAAGTAAAGTAGTAACTCTCACGTAATAAACAAATAAGTTTTGTACGTAGTGCAAAGTGTATAAATGCATTAAGTCGTTTCTATCGTCGTGAAACGCTTTGTTAAATTTGATTTAAACATTATAATACAGAATATTTTCTCATATGTGTACATATCTCTGTAAGTATAAAGTACTAACATAATATTGTGAATTCTGTTTTTAATTTCTTCTTTATTTTCTTAAGCAAAATATATCATCCAAGACATTATTCGAGGCATTGTTCGAGGCATTATTTGAATTCTTTGTGTTAATGAAACTCTGAAGACTTGATTATCTAAACGAGACACTCAAGTGCTTTTCTGTACTCTTTCAAATATTTTTTAAAAGGTGCTGTTAGAATTCTTAATATTACTTTGTAGATTTATTTTCACATAAGGCGACAGAATTCCTCTCCTTGGGGATCGCCCTGGAACAAAGAAAAGGATCATGCTCCTGTAGAAACAAGATTAACATATAACTTTATAACCCAAATAGCATCGCATAATTATTCTGTTATACGTATTACTTGACACTTATTAGTCGTAGAATTTTAAGCAAGTATTAATGAATGTTAATTATTTATTCAGATACTTATGACAATAGCGAAAGTGTGCGCTTTTCTTTGCATGCGTGTATAAATATGCAACACGCATAGCTGTAATATACACGCATATAGATAACTTTTAAATAACTTGAACATAATAAAAAATATATCATTTATAATAAATTAGCTAATTATTAGATCCAATAAAGTAACATCTTTTGATGAAATTATTTTATTATATGACGAATATAACAAAATAGAAATGTCTCCATCATCTGATCTTGTTCAATTTCAACATTAACTTAGGATATTTATACATGCAACAAACTAATAGAATATTTAACAAGCTTTATGTAAACGCAAACGAAACGTAATTATTTGTTTTTATTATCTAGTAATTGTGCTTCATAAGGAATATGAAACAGTTTTGATGCTGTTCCATAATCAAATATTAACACCTTTAAGCTTCAACCAATTCAGTTAATTGACACAGTTGCGACGATGTTTGAAGTATTTGTTAATACAATTCAGTATTTAAAACTTCCATTAATATGATATGTTAGAAATGTATAATAACTATACCAATGGAATTTTATCATTACTGATGATAAAGTATGTTTTAATACATACAGTAACAATTGCACATTTACATGTACAATAAGTTTCACTTTTTTTTTTTAATGTAACCTAAAGACAATGTGGTTAACTAATGAGATGTTTATATTTTTAACAAGAAATTACATTACTTTTAACACATGAAGTTTTAGTTAAGCGTGAGTATGAAAACAAGGTGCTGAGAAGAAGAAAAAAAACAAAGCCAAATAATTCTTTTTACTTGAAGCGCGAGTAACATTAATCATCGGTGACTATTGTAACGTTCGATACGTTGAATACAACTTACATAAATCGACCCATCAGAACCGTTCGGTCGCCCACTTAATATGGGTAGAGATATCTTCTCTATGGAAGAAGAAGATACATTGGATGACACATTCCCCGATTTGATTTATTTTCTATTTGTTATATTACAGCTAATAATAAAAGTAATAAGCAGAATACAAGCATTTTAGGTATAAAAAATTAAAATGTTTTATAGCCACATTGTCTTCGTTAATTAAATGTAATCATTAGAAATAAATAAATAATTTTTGAAAACAATGAGATTGCTAATAATTGTGAAATTAATGTTTACTGCTATTCATATTTGCAACATTGTTATTTATAAAAAAAATGTGTAAATACCTAAAAAGAAAATAATACTGATACTCATTCCCAAAAACAAAAATAAATTTTTAAATATTTGTCTTTGCTGTGAATAAAAAAAAATATATTAAACCTAATTAAAATTAACCAACAGAATGTTCACACTTCATAATTATTGGTTAATACTTTTTTCTGCTGTTCGGCTATACCAATATTGTAACATACCTGTTGATGATGAAGTTCTTCAGAAGGTCGGAAACCCAAGTTTTCCCTATGCCGAGATAGAGATGTAGACAACTGTTGCCTTTTGCACTCTGAAGTAGCCATTTCCTATTAAAAATAAGAAAAAAAATATTATCTGTACTCGTTAAATGAATTAATAAACTGTCAAATTAAAAGTTTAAAGAAAAGAACAAACTTCTCCTTCGTTGTTAAGAAGCGTTGTTGTCATAGTATCTGCTGTAAACCATTTCTGTCCTTTCATGACAATATTTGATGGTGGTTCATGCGTGGCTCCAATGTCTGCTGACCATACCATAACACTAGCGCCTGCCTCGATTTTTGCGGTACGGTGGAATTTAAATACTGTTTCCAGAGAACCGGCTTTGCGAATAATTTGCCATCCACTTAGGCCTATTTCCTGTGAAAGCAATATTTGATTAAGAATGATGCGATACGAAGCAATAATAATCATCTTACCTTATTTCCCTTATTGGTAAGTTTTACAAATCGTCCTTGAGGATCAGCTTCTGTAACTTCTACATCACCTCTGGCTGTTCCAGTTACACTGTAGTCTGTACTACTACGTTCTTCACTTTCCTCTAACAAGGTGCGTTTTCGTTTGCCACCTCTCAAGGGAGTGTGTCTTGAAGGAGTTGTTCTACCACTAGATACTGACGAACTGGATTGTACTGGATTTATATTTAATCTGTCAATGAAAAAAGTTCATTAAAAATATTTATGTGTTAATGTGCGAGATTGATGTATCGTATCAATATAAAATTAAATTACCTGGCTTCCTCAGATTCTAAAAGTTTTCGATACGCGGCAATTTCCAAATCAAGAGCTACCTTGATATCCATCAGATCTTGATATTCTTGTAGTTGTTGAGCCATTTCATCGCGTATACGTGCTAATTCTGCTTCCAAAGATGCTAAGCTTTCTGCGTGACGAGTTTTTTCATTTTCACGTAAGTTCTCTAAATCTCTATAGATAAATTTGTATGTTTATTAAAAAAATTCGTTTCAACTAATTAAAGATAAATATTACAAATGTTACCTGATGCGCGCGTTAAGAGCATTATTAGACGCTTCGAGTTCATTGATCTTTTGATTGAGTGTATCAATTCTTGATCTTGTTTGCCTCAATTCTTCAACAGCTAAACTAGCTGCTCCACTGTTACGTTGAGCATGAGCTGTTAAATTTTTGATCTTAGTTTCGTACAATAACTCAATTTCTTCTCTATTTGCTCGCATCTGTGCTTCGTATTGATCTCGTAATTCTTGTAAAGACTGTTGCAATTTAGCTTCATATTGTTCGGCAAGACGGCCATCTATTTCCGAGATCTCAATCTAAATTATAAAACGATATTACATATTAAAAAATTTGACCTTTAAACAGTTCTCTCTACTTTGTTTTTTTTTTAAATATCCATGATATTAATTGTATGACTTTGAATTACAAAAGTATAGTAAAGATGGGAATAAAATTTATATTAAGTATTAAACTAGGATTATAGCATTCACTTCTATCCTTGGACTTTTAAATACAAACCTGTCGTTTTGTTCGTGTTTCTGTCAATTCTTGTTGATAAATTTGATCTTTGAAACTAATATCCTCCTTTAAACTTTGAATGTTGTTTTCAAGAACGATACGTTGTAGGGTTTCTTCTCCCAGATGCTTACGTGTATCTTCTAATAATCCTTTTAATTTTTCTACTTCCTGTTCCAATTCTCTTTCTCTCTCAGCCAGCTTTTTACGTTCCGCTTGAGACTGATTAAACTGTGATTGCAAATCATTGTAGCGAGTTTCATATAACAACAAGTTTCTCTCTGCAACTTGTAAGTCCATTAATTTTTTGTCTAATCTGAAAAAAAATCATTGCAAATATTTACAAAACTTATTGAATAAGAAATACATTAAACATAAATATTATAATAAAAATATTTTTGTATATATTGTAAGATTATACATTATTTGATTTATGAATTTAAAGTGCTGAATTACAATTTAATGTATAATATAAATTTTATTGAAAATAGTAAAAAATATAAAATTTCCGAATATACAGAAGGAATTCCTTAACAGAATCTTGATCGTTTACGACATTCCGACGGTCGTAAAGAAGAGGTGAGCTTGCGTGTTTCTATTTCAAGCAACGACCCACATCAAGAATTTTATTTTCTACCATAGGGTTTCAAACCGTCTTAATATTTCGTTACTCTAAAATCTACGTTCATCAACAATATATGGTATATGTTATAAAGATACATGACGAAACTGTTTGTTGAGAAATATTAAATTTATACAGGTGAGTCATTTAACTTGACCATATCTACTTTTCTACTCAGAAAAGTCATAACATAACATAGTAATCATTTTTCCATTGGTAGAAGGAACTTGATAGATTTCAGGGTCAACACTGTTTCCTTAAATGGTACTACACATGTTTTTTACGTAGCTCGGAACATTGCGCGTAAAAGTGTTACAATGTCAAAGAAATCAACAGTTCGTGATATATTTCAAATTTTTGTTTAATATATTATATCACTTTTGGATTTTAAAAAATCTCATGAACTGTTAATTTTTTTAATCAATCTACAGTCAACATAATTCCTTTAAGAGGAAACATTTTTTTTACAACTGCTACGTGCACGCAGTTAGTAATATTTACGCTTTATCCACGCAACATTATCAGACAGATAACTGAACTACTTTTTACAAATCGTTTAAATTATCGTAAGAAAAGTTCAATATATTATCAAAATACAATTTTAAAGATTAAATATACTATTTCTGTACTCGTAAATTTATTGTCTTTGCTCTGTAAAATATACATTAAACAACGTAAGGAAAATATTAATTATTGATTTAATAAATATAATCTTTATATACAAAATAAGAAGAAATAATTGTTTTTTTTTTTTTTTTTTTTTCATTATTTTAGGAACATTGTATTTAGAATAACAATGTGAAAAAATCAAGAATAATGTAAATTGCATCCTTTGATATTAATATATATGTACTATGTTTATATTGTAACATTTCTATTGTAACATTTATTATTGACTTCATTTGTTTGCATCAAAGATTCTCGGGAATATTTCCCGTTTGTTTTAGGCTTTATTCGTATTTTTATCGATTGCTCAACGCTCACTGAAAGGAGGTCAATGTTTTCAGTCGAGGTTATACATGCGCTCGAAGATGACATCATCGTCGCATAGTAAGCGTGACGCAATCGTTCGTAGTAACGTCACGTTTCAAGTTAGGCACACCCAAATATTCTGGAATTTTGTAGTTAACGAGACTCGATGCATTTATAAGTATCTTTTAATTGTGATCTTTTAAATGTCATCATTAAAAATCAAGGTTTCAAATATCTTTTTCTTAATAAAGTACAGACGCGTATCCACATGTTGATACAGCATCACCCACGAATTATATGAATGAATCTGTATATCAGATAAACACTGTAGTGTAAAGATAAGTTGCATATCTAACATTTTTCAGAGAATTAATTTTATCTTCTACTGAAACTCTAACATACTTCAATGATATTAAAACTTGTTTCAAAAAATATATTTTCATATATCTGCAAAATGTACCTGAATACTTAAAACAAAAATTATGTAGCACATTTTTTTCATTCATAGAACGATTTTTACTACAACTTTCCAAATTATAAACTTTCTCATTTTTTTTTTAATAGTATGTATTAAAATCTAAAGTGTATATAATGTATGTACATATGTACAATATATAAGTACGATGCATGTATTTAAAAAAAATTAAATAAACAGTCTCGGTCTCATCCCTTCAAAATCGAGCCTGCATTAATCAACATTTTCAAAATGCATCAGAGTTTTAAAATAATAAAAACTAATCGTAAGTTCGAGGAAACTTACTTGGATTTAAGTTCCTCGTTGTTATCCCATAATCGTTTAGTGTCAATTTCAAGTTTTGCCCGTTCTCTGGCAGTATCATCCAATAATTTCCTTGCATCTGATAATTCATGTTCATACATCGACTTTATGTTGGATACTTCGCGGGTGATAGTCTCCTGGGTCGTTTGTACCTCCCGCGTAAGTCTGGAATTCTCGGCTTCCAAATGTCGTACTTTATCAATATAACATGCCAACCGGTCATTTAGATTCTGTAAATCTTGCTTTTCTTGGAGACGAGAATAACGAGTCGGACTCAAAGGACTTCCTGGTCGCTGGCCGATTGGCGTTGACGTGCTAAACTGTGGCGATTGCCCGCTGGTACTCGAGGACGTCGCCGTAGCTTTCTTAGCAGCTTTCGTTGACATCTTTTCACAATAATTGATCCTTCTATTGCACTATCACTTGCCTTCGCACTCTCGAATCATTAACTTGGTGCACAACAACACCGTGTCCGTGAAAGACGCTATTAGCGGTTAAAAAACTACCGAAGCCCAAATCCTTCTACCTCGGTCAACGGAAGAACTGTTTAGCGGTGACGCCAACGTTAGCAAACCAACCTTGTTACGTGCATCTTTATATTGCGTTAGTAAATGTAAGGGAACAACGCGATAGGTTACATTTTAGTATACACATTAGCCGTCAGCCAATCGTATTCCGCTTCTTTTTGAGTAACCACCAATAGGCAAAAGAGACATCTGTTGATAAAATATATCAACCTTAAAAACAAGGTTTACTAGAAATTCTACAACAAAAAAAATAAATAAAATGGTAGTTTTGGTCTTAATAATCTGAATCAAAATGTGTAACTGTAGTAAAATCTATAATTAATCAGTATCTGTAACTGTATTTAAACAATCCTTGTATTGAAGGAGATAACATTCAAGTAAAAGTATAAAGTTTATCCACTTATTTTGTATTTTATTTCAAATCCACTTTTCTAACAATAATTCCCAGCTTTTAAATAGCCATCAGAGGGCACTGTAGTCGAAATTTTAAAATGTCAGTAAGAACTGATACAAACTGTAAATAGACGTTACTAAACGTGAGTGCATGAAAAAAAAACAGTTTCTATTTAAAGTGGTGCTTGTATAATAGAAATGTTTTTAAAAAGTTAAAGTTCAGAGATCATGTAATGAAATCTGAATACGTTTTCATAAAGTAATAGTTGTTTTGTAGGAGAGAAGGTTGCACTGTCGTTATTGAAAACAAACATTGAAAACATTATAAATAAATATATAAAAAGAATGTGTGATCTTATAGATTTAAAAAGTCCTGATAAAAAGGGCTTGCTAAACTCAAGACTTGCATCACCTTTAATACCAGTTCCTACAGATTCCGCAGGCGATAACTGTAATAATCGTATCAATGATTCAATTCCTGTAATAACGAGTAAACGCGATAGTTTAGAAAATAACCCTTTTGACATGGTATTACATAAAACTACAGAATACATCCAAAAAAGAGATGATCCCTTTGAGGTGACTTTAGAAAAAGCACTGAGACCAAAATGTAAAAAAATCAATGAATTAAGAACACATTCTTTTGATTTTACAAATGACTATAATATCAAAGAAAAGAATCATGTGCAAAAGTTAAAAATGAATAAAACATTAGATGAATTCTTAATTAACGAAGAATTAAATCAGAAAACTGCCACTAGTAATAAAATATCCAATGAAAATGTGATGGTTGATTCAAATAATGTGGGAGCTGATGATGTTATACCTACCATTAATGTTGAAGAAGTTGATTTATCCATTTTAAATCAATCTCTGATGAATGACACGTTATTTGAAACAGATAAAGAATTAAATAAGAATGAAATAGCACCTTTGCATAATAAGATATCAATGCAAGCAGAAAAGGATAAATTCAACATAGGACAAACTATACCTTCTAATCTACTTTTGAAATTTCCAAGACTTCAACGTTCTCTTTCTCAAGGAGAAAATGAATCTTCTAAAAAATCGCAACTTTTTAAACATTTATCATTGGTAGAAGCTTTAAGAACTAGTTCCGAAAATGGAAGTAACATATCTGATCGAAATTCATTAGACTTCTTGAATGAAGGTTTTTTAAAAAGTTATTACAGTGGAAGCTCTTTGTTTTCCAGCTTATCAAATGTATCTTCTATAGCTAAATTAAATTTTGTTTCTTCTTCAACTAGTTTGTCAATTTTGTCACCGAATGACACTAATAATCGGGCATTCTTAGAAAGTTGTTCATTTGAAAAATCAGAAAACTCAAGATCAATTGGAAACACAGACCTTAACAAAGAAATAACATCAGTAACAAGTGTACCAACTAAATGCACAATGTCAGGATTAATAGATCAATTTGACAGACTCAAAGCAAAGCTATCAGAACTTCCTGAAAGTCTGGTAGAACAGAAAAATGAAAAATGCTGCACAGAAAATAAATTAATAGACGTTGATGTATTTGCTCCAAAAGTTAATTCCAGTAAGGAATGCTACAGAAGTTCTGTTTCAGATACATCCTCAGATTCTGTATTTCTTGTAAGTTTTTTTATTCAATTCATAACAACATTTTTATTGAAAATTTTCTGAAAGATTTCAAATAAATATATTTTGTATTTTAGGATGGAAGTAAAGTTAATAAATCAATATTTCACGAAGCAAAACTTCTTGCAAAAACTTTTGAAGAATTAGCTATGAAAACAAGCTCAGGATGTAAGTATTTAATTAACATTTAAAATAAAGTAGAACAAAGTTGATGTTTGAGTTTATACCTTAATACATTTCCAATATTAGTTCATGTTTAAAATATATGTTTTGTTATACAGCAAGCACTGATGACCTCATCAGTAGTAATCCATTGTGGGCATCAGAATTATTACCAGCCTTTGATGATGAAGATATGGTAGATAATTTAATTGAATTACCCACATCTCCTAATGCAAATCATACAGAATCAAAAGACATAAAAGTCAATGAATGTACAACTACTGAGATATGTGCAGAAAAAGATACAGAAGTTGTCATTAATAAAATGACAGAAAATTTAAAGGAACTAGAACTGGAACTAATTGAATCTGTACATAAAGAAAAACATATTACAGCTGCAACACTTTTATCGGAACTCAAAAAACTTATTAAAACTGAAAATAATCCAGAAGCAAATAAATTAGTAGAAAATTTGGAAAAGGTTTTAGGTATTGATTTTGAGAACAATACCGAATTATTAACCACCTATCTTAATACGACTAATAACTTAGCAAAAAGTCCCCAGAAATCGGACAGTAGTTTAAAGGTAATACAAAACATAGAAAAAAATAATATGGAACATAGTCAAGAAGATAATTTATCCAATGATTCAGATAATGTCAAAGAATCACCTGTTTATAAAAATATAAATATCGATGATTCAAATATAAATAAATGTATTACTAATCAAAAGTGTTTAGACAAAATAAATAGTGATTCTCCAAAAATTAATACTGAAGAAACAAACAAAAATAGAAATGAAAAAGAACTCAATATTGAAATTGAATGCAAGGAAGATTCTTCAAAAAAAGGAAGTAACAATTTATTAAATGAGAAAGTGGTAATAGAACTTCTCACAAACATAGGAAAATTATTAACTGGTCAAACAGAAACGCAACCAACTTCGGATATACTTACAAATTTAGGGAAAGTATTCAATTTTGCCGCCAATGATGATAATATGAAGATTCAACAAACTCCTAAAAAACCAAAATTAAAATTTGAGAATAAGACCCATTCTTTAATTTCATCAACATCACATAGACAAAGTTTGAATTTAGAACCAAAAGTGGGTATGATTTAGAATATTGACTAGTTTTATATCATTAACATTATTAATATAGTTAATTGCACTGTGTTTTGTAGAAACAATCACTTCATAAAAATTTCATTAGGCGAAGTATATCTGTATCTCATACATCAGCGACTAAAGATCCAGTTCCTATAACATCCAGTAATAACAGTGAATGTCAATTAAAAGAAGTAACAAAACGTTTTCCTAGCGATCCCGGCTTCGTTAGTCCAACATCAAACAAAAAAGTCGTTACAAAAAACAACAAAGATGGATTAAAAAAAGGTAATTTTTAATCTTTTATTGCAACAGATAAAAATCTAAGTAGGTAATTTTCATTTATTTTTAGATACACAAACAAAAACATTAGCAACGTTAGATTTACAAAAAGAAAAAACCGCAACGATAAATACGGTTAAGAATAAACTCAAAAAGAAGATTGATACAGAAGTTACAAATAAGAAAGGCCCAATGAAAGCCATGCTTCCCATAGGAACCATGCAAAAGAAAAGTATAATTAGAATGAATAATTAAAATATAATTGTATTAAAGCGATTATATATTATCATTATATTTTCTATTTCACAGAAACCGGTAATAGTAAAGTAACTTCATCGTATGGAACTGTAACACCACCTAAATCTCATAAAATAATTAGTAGTACACCTAATTCACCACGTAATGATTGTGCGATGAAAAGATCGTCGCGATCTTCGAAACCGGTTGCTTCATCAACTCCAGACGCTTATAATTCGAAATCCCGAAAAGTCCAGTCGCCGCAAGTAGCTAAGAAGCGGAACTTCTCTTGTGATATATCACCAGTATCTATCCGTACAGGTGTCGATAATAAAATAAACAGTAGCCCAAAACGGTAAGTTTATCTTTATTACATTTACAAAAATAGTTGAAACAACAAAAAACATTATTCAATAGGAAATTGCTATCTTCCACCCTCATTTTCAGTAAATTATCATCTCCAAAGAAAACAACACCTAAACGTCGATCGGTAGGTTCTGGTATTCCAAAATCTCAGACTCCTCCTGTGACTAAGAAATTGAATTCTTCTTTCGATGTTAATCAATACTCCAAGTTGTATGAATCCCCACAACGTTCGTCATACAAAACATCAAATTCACAAAACAGTTCACCAGTTTCTGTAAAGAAAAATGAAAGTGTGCAACAAAGTCTTTTAAGGGATAATAATAAACTTATTTATAAAGCGAAACCGATGAAATTGGTACGTATAAAATCGTACAGCAATGATAAATTTTTCTGAATTTAATCGTAATAACTAATTAAAACATTATTTTTTAATAGATCTCAAAACTTCAACGACACAGTGTTGATACCAATGTAGCGGAAAAAGAAAACAATTATATTTAATTTATAAAAAAAGGCTACTTTAGTGATGGTGGTTGTGAAAAACATGTAAGATCATAACATATTTTTTATTTTTATATTTTAACATTCCACATTTTTTTATACTTATGTATTTTCTAATAAAAATGTTTTATACATGAACGTAACAATAATATTCTTTCCATTATTTTTATTATTTGTTTAATGTATTGCGTATTTATTTTTCTGTTGTAAATGTTACGATTAACTTCGTTTGAATTGAACATTGTGTTTTATTTCTTTTTATTGCGCATTAATTATAGATGTCTTCATAATTAAACATTTGTAGAAGCTTCTCAACATTTTCAACATTAAAAAAAAAATACATGCTGATGTTTAAAATGAAAACTGTAAATTATTATTATTAAAATTATTGCTATAAAAATTAAACGCGTCAAGTGCAACGTAATTTAAGAATCGCTTATGATCTGTTGCGTCAGATCCGTCGATCTGAAAACAGGCTCAAAACGGAGCTACTCGGCCGGGAACGAGGATAGCAGCGCTCGAAAATGGCCGATACGTCACGGTCGTTTCTAAAATCACAGGCACAGGAACGTATCATATGTGAATAATCAAAAAAATTTCGACATGATTAGTGTTTTTATTTCTATTTAAATCTATAAAAAAATATACATTGCATTTTAGATATTTAAAAAGAAAATTGTAATGTATTGTTTTTACCTTACCGTAAGTATTTCCTGTATATCCTAAAAAAATCAAATGTCGAAGCTTCCAAATCTTCTATATAAAACAAATTAATATTCTATACAAAAATGTTATTCGATTTTTTTTTTACTTATACAGATAAAAATATGAAAAAATGTACATTCTTTATTATTTTTTTAATTAGGAAAAAGGAAAAGGTATTACAGGAAAAAAGTCGGTGAAAGCGATGCGCAGAAGCTGGTTTCTTGCAGGGTACTAAGAAAGATATCGCCGCACCTGCACGACCCGTCCCCGCAAAAAGTGCGCTCCGCGTGTTCCGTACTCCAGCGGCGGCCCGTCCATACTCGCGTGTAGCCGCACCCGGCTTGGCGCTCTTAAGTTTTGTCGAAATAATTCAGTGAAGCAGCCACGAAGGAAGTTTATCGTTGATGCAAACAATTTTTGGAGAATTGTTGAAAGTGACAAAAGCAGTGAGGTGAAGTGCGTCACAGTTTCACGGAGTTCGATCTTTTTGGGCGTTCTGTACAAGGAGAGCTAGCGCGGCGCGCACGAGAGGCCGCCTCTAGAAAAAGAGCGCGTCTCGCGCGTTGCACTACTATTGGAATATTTGACGTTGAAGAAAGTGTTAGAAGAACATTAGAAACGATAAAGAATGTATTCGTCGAGGAAATAACAACGGTTTGTAAATGTACGTTATAATCTTTAAAGGTGTGAATTTGTGAGAATAATTCGGCCGGTCGAACCGGGAGTGAGAGGAGAAGCTGGCGCGCGCCGAGGCGACCTCGGGAAAAGACCGCGTCTTGCAGGTTCACTGTGAGCTGCGGTAGCTATTCCGTGATACAATTGTCTAAGCTTATCGACATTCTTGGAATTTGTTATATGTGTCATCGTAGGCGATAAACGATAAAGATCCGCGTAAGATCTAGTGAACGGTCTGTGCACAGTGTCAACGCGTACGAACGTATACGGGAAACGCAACCGGCGACGATATATCCCGCGTGGTACGTATACGCACATATACATATATACGGTACGCGCGATACGTACGTGTAACGTGCACATTCGCAAGGACTGTGGACTCGTGGAATCGTCGTTTGGTGGTCGCGTGTATCGAAGTAGCCTGTCGCGAAGCGCGCTTAACAGAGAGATCCAACACTATAGAAAAGTTGTCGAGCGCAGTGAGAAATCTGTGAGAGAGGAAAGGTGTTCGTTGTTCAACGATTAACGCGTGGCGTAGACATTCGACAGTCACTTGGCACGTATGTATGTAGTGCAATTATTTCCTGGCTATCTCGTCTCGCTAACCGTAAAGAAGGCATTCGTGAATGCATGGAGCGGTTCTTTTTAAGAACAAAACACAACAGACAAAGAACAAGCTGTTTGCAACCAGTACAAAGACAATTCTCTTTGTTCGATTCAGTGATATATTTTGATAACGATTTGTTCGAATTTTAAATCGTGCCTTAACGATTACCGGAAGGAAGTTACGTACGTGGACACGGAAAGTATTCTGACGTTGAAGGTGCGTGCAAAGGGTGTGAAATGCGTCGCGCTGCAGTTCGATGTTCGATCCAGCAGCGGCGGACGACCTGACTTTGTCAGATTGCCTCTCATCGGTACACCTCTTCTCGGCTTCAGTCCAACAATGGATCAGCGCAGCTGCGGTACGCGATTCGAAATTCTCTTCCCCGGTACCGGACGAACGATACAAAGTTGATCATTCGTGAGCTCACTCGTGAGCCGCGTTTAATCGCTCCAGTTGGTGATTAATGTTAAACGTTGAGCAGACATTTCGCGCGTTCTAAATGCGCCATAGATTTTGCACGTTATTGGTTTGCTTGATCCGTGCAATCGATAATATTACATCACGTTCACGAATTTCTCTGATTATGTTCCTTTTTTATCCATAAGCAATAATTTTTAAACGATCAAAAAATAAAACAATCGTAGACGCATTAATATATTACAAGATATATCATGCTTTTATTATGATACCACTGCTCAAACTTATTTATATGTATAGAAAACTGATTTTGCGCTTGTGACGAACTAATAAGAACAATTTCTTCTATATGATTGATTTTTATATTGCGTTTATGCATTATTACAAATGTACTCGAGGGTTCTTGATGTTCGAATGACATAATGGTAAATTGATATACGACCTTCAATCGTAAAGATCACGCTTATATTGGAGTGTAAGAAGAATTTAAGAAAAAGAATGGAAGGCGAAAGCCTAATAAAATAATACGCAAAACACAGAAATTTGTCGATCGTTATGACATCACACGTGAATGGTCCGAGCACTGTAAAAACGTGCATAAAGTATCTACGTGAAAATAATTTATACGAATATCACTCTCTTCTCAAGTATTGTATGAACGTAAATCGTGAGATATCGCATTGTTGCGAGAAACGTTTTATCGACGCATAATAATGCAGCAACACCGGGTGGAAACACAAATACTCCACGAGGAGCAGATCCTGGAGGCAATTGATCAGTTGCGTCGACGTAAAGCACGACCCGATGCTGATCGCATCTGCAACTATTTACTAAGGAAGTTTTCTGTAGACGCAAGAGATACCATTGCTGATCTTCATCGATTAATTGAAGCAGAAAAGGTCATTCAGGTTGATTACAAAGGTAATACCAGTTATAGAAACGCATCAAAATGGTCACGATTACAGCTTTACAAAAATCGACCGGAGGGTTTTGTGAAAGAGAAATTAAATTCCGGGATGGTGGCGGGTGCTGTGGCCGAACTCGTTGTCGAGGAGCCAGATTACCTTGATCAAGGTGTACCAGCGTATAGACTGATCGAACAGTTACTCGATGGTGTGTCAAATCCTACTTCTAGACGTATGGTAGAAGATTTTCTCGGTAAAGAAGTGGCCAGTGGTAATTTGACGCGTCTCTCTAACGGCAATTACTCGCTGGTGGCGACGTCTGACATGACAACTACCGTCGAGTCTACGCATCGAGAATCTTTCACGCTTGAAAATGGGAATGCACGACGCAAAGAAATACAAACTGTTTCGTCTACTACCGGTGGACTGTATGATTTTGATGAAACCGAAAACTTGACGATTACCGACTCTAGGTCGAATACACCGAGATCTTCGCGTCAGGCAAGCCCAAAATCTGATCCACAAGTTAGGAAAGATGATTGTTACGAGATAATAGTAGGAAGAAACGAAAACGCCGATTTACTGGTGGAACACGATTCTATAAGAGATCAGGAATCGTTAGATCCATCGCAAAGTTCTCACGAAGGTACGAAAGAAGAATCCAAAAATACCGATAATCAGACTCATAACCTCAAAAGGTCGTCGAAAGCTGAGCGTAAACAGCGCCTACTTGTTCGAACTGACGATCCTATGGACATAGAGATCAAATTTGAGGATTATCGAAAAGACAATAAAGAAGAAATACATTCACAGAAAGAGAAGAGAGAAGAGTCCGGACACCTCAGCGAAGAACGGGAGGATGAAGATGCGGGAAGAAGTTCTACTAATCCTTCACCTACACCATCTAATACTAACGTTGGTGGTTTTCGTAGTGCTCGTAGAAAGGTGCGCGTTATTTATGTTAGTTATTATTACATTGTTCTTATTAAACTTGTGTAGTTGTCAAAATGCACAAAAACTATGTTTCAGAGAGCAAAGAAAGTATTTGATCCCTCTGACAATAATCTTGTAAAAAGAAAACGTGGAAGGCAACCAGGATCTCAAAATAAGTCTTCTATATCTCAAGAACCTCAAGATTCTTCCAAATCAACTGTCAAAGAAGGACCTTGTAGACAGTGTAGTCTTTGTGCCAAAGAAAAACAAGAAACTTTAGTTGCTTGTCGTGATTGTACAGTACGAGGTATCGATTATATTGCAAATGTAATAGTATTCGTAGATTAACATTCTGTGAGATGTTTAAATTTATTTTTATTTATAGCACATCCAAGTTGTATTTATAGTCCAGAAGAAATGATTCAAAAAGCAGGCAGTAGTTGGCAGTGTGAACGTTGTAAAAGCTGTACAATATGTTGTGAAACTTCAGATGCTGTAAGTGTAACATGACAAATACAATATTTTTTTTGTGTTGTGTGTGTGTGTGTGTGTGTATAGTAATCTATTATTGCAATGTTACAGGGTCCTTTAGCAACATGTTTCACATGTGACGAAGCTTACCATTATTATTGCCATACACCACGAATAATAATTCCTAAATCAAACTCAAAATGGCAATGTAGTGACTGTACCCAAAAGCAATATAAAACAAATATAAGCCAACATATTAGTCTGGTCACTAATAGACCTGACACACCATCAAATCCACCTGTTTTACCTCCTGTTTTGAGTCCTCAAGTTTCACCTGCCAGAGGTTCTTCTGATCAAATGGAAGATGATAGTCCTAGAGATGGAATTGATCCGAATATACCCGATGCTTCAGATTGGACATCTGAACAGGTGTATCAATATTTTGCAAGACTGTTTCCAAAAGAAGCAGAAGTGTTCAGACAACAGGTATGTTTTTATTTATTTCTCGATATTTGTTTGTTTTACGAATCCTTTTTTTATATCATTTCAGGATATTGATGGCCATTCTTTACTGCTAATGAAACGATCTGATGTTCTGAGTGGACTGGATTTGCTTTTAGGTCCAGCATTAAAAATATATAGGCATGTATTAAAGCTTCAGGTTAGAAGAGATGATCCAAAACTTTATTGGCTGTAAATGTTTAAAATATTTAAACTTAAGATAGTATTTAAACAAAGTTGAGTGATAGTGACTGTACAGATTATAATTAAGAGTTGGAATTATTTTTTGAATTCAAGATACTTTTTCATATTGTACATACCATGGTTATCTTGAATTGAAAAGATAATTCTTTATCATAAGAGAACTTAAGAATATTGACAGATAGGATAAACAATGATTAAAACCTGAGAAGCCTTGTTTTCTATACAAATACTTTTGGACGTAAAATTTTAATTAATATAGTGGAACGTACTTTTTGGTTTAATGATTGTAATCAGTACTTCTGGAAGGTGCTAATCTGTATCTTTATTACACGTTAACGTTAAATTACTGTCTCATAGTGAAAACTATATAAATTGTTCTGTTCTGTTTAAATAAAATGATTCGAATATGGAGTATCTAATAATTACTACTTACATCCTTTGTATGATTTTATTTTTTACAGTGTATAGCGAAGTAACAAATATTAATAATACAGTGAATTTATCAATATCCTATATAAGGAACATGAGATACTTTGGTTTGAAATATAATTTTTTACACATTCAATATTTCAATATGTACAGTTTATATCATTTCAAATAATGAAAGGAAACAGTTAATTACGATTAAAAAGTTCTATTACTATTTTTGTAATGTATACAAATTTTGCGTTAGGTAATTTTACCAATTCCTTTCAAAATAACAAAAATGTATCACCTAGTTTTGTTTATACAATACATTAATAGAAATTAACTCACATGTATTTCATAAATAAAATTCCGAATTAAATCAATTTCCACTGTCACATACCTAATAAATAAAATTTGTTTGTAAAAACTTATTTTTAAAAGAGATGGTACTTTCATCAAGTAGTTTATAACAATAGTTTTAATAACTACACAATTATTTTACTTATTTATTACTTTCAAATCACATTAAATTGTAAGGAATTGCACATATATTATTTCCAAATATTTTACATCTTCCTAATATTTATAAACAACATCTTGCATTGGTTATATAATTATATATTAATTTTTACATTAAAAAGAAATATCAATTACCGTTAAACTTTTTATTATAATACTGCATAGAAAAAAAAGTACATATAATGCAAAAGTTTAAAAATTGAAGTTACAGTTTTTATATCTGAAATAAGATAAATTTTTCAGTAATCAAATGTTTAACCAATTTAAGAATACTAAACGCAAAATTGTAATTTTTTTTCTATTTGCAAATAATGTTTAGAAAAATAATACATTATTATAAATATAAAAATTTTTGATTCTCACTAAATTACTAACAAAGTACATAATTTACAGTCTTATATATGTGCATACATATTATCTTTTTGCAAGTTTTATTTCGGTACTTAATTTTAGTATTATATTGATAGAAAAAAAAAAATAATGAGTTGTTATTTCCTGTTCTAAAAAAAAACAAAAAAAAAACAGTTGCATATAAAGTAATAACGCTTGTGCATCTGTGCACATTACCATACATTTTTGTCTGGAAAATATTTTGTAATCTAGGTTACCATTTACTTTGATTTTAGTCCTTATATATCTGAATTAAGTTTTTAAAGCTTCCGTTTTTTTATATGTATTCTTAAAAATTTATCTTTAAACTATAAATGATTTTGTTGATAACAGAAAGTGCAGTTACTTCTTAATAATTGTAATGTTTATAAAGCCCTACTATACTTAATATAAACATTATTTATTCAAAATTGCATTAATATATTTAAATTTAAACGTTTTTGAAAATCACTTAAAAATTGTGACACTAAAATTCGTAGCTAAACTTTCATGTTACTTTCTGTTGTATCAACACACTCAGAATACTTAGGAGGAGGTTTTTTATGTAATGGTGCCTCTGGTATGTACAATGCAATTGTTGGTGAAATATCAGACTTTTCGATAAGTATTTCTTTGTAAGGATCAGTAGGTTTTTCTGGATACAAACATAACCAAAATGCAGATAATGCAGCTGCTGCAATAGCAGAAGCTAGAAGCCAATGAGGTAGTCCAATGTGTTTTGAAGCACATTGAAGCCAATCAGATCCAGGTATTGAAGCTGATTGATCATTTTCTCCAAAGTAGTCTGATGGTACACCATAATCCACTGTCTGTATTTTTATTATTAGATTTTATATTAAGTAATAAATATTTTTTATACACAAAATGTAACTAGTTCTAGGCATGCTAAATATTTTATAGTTAAAAAATATAGATCATACATAACAAAAAAAAATAGAGAAATAAATACCAAATTTAATACTTTTCAATATATATTTTATAAAGTATTATTATATTATAAGTGCTTTATTAGCATTCACTTTAAAATATGAAATTTTGTAAAACAAAAACTTACCCCAGCATCTAATGGAACAGTTTTAATATATGTTTGAGGTAATTTAAATCCATTGGAATCCCACCAACCAGGAAGAAGTTCTTTCCGTAATCCTGGATCAGTTAAAATATCATTTTCAGGTATATCAGGGGACATTAGAACTATATTAGAATTAACTCCTTCTTCTACATAAACAGCAAAGGAGAATAATGATAATATATCTGAAAGACGTTGCTTAGCCATGAAATCACAACCAGTACTACAGGCATATCGATCTTGTGGTGCTGTGTATGCTTCTGTACATGCTATAATAAAATTTGAAAAATATTAATTATTAAGTTTTTCAAACATATAAATATGTTTATTTATGCTTTAATATTATAAAGAAATCTTTTTAAAAATGATACATAATATTACAGTATATAATGTAATATTTATCTTAAAATTTCAAGTAACTAACCAATTATAATTTAAATAATACAATTTTTACTTACAAGCTTCACAGGAATCTCTGGTACCATTCAAACTGTTTGGTTCCAATCCATAATGTAAATCTACCAAATTGAAGAATCTACACCCTCGTTGACAACATGATTTCACGTATTTACTCTAAAATTAAGAGCTAATTTATTATTAAATTATACTACACAATTAAAAACTATGTATTTAATAATTTAACACGCACATTTGTGAAGGACAACGGTGTTTTTTCACAAAGATTAATGCACGGATCCTCTCGATTTAAAAGATTATAAAACATGTCACTGTGTGCAACATTGACAAGAAGTAACAACAATAACGAAACAATTTCCTTTTCTTTTCTCATTTCAATTGTGTTATTTATTTAAAATGCTATATTTCAGTTGTCAATTAAAATAATTGCTTAAAGAAAGAAACTTCACTCGTCGAAGGTTGATAGCTCGCGAATAATCGAGTAAATATCGATTTAATTATGGTGGGAACACATCGCATTGGTTGCATGTTCCGTCGTCTATGTAAGAACTGACCAATGTCTGCTTTAAAATTACAAATATGATGTTGTCTGTTAGATTCTAATACATTTCTAATCATTTGATGAAACTATAAATACAAAATTGTATGAAATAAAATATTTCCTCATGTGTGATGCTAGCGTTGAAAACTTTACCGACAGTCCCTAGAATAATCCCTAGAAACGAGAACACACCTTTTTTCGTTCCTGCTGAACAGATTGCAAAGAAATTTGAGGGACGTGTTTAGGAGGCCCTAAAGAATGGCGCTCTGGTCCTTATTTTATCCAAATCGTCAAAAAGTTATAAAATATTGAAATTGGTGACTGCCCACTGTCAAGAAAATGGCGGAACTGTCTCACCTGCATTAATTTATTCGTAATATAAACATTTTTGCGAATCGTATGTCCAAATAGAGACCAGAGGGTCATTCTTTGGGTAGGATAGAGCAAAATGAGCACTCAAGAGATGGTGTACAAGCTTTCGTTTAGAAAAATAGTGAGAACTACGATTTCGTTGATTTTTCACTCACAAAAGAAGTCAAAAAGGTAAAACAGACCACAAATTTAGTTCCTCGTTTTTTCTGTAGGGCGCAGTTCATTCGTTTTCAGCGCTCGACCGTGCGTTCATTCACAGCTCGTGTATGAGATTAAATTATGTATTAGATATCAAAAATACAAGAAACAGAAGACAAAGTTGAAGAGAAGACCGGAGTTGTGACTTCTGACATCATTTCCATATTGTCTTCAGAAATGCGTAAGCTGAAAATTTATACCCTATTATGTCGATATGGATACGAATTAAAATAACATTTCTCATTTATTCTGCTTTTATGATGATAATTTATTAAATACTATTAATATTTTATGTATTTTTCTATGTTCTTTCTTATATTTCGATGCTTTAAAGTGAAAAAAGTAATCTTAACCTTATTTCAATATGGCGTTGATAATTTTCAACGAATCTTTCCGTTCTTTTAATGTTAAAGTTTCAAAGCAATTCGAAGTTTCTACCAATGCCTGTGATTGGTCATTCCATTATGGCGTCCTTCTATTTAGACCAATCAGATTCATCGTTGAAGGGTGCGTTGCGCGAAGTGTGGTGGAGTGCAACAATCCTTTTCGAAGCTTCGTCCGTTTGGCACGTGTCTGCAACAGGTAAGATTAAATTATCTTCAAATATTGAATTAAATTGCCGATCGGGTGTTAAAAGCACAAAAAACAGAAAGAAACATCGAAGAAAAGTCTGAATTCTTGATCTTTGATATAATAAATTTCAATAAATATAACAATAATTTAATTAACAAACAATTGTAAAATTAAAAATAGTAATTAAATAAATTTGAATAGAATAATTAAACAAAATTTTGCAATATACCCACACGAAAATGTAAAGAAATAAACAATTTGAATAGATATAACAATAATTTGATTAATAAACAATTGTAAAATATAAAATAATAATTAAACAAATATTAACAAATATCAGATAGAAATAGTTAAATCTGCGGAACCGGTGAAGCGGAACGTCATGCTTGATTGCGCGCGCCGCGCGCCGGTACAAGCGCGACCTAGAGAGGGGTCAAATCTAATCAGTCCAAATCAGTCTTATTGCGACCGCCGAAGGATATGGATCGAGGTGTCAAACATATACCGGTAAGGGTTGACACCATGGATATTCGTGCATGGATTTATTAGTGTGTTACCTCAAGTGTTACTGTGTGTGCCTATGGTGTTTCCTATACTGTTTCCCATGTGTTTTGGAATATTTGTACGGATATATTAGTGCGTCTTATGGTGTGGTCACCCATGTGTTCTGACATTTTTATACAAGTGCATTAGTGTGCTGTGTGGTGTGGTACCCCATGTACCTGCATGTGCTTTATTGTGTTTTATGGTGTGGTTTCCTATGTGTTTTGGCATTTTATACGGATTTATTAGTGGGTTTTATGGAGTAGTACCCTTTGTGTTTTGGCATAATTATACGGATATTTATTAGTAGGTTTTATGGATTGGTGCCCTATGTGTTTTACTATAATTTTGCAAATATTTTATAGTGTTCTATGGTTTTGATCTTCGAGTGTTTTGGGATGTATTTGCATGTGTTTTACCGTGTTTTATGGAGTAGTTATTCCCATATAGTTTTGCATGCATATTTTTGAATTATCCTATGTATTAGCATATTAACTACAACAAATTGAGAGAAAACATATATCGTTCAAGAATCGTGATTTTTATGCTTTCAAATGAGTGATTTGGCCAGTGGGGATACCGTTTCTTTGACGAGCCAACAGACGAGCTTTGGGTCAATCTAACAATAAGATGCGTGGCGAGTGCAGTGGTGCAAGTCAACGATCGGTGAGTCGCATGCTTTAAAGTTCCTCCGGTTCCCATTATGTCGTAGGACGAATGGTCCGTAGCGACACGGGAATTGGTTGTAATTTTTATTTTTTGAGCGAGCATAGTGACCCACGAATATCACTGTATTATTTTATACAATGATAATCGTGCAAATTGCTTTTTTGTGTATTTTATGCCTTAGCTTAGGATAGGGTTATCTTGTACATATTTACATATATAGATTTCGAGTTTAAAAATGTAGAGAAGTCGGATGACCCTCCGACTTCACAATACACTTTCTTTTTTATATGTACAAGAATTTATTTCGCGATGAGCGGATTTCAATATCAAAGTAATAAGCATGATTACTATTAATTATTATAACTACTTACTTTGATAACGAAATCGCTCTTGAAATTGAAACGTTTTTCCAATTTTACTCGTGAAATTGGCATCAGTTTAGTATATGGGCTGGCCCCCGGGGGGGTTGGTATTTGCTCTTCAAGCATTGTATAAAGTTCCCCTTTCGTACTTGAAATTCATTCTGTCATGTTCACGGTTCTCGACCCTAAACACTCATCATTCGCACTTCAGCCTCACGAACTCTATCACATAATCATTTATCCACCCGCATACCCTTGTGTAGTGAAATATTACCCCGTTAGGATTTTCAAGTTATAGTAGTGTTGCGAAAAATTTTCAACGCGAGAATAAATATTACCCCGTTAGGATTTTCTTGTTTAAGTAGTGTTGCGAAAAATTTTAAACGAGAGAGTAAATATTACCCCGTTAGAATTTTCAAGTTTAAGTAGTGTTGCGAAAAATTTTCAACGCGAGGGTAAATATTACCCTGTTAGAATTTTCAAGTTTAAGTAGTGTTGCGTAAAATTTCCGGCGCGAGAGTAAATATGACTATACACTGACTAGTATTCGGTGGGAATCCTTTTGGTTTTTAAACTCAATCCAATGTATTATTTATTTAATCAAATTAGTTGCAAGGATTCCGCGGCATAAGACCGTGAAACACCATCTCATGGGAGATAAACCCATGCATTACTAGGCCTTTGCAGGCGCAGCTTTAGAATACGGAACATATGATAATATGTTACCATATTCTAAACTGTAGTCCTTTTGTCTATACTATGGGCGTCCGTCAATCTGACACCGTTGGATGCAACGTGTTGGACGGGCGGGTAGCGCTCTTAGCGAAGGGGTGCATCCTGTCCTGGCGTTACGACGTCCAGGCGGGGTGGGTGGTATGTAGCGTCGGGCGAAAGTCCAGGGGGCCTAAGAACCTCCGTTGCCAGCTGATATTAGCAGTGCACCATATTTGTGTCATAGTTGCCCAATTTTGCTTTTCTGTATTTGCTCTTCAAGCTTTATGTTTGCAAAGTCGAGTCACTTTTATTAAAAATAAAACCCCCTGTGGGGGCCATCCCATATGCTAAATCGGAGCCGTGAAATTTCGCCGATATTGTTACTTTTAATAAAGTGAGAATATCATCTTTAGTTTTTGCTAATCATACGTTTTAGCTCAGGCATTTCAGCACACATGAAGAAAACTGGTAGGTGAAAATACCTTTGGCCTTGTTCATTTTTATGCCCAAAGCTCATTCGGGTACTTAGATGTACTCGCGTGGATGGAGGGCGGTGGACAAGGTTTAGTTTTAAGTGTAATACATTTTGGCGACTGACAAAAGTAGTGAACCAATAGTGAACCACGATAGAAGTTCCACATGTGTGTGTGTGGTTAGGATGTGGGATTTGTATCGTTTATTAACAATCTTAACTTACTATAACATTGCAAAATACTTATCAAGAATAAATTGAAAAATTTTTACATTAGATAATTCAATAGAATACGAAAATGAAATGTATTGCTTTAGCATAATGTTCACTATTATTTGTCATTCGATTTCAGCAAAAAGGTATGATTTTATTAGAGTGTGAAAGTTGAATTGAACTCGGGTGTCGGAGGCGTCCCGGGACGTTCTCTCTAGGTGTAGGCATTTTTGCACCCGGGTGGTTGTATGAGAACCGTGGAGTGGATTTTTGTGAGAATGATTTTTGCCCTTTTTTAAATATAGCGATAGGCAGGCAGGTAGTTTACTTCTGGTGTGATTGAATTTAGTTTATAAGTAGGCAGGGCCAGAGCAAGCTTTCATGTTTCTCTTCGTATTCTCCTCTAATACGTGAGAAGCTTGTATCTGGGGTTGGGAAACTAAAAATCAAGAGAAAAGATGAAAATGCAATTTAATTACTTTATCAATTAATTAATTTAGCATTCTCTCTTGATTTTTTCAAGGCCAAGCCTTATTAGTTTGTAAGTCGTAGTTGTGGTACTAGACCCGATTACAAAAATGAAATATTAAAGTGAAAGTGCAGTGAAGTGAAGTGAAGTGAAATTAAAAAGTGTTTTGTGCTTGGACATTTGCAAAAATTGTGCAGGTATGCGAGTAGCGATTCAAGGGATCGTTGCTCGTTTACGTGTTACGTTTTTACAAATGTCTGAGCAAACGTAAAATTTTCGCGAGTGATTTTTGTGAGGCTATCGCCGAAGAAAGAAGAGGCTATATGCTGAAGAGCCCCGGCAAAATTTGCCCAGAAGAGGGGAACTACTAATGGCTCTCCATCTTCGGATGGACAGTCATTCTGTCACTATGCTCGCTAATTTGTTTTTTCATTTTTTATGTTTTTCCTTGAACGGTATGAATAATACCGTCCAGGACGTATTGAACTCGAAATTTTACGAGTTCAATATCCAGCTCGTTGAATAGTCAACTCGCGATTTTATTTCCCCTATTTCTTTTTCGTTTGTTGCTTTATTGAAATAAATTATTCTTTTCTTATTGATTTGCACATCAATTATATTTCATGTTCTTATTTTAATTATGTTCTATTTATTTAAAACATACTCTGAGATTGCAATGGTAATTATATTTTCTGTTGTCGGCATTTTTCATTTCAATTGTAATCGAAATTATGATGTTAATTATATTTTCTATTTCAGCATTTTATTGTTGAATTATTTTTGAACTGTTACTGAAATTATGATGTTAATTATATTTTCTATTTCAGCATTTTATTGTTGAATTGTTATTTTGTTAATTGTTTGTGATATTAGGATGTTAATTCTATTTTCTATTTCAAAATTGTATTGTTTAAATTTTTATTTTATGTTGTCTGTTTTGAATGATTTCACGTTATTGTATATTTAATCCTAATAATTATGTTTTCCGTTACAGCATTTTATTGTTAAATTATTATTATTTTCTCAATTGTTTCTGATATTAGGATGTTAATTTTATTTTCTATTTCAAGATTGTATTGTTTAAATTTTTATTTTATGTTGTATGTTTTGAATGGTTTCACGTTCTTATGATTTTAGGGTGGGTCACTAACGTAGCCACCTCCATGTGGTGTGACCTGGTAATTGATATCGTTTTCTAAAGATAACTTTTAGAAAGCGATATCAAGCTAAGAGCTACTATAAAAAGATTTATATATTTTTTAATTGGGAAACAATAGTTTAAATTCAGAAGGGTATTTTCGGGATTGCAATATTACCATACAGAACGTATAAATATAGTAATTTTATAGTTCCTGAAAAAGGATCTTGTATGATTTTTTACTAATTACAAATGACTAATTACCTCCATTTTTTCGAAGTCGGTTAAAAATAAAATAAAAAGAAAGTTACAAAATATGGAATTTAGAAAGAACGAAGTTGTTTGATACGCAATGGTAGAAAGAAATCAACCCTGGCGAAGATATTTCAAGCAGAGATGTTGTACATTGGAAATGCCATGACTTTATCCATGACTCTGGTCAGGCGCCAAATCTCGCTCTTGTCTACAGAACACATTTTACTTTTCATTTGATAGAAATTCGCTACGTTGACTAACAAATATTTTTCTTATAACAATTTTCGAGAGGAATTCATTATTGAATGAAAGTAAAAATTTGCATAAATGGAGGGTGGATGGGATGGGGTAGGGCGGGTCTCCAATCCACAGCAACCTCCTCGTGGTGAGAACTGGGCAATCGTTATTATTTGATGACTAATTAATAACTGTATCATTATTTCTATGGTACATTTATTAATTATACCGCAAATAATACGAGCGAATTGGCTGCGAAATTTATGCTTTCTTTTCTATTTAATCTCTGTTATATATTTTTCAGGAACTATGCCTTTCAGATTCTGAAGTGTATCACATTGCAACTACAATTTTACGGAACGAAAATTAATAATAATGAATGCATGGTCAGTATTGTTTAATTATGTACTTATACATATAGCTATCATAGCATACACGTATCATTTAGGTGTTTGCGAAAGGTGACGTAGTATAGCATGCCGTTAGTTGATAGGGTTGATAGCATGCAATAATTGAGGTGGCGCTTAAATCAGTTTCTTCTCGGCTTAATTTTCGATGAAACATTGACTGTTTTACCGATGCGGAATTCGAAGTTCGGCCTCAACGCTCGCATCACCTTAAGAACTTATGTATAAAGTTACAGATTTCTTTTCAAAAGAAACGTCATATTTAACCTTTTATTTTAAGAAAAATAGTGTTATTCACGATGAAGTGGTAATATAAGTAATATCAAAAATACCGACATCTGTTTTTAGTACATCTTAATTCGAATTAAGATCTTTAAAGGTTAGGATAGAAGATGTGCTAATATACATATTTATGTATATATATATTTACAATACATGTGCGCGTAACTTCTATTAACTCATATAAAGTGTTCATTTCAATTTAAAATATAATTAATGTAAGTACATAATTATATTACTAATGTTAATGAAATTAGGTTCATTTAAATTATATGTATCATTCTTTTTCAAGAAAATATTTCAATAAAAATGTTCAACATGAATTCATCCAATTCAACATCATCCGAGGCAAATGGAGAAAAAATACTTACAAATAATGAGTTGGATAGTATACCTCTGTATCTTATTGGTACTCAACAAAGATTTAGAGACAATATTATAATTCCAAGAACTGTGGGTCCTGTAAGATTTAAAACCAATGAAGAGAAAATGATAGAGAATGTAATGGAAAGTTGTACTTTTAAAAGCATTGCAAGTTGTGTTATAGGTATGTTACTATTACATTATATTAAACATTCATTATTTATGCCAGTATAATTAAACAAAAATTAGGTTTTTAGGGTATGGCTTGGGAGCTGCTATAGGTTTATTTTCATCTAGTGTAAATCCAAATGTAGCTGCTGTGGAAAAGAAACAAACTGTTCGTGAAGTCTTTAGAGAAATGAAAACTACTACATTAGGTTATGCAAAAAATTTTGCTGTAGTTGGTTGTGTATTTTCGGCAATAGAATGTACAATTGAATCGGTAATATTTTCATAAATTTAGTATAAAATTATATTTTAATTTATATTCATGTATGTATATGTATATATTATAACATTATTCTACTTTATATTTTAGTATAGAGGTAAAACTGATTGGAAGAATGGCACATATGCTGGTGGTTTAACAGGAGGAATAATAGGGTTAAGAGGTATGAGTACTTTAAATGTTAAAGCAATATATGTAATATTTATACTACATATATTTGTAAGTATAATTTTATGTTTCAGCTGGTGTAAAGGCAGGCTTATTTGGAGCAGCAGGCTTTGCAGCATTTTCAACAATAATAGACTATTATATGCATAAATCTTAAACACTTAATGTTATAAATTATAGTAAATATATTTGTATAAAAGAGATATAAAATGCACTCTCAGTGTACCTGTACAATACATACAAAAGCGCAAAATAGTTCTTAGTATAAAAACGCATACATATAAGTACAATAGTTAAGAAATAAAGTAAATGCACATAGTATATTGATATTTGTCTCACATGCATTATATAAATATTTTCTTATAAATTTTTATTTTTTCAGTATAGAGTATTATATTAATTTCCTAAATCTTTCTTTGAGATGAATAATAAAAAAAATGAATTAAATGGCTAGTGTCATACAATATTAAGTAAAAGTAAAATTAAAGATAATACTTTACATATTGCAAATACGTAAACACGTGCGAAATTATTTATTCCTATTTAACTGCTTATCACAAAATGTAAATTTGTTAATTATTAGATATGCTAAATAATTACTAACAATTTTATGTCAGTAACTTTAAAACTTTACTGTGTAAACGATATACACATAAACTTAAATGCCTTTGTGGATTTATCTGTAAAATATATAAAATACCAATTTTACTGAATTATGGTATGTATTATATAAATAATTTTTCATCAGTAACTTCATACTATGGCCTGTCATGTTTCTTTACTTATTTTAGAATGAAATTTTTCTTTTCAATATCTAAAAAATTGTGCATGTTTTGTTACATTACACCATTTACTATTATACAACACTATCAAATCTCAATTGTACTGCCTTTGCTATTTTAAGAAATATGAATCTTTTATAACAATGTAATTTTACAGAATGGAGTATATTATGTATTATCCTTGTACTTGAATAATGAAAACTGTAAATTTTTCTATTAAGAACAATATGCAAGGCACTTATCACATATGTCTATGTTGTATTATTATAAATCATTTTTTAAGCTATAGTCATATTATGTATTACACACTCATAAACTTATACATTTTTATGTCACTTTTTGATTTCGTTGAGATACTGGAACACGAACAATTATGTTTATGACTTAGTATAAAAAAGAAAAATACTGAATAGAAAAACTTATTTCTTATAAATACGTTTGTCAAAAATAAGTTTTAAAAATTTTTATCTCGAATAATATCAATTATTTGATACATTTTTTTGGCACCTGTAATGGCGAAGAATGACTTTCCTCGCACATTTGTGCACAAGGCATGTGTAGTTATGGTTGTTGCTGTTGCATTTGTGCCTGCATTACCGCAAGAAGTTCTTGCATGCGTCGTAACTCTGCCTCTTTTTCTTGCAAAATACGATCTTTCTCTGATACAGAGTTACTTTTTTCAGATTCAACAATGCTATCAAAAATTAATAAGAAAAATTAATTAACAAATATATTCTTAATATTTTTAGTATTTCTAAAATGTACGTTAAACTTACGTTTGTCTGCGAGGTGGTACAGGAGCTCCTTTCGCTAATCTTTCACTGCGATAATTTTCATAATGTACTTCTTGAGTTACTTCTTGTAAATCCTGCATATGCGTGCTGTAAAAATATTGAATTACTGAATAACAAATGTTTCTCTCAACTTTTAGTACATGTTTTTGAATAGATTACATACATTAACATTGTTCTTAGCTTTATAAAATCACAATGGTCTGGGTTCTCAACTTCAACTACACCCCATGGATACAATCGTCCACGTACTTTCCGTCCTTTTACTTCTAATAAAGTATTTGCTCCGCATACGGCAAATGGAACTGCTTCTTTTAACTGTCGAACTTGCTCTTTGTAATCTTCATCCTCGTCGCTATCACAATCTGGCAGGGGATAAATCTTTATTCCACTGCCTTCAATTTCTTCCATAACACGTTTCTTCAAGCGTAATACTTCTTTTTTTGTAAGTACATCAGCCTTTGCAATTACTGGTACAATATTAACTTTGTTATGAAGCTGTTTCATAAATTCTATATCTAAAGGTTTTAATCTGGGAAAAAAATAGAAGATATAATATTATATTTCATTGTATTTTAGGAGCTTGTTATTAATATATCTTACCCATGACCAAATGGTGAAATGAAATAAAAACAACAGTGTATTCTATTGTCTACTATATTCCTTCTATTTAAACCACTTTCATCACGTAAAAATCTTTCGAACTGATCATCAATGTATTGTATTATGGCTCTAAAACTATCTGTATTATCAATTGCATCTCCATAACCTGGAGTATCAACAACAGTCAACCTAAGTTTTACCCCCCTCTCTTCAATCTCCACAGTGGAAGCATCAAGTTTCACAGTTTGATTAGTTTTCTCTATTTAAATAGAAACAATAAGTTAGATACAATATATAAAGAATATATATACACATACAAATATAAGTACGTAAATAAAATTTACCTATAGCATCAGGAATTACACGTTCCGGATATAAATCAGTAAGAAACAAACTATTTACTAGTGTAGATTTTCCTAGACCAGATTCTCCAACCACCATAAGTGTAAATTCAAATCCTTTTTTCACTGATTTTCTATGTACTTGATTAGGTAGATTTGCAAATCCTACATATCCAGGAGTCTCAAGACTAGCAAACTAAATAAAAAAGATATATTTATAGAGAAATTTTATATGAAATAATATGAACAAATTTTCTTGTAACAAAGAAAGGCAAATTATTTATATTTTAATTCTACCTACCGTTTTTACGCTTTCGCTAGACATTTTTATTCGATAATTCAATGTAACGGTAAAAAGAAATTAAGCTGATTGCGTGGCGTCTTTAAACGTTATTCGGAACAAGCCAAAGCTAAGTTTCAAGCCAGTAAAAGTTGTATTATGGTAGAGTGTGATATCGTAATCATGCCGAAAATATATGTATATATATTATATGAATACGAACAAAAGATCCAATAGGTTACAATTTAAATTTCAAATCCACTATGATCAACATTATTTTTCCATTAATAGTTCGTAGTCAATAGTAGGCACAACCATAATCAACAAATACACTTTTTTGACGTGGATTGAGCAATACATGAAAAGATGTTGCACCAACTATACATACATACAGGAAATGTTACTGTATATTCGGGCAGGAGGGAAAAGGGGGATAACCCTTTATAGGGGAGAAGTTTAGGCGTGGCTGGCGAAATAACTTTGATAATTTGCAAAATATACTCCGCTTATATTTTAGCTGAATTTTGCAAATTTTTAATATTTTTTATTATAAATTAATGTTAAGTGCAAAATATAATATCTTCTAAATGTATGTAAAAACTTACATAAAAATCTAACATGAAACAATTTTATCAAAAACCATTTTGATTAAAACATTTCAGTATATTCATAAGTAACTTACAAAATATGTTAAGAATATTACATGTCGTTTACAATTGAAATTACACATAAAATTCGTATGTTCTAAAACCTTAATTTTTCTAACGATACATTACATACACGAATACGAGGCAAATGACTACTTTATTCAGGAAATAGTTATCATATACAAGCACAGTTTTACATAATTATCTGTCATTAATTCAAGTTTTCCTTTATTTATTATCTCATAATCATCGATATCTTTTCAAATAATCGACATTTATTACTAGCATAGTTAATTAATCTGTTACACAATATTAATGCGTAATAATCGACACATTATTTTTATTTCTCTTAATCGTTTGTCGTTAATTCACAAGCGCGTAAACAATTGTCTAATATTATTTAATCGAACATGATTTTTCTATTAAACAATCATTCACGGGTCGTATTAACAAGCACATACAATGATTAGTATTGAAGTAAAACATAAAAGTTGTAAGGAAGGAAATGAAAAGGATAATGTTTTTGTACTCTTTGAAAGAAAGATTATTTTTAAGAGTACAATATGAGAAGTACAGTTTGCACGGAATCAAATGTACGTGCGATAACAGTATATATTTTTTTTTAATAATTTGTACACATACCCTCAATATTATCACAAACTGATACCGAATTCAACTTCAAATTGACATGAATATTAAAATGTTCTTTTTGTATCGTTCTCACGATCGTAGATAGCACACACGCACATATGTCTATATATGTGTGATAATTGGTTTTAATACGTATATTATATATATAAATACACATAACGAATATTAATTGGAGCATGCATTATGCACACAAAGTTTTTTACTTTAAATTCCCAATTTATTATTACATTTTTCAACTAAGAAGATAATGTAAATAGAGAGGACACTAGATGAGAAAATTTCATGTTTAATTAAAAGTGCCAAATGCGTAGAACTTAAAAATCTCATTAAATCACCTTTTATCATTACGTATTCGTGGGGAAGACTCTCCTTTTGGGGGTAAATCAAAATTATTGTAATTTCATTTTATCTTTGAAGAGATATTCCCCACTATATTTGAGGAAACTGTGATCTTGTGTCTGTTTCCAAACTTTTATTTTGGGAAAGTTTCTTTCCCTGAAATTTAGGGAATTAGAAACTAATAATCATATTAATGTGTTTACTTGTCATCGGTATTAAGTTTCTCCTCTCGAGGTTTTGCTCCACCGTAAATTGAACTTGATTTACTTGATTCAGCAATTGCATTTATAGGAGCTTGAATTGTTCTTGGTTTTAAGACCAGACGTTTTCTTCCAGATGTATCTGGCGCTAATAATAATAAAAATATTATTATTTTCACTACTTTAAGTATAGTGATTTTAATAAAATATATTTGTATAAAAACAAACCTGGAGGTGGATCTTTGTTAAATGATTCATCATGAAACGGTTTCCGTTCTGGGCCAGTTCCTCGAGGAGGAGGTGGTCTATTACCATATGATCTAGATGCCGAGTTACGCGACCAGTCTCGACTTCCGCCACCTGCTTCATCATTGAATGGACTATAATTGCTTCGGTTACCCCTCATATCCCACATATTACTTTGCCTGCCACCATGTTGCCCTCTATCATTGTAACCTCCTGCACAATATCATTATATTAATTTTAAATTTGTACTACAAATATATCTTTTTATCTTTACATATATGCACATGCAATAAAATATTATTCTCTGTATAAAAGAAATTCCGCTATGGATTTAAATATACGCCATATTATTTAAACTGCTTTAAAATGTAAAACTTAAAATATCTATGATACGCGTTATGCCAAGCATAACAAACTATTCATAAAGTTTCTACCGAAATCATCACCATATCCACCACGGCCAGCATCTCTCCCTCTAAATCCTCCTCCACTGCCACCACCACCACGGCCTCTCCTGTCAAAACCTCCACCTCGATCATTTCTTTTTCCCTCTGCTACATCTATTTTAATCACACTTTTGTCTACTTCTACTGCCCCATCCATTTCTAGGGCTGCTTCTAAATCTGTCACATCTTCAAATTCAACATAACAGAAACCCTTAAACCTATAACAAAATAAGGTTTAATGACTTTGATCAAAATTATATTTGAATTATTAAACATAATAAAAAAATGTTATTCATTAAAATATGATAAAACTTGATTGTGTAGTAGTTAGGTGTAATCAAACAAACCTATCAGTTTCTTTATCTTTAACCAATCTGATTCCTTTAACGTTAAGTTTTTCAAAGATTTTATCCACATCTCCTTGAACAACTCCATTTGGTAAGTTTCCCACATAAGCAGTGTAAGGTGGTTCAGTTGGCAATGGTTTCCTGCCACTTCGATATCCACCTCCATAATCTCTGCAAACATAAATAAAAAATCATATATATTTACATACATTAAAGAATAAACCATTTTACAAATATTATTTTGTATATATATTTTACATAGTTAATTTCTATGAAAAAACGAAGCACTTTTAGTATGTCTTATTATCTTTTAATCTTATTTACTAAAGGATGGTTAAACGTTATAAAACCATTATACGAATATAACTGATACACTTACAATTACAAAACTCTTTTATTGACACTTAAAAATAAAGTGCATAACAAAAATAATGTCTAAGAGTTGATTGTAACAATTATTTGAACATTAATTTTCTTAAGTATACAATTCTAACGAAAATAAATTACTTTTGTGTTTTGTATCCAGCGTCTTTTAAATCAACAAGTTGTATGTATTATACAAATATTAAGTCAATATAATAGTTATTAGTGGCACGAATAAAACACACGAATGTTTGGTTGGCCAAAATAAAGCCGCGTGTCGAAGGAACCATATCTGCAAGGTGCTACGCTGCACTCTAATCGAAACTCACTTAACCTTAAAATCGTAAAATTATTGAAAAGAAAAAGTTGCTTCTTTATTAGTTCTGCACACTGAGTAAATATCACCGTTGCACTATTTTCGAAAACCTCAACGACTGTTATACACAAAGGAAATTGCAACGTATACTTGCCTTGAATCTTCGTAACCACCTCGACCAGCCATATTGGATGCACGAAACTGACCGGGACCGCGCGGGTCGAGTGAGTCACTATGTTCAAGATGGCACTTTTTTAATCACCAAAGAATTTTTAATCATGAAACTATACGAAATTACTTAATTGGTTATTGTCACTTCCATAAATGAATTTGATAATCACTCATAAGAAAGATATAACAATTGTTTATAAAGAATACAGTTACCGTTATTTTTGTCAGAAATTTTCAAATGATTAGATCATGCCGATGTCTTTTTAAGAAATAACTTATTTCTGCATCAGTTTGCATAATGTTACTAAAAATTTTTATCAATAGTAATTTGATAGTTTTAGCCGAAAGAGTGAAATTTTTAACGGAAACGATTGACAATCTGTGCTATACAAAAATAAGATATACACTTTTGCTTTTATATTCTATTCATTATTTCTTTTATTCAATTAATAATTATTAAAATACTATTAAAATATTAAATCGTTCGATTGTTTTTATATTCTGTTTCTAATCTATGAAATCATTTATAGATTAACGTAGTTTTTACTTAAATCAAGATGGCAGATGAAAGCATGCACATGGTAGAGGTTCTTTCAAATGATTCGAAAATAAAAGAAATAAATAAAATGGACTGCACAATTTTAGATTATTTTACAAAACTTAAGAGCGAAATTGAATCCGAAAGAATAGATGGTGGAATTGTATTATTAAACTATTTACGTCAACAAAGTTCAGTAAGTGTGTATTTAAAGATAACCTTATAGTTTATATAGTTTTTGAAAACCGCGAAAAATATTTATATCTTTTTAATGAATTAAATGTTCACATTAAATAATTTTTCAGGAACAGAATGACAGTAAGGAATTTAAATATGCCATTAAAAGGCTTATTCGAAGTTTAGGTTCCTCAAAAATAACCTCTAGAATAGGATTTTATACAACTTTGACAGTTTTTTTAATAATGCATCCCGAACAACCAATTGATAACTTTCTGTCTATAGTAGATAATGAATTACATCCAGTAAATAGTAATAGTAAAAGTGTAAGAAAACTCATTCTTGTTACACTTTAATATTTAATTATCTTGTAATGTTGGTTATATTATTTTAGGAAAATGCTGATATCTATATGGGTCGTATATTAGCATATGGAGCACTGATACGATCTACTATTCTTTCTAAGAGTGCTAGTGAAACACAATTACAAATTCTACAAAATCTTGTCAATGCTGGCAAACAACGCAGTTATTTGTCATTTATTTCTGTTTCATTTCTTGTTGAATTTATAAATCAAGTTAATCTTGAATGTATACAGAAATCAGTTTGGCCAGTTGTTGAAAAAGAATTTGGTAAACCTTGGGTAGAACAAACCTTAGATTCTTTTTATGTTTTGTTATCAATCCAAAACAAATGTCCATCACTTCTAAATTATGAATTTTCAAAAAAACATTTTGGTACAAAGAGTATCATTACTAGAGAGTCTTTGAGTGATATAATAAAAGTGTTATTGGTAAGTGTGCATTAGAGCATCATATATGTATAAGCAATTTTATAAATGATTTACTTATATTTTCAATTTTTAGGATTTACCTAAAATTGTATCATGCCATCATCCAATATTTAAACTATTTTGTGAAAATTTAGTGTCAACTGATCTTATTACTGACTTTTGGACACACATAGATAGTAAATTTGTAAAACCATCAAAAACTGATGAACACTTGGTTATACAGATTTTTAAATTCATATTATCAAATGTTAAAGATAAGTCTGTACTTCCATCACTGTTATCTCCAAATTATATGCAGTATATGTTAACGAAGTTTTCAAGATCTAAAAAACATGACAAGGATGAAATACTCGTGGCATTCAAGGAAATTTTAAATTCATTAGTATCAATTGTAAACAATGATAATACTAAGCCAAAAATACAAATTGCTGTATTAAAAAAGTTAATACTATATCCAGGTGATTTAATGATTGAAAAAAAGACAGGTACAAAGGTAGTTCAGGCAGTCACAGGAAACTTAAATTTAGAAGGAATTAAAAAGGTTTCAAAAATATATAGAAATATAATTGAAAACACGATACCTAAAGAAAAACCGAATATAAAAACAGAATCATTTTGGACAAATGCTGAAAGAATGTATGCTGCTCATTTATTAACAAGGTATTTAATAATGAAATTAAATTCTATTTGTATTATAATGATATGTATACTTAATCTATTAATTTCTCTTACTAGATTAATGGGACATTATAAAATGGTTGTGGACCAAGAATGGAGATTAGATCAATTGAAATTCTTATTTGTTTATGGATTTTGTGAAATACCAAACGTTGGAGTAGATTTAGCGCGTAAATATTCTTTTACTTGATTTTTTTTTTACATAATATACATAAATACATATATATTTAATTTGTGAAATTATATCTTTGTTTGTATAGCGCAGTTTAAAGAAGCATTTTATCATGCATTAGATCACAAATTACCAAAGTTAAATGAATTACGAAATATACTAAGTGAATTAGTTCATTTTGTAGATACTCGAATAAAAAATAAAATTTCAAAATTAAGAAACCCGTTAACAGAGGAAGCAAAGGATGCTTGGGAAAAAGTGATACGTTCGATTGAAAATTTGGAAAATAAATCAAAAAGAGCAGAGGTAGTACCAGTATTTCATACAATGTATTTACATATGGGTTTACAATTATTTTCAGACCCAAAAATGGCAATTATGGCTATTAATGAACTTCAAAGTTGTTATGAAAGACTACAAAAAAAGTCGAGAAAAGGTAAAGCAAGTTCTAATAAGACGGAAGAAGATGAGCCAGAATGGGTAGAAGTAGTCGTTGATTTGTTATTATCCTTCTATTCTAAAAATAATCACTTATTACGATCGTTAGTAGGATGTGTTTTTCCACATATTCGTCCATATGTGACCCCAACAGCTATACACCACATATTAGCAGTATGTAAATATTGTAAATATAATTTAACAATTGATACATATCTTACCATGAAACTTCTGTTACTAGGTGTTAGACGTAAGAAGTGAAAAAACGCCTCTTGTATTGGCAGATACCGTTGATGAAGAAGTTTCATCAGATACAGAATCAAGTTCAGACAGTGAAAATGATAGTAAACGCGACGAAGAAAATGATAATAATGAATCAGAAACAATGTCAGATAGTGACTCTGATTCGAATGAAGAATCAATGAACGAAGACGAGGATGAAACAGTAACTGATAGATTAAGAATGGCAGTGCGCCAAGCGTTAGGTGATGCTTCCGTTCAAACGGATGACGATGATGTAGATGTTGATCAAATTGACGAGGAAGAAGGGAAACAATTAGATGAATCATTAGCTGCAGCATTTAAAATTCTTCGAGAAAATCGTCAAACACAGTCCAAAAAACAAGAAAAGTCAGCTCATGCTCTTACACATTTTAGAATTCGTGTTATAGATTTGTTAGAAACTTATTTAGAATGTAATCCATCAATGGCGGTAGCATTGGATATGTTACTACCTCTTTTTACGTTATTGGAATACTGTATAAAAGATCCTCATCAGAAACCTCTTCAAGATCGAGTTCGATCTTGTTTAAAAAAATTGTCAACAGTAAAAAAGTTCAAGGATACAGAGGATATTAATGAAGAGTTATTAACAGTGATATTAAAGGTAATTATAATTGGTATAATAAAAAATAATTTCTATATACCAACATTGAAAATTATGTATTTTCAAGGCGTTGATAGAGAAAGGAGAACGAACCACATCAGTTTATCATGAAATGAGCGATAAATTAGCAGAGTGTTGTACATTTCTTGTGAGATGTGCACAGCAGGCTAATTTAGCTACTGATACTATAGTTCAAATTTATGGAGAAAATTTAACTGCATTCTTCAAAAGAAGGGACTGTGTATTGTCGCCTTTGTTATTTAAAAATATTTTGCAGTTACATTGGGAGGGTAACTGGCAATTAGCACCGTTATTGGTACATTTCTAATTTCTATTCTAATAATAAAATTTTATTAGTAACATATTTTCACTCAATATGTATTTGTTTTTATAGGTGGATTTTGCTTTTGACAGTAGCGTAAGGTCTTTTCGCCGAGGTTATGCACTTGAATTTTTAACAGTCTTTTATAATAATGGTCGATTGGTTCATTTAGATACAAAACATTTGGATATAAGAATGAAAATGGAGAAAAAATTATGTAAAAATACTATAAACACACTTAAAGAATTATGTAATACAAACAAAATTGAAAACGAACAGTCTATTCAAAGTAATGGTAGTGGAGTAGGAAAAGAAGTTAAACAAAGGTACGTTTGGCTTCTTTTATCGTTGTTACGAAGCATTCACACTCAACATTTACCGGAAGCATGGAATTGGGAAGAAATTGGGAATGTACTTACACAATTTAAAATCAATGTAACCCTTGTAAAGAATGCAAAAGCAGCATATAATAAATTGGCAATAGAAATTGGAATTCCACTTCATACGTAAGTATAAACTAAGATAACTACAAAGTTGTTTAAATTTTATTTTAATTCTGTCTTTATTTCTTTTCTTATTTTAGATCAGTAAAAAAAAATAAAAATAAACAAACTTCTACGATAAATGGAGAAATAAATGAAGAATTAACAAACAGTGTTGAACAGGAAAATGTAGACCTTAGTCAGGAAAATGGAGATACACAAACAGATACAGATATAACAACACTAAAGAAAAGCGAATTAAAAAAAAGGAAAAAAAGTAAGAATAAACAAAAAGACAAGCAGTTATTAAAAAAAGAAGCACGTATGTTACGTGAAAAAGCAATGTCGGAAGGTTTTGAATCATTTAGCTTTAGTTCTTTTGCTTTAAGTGAAGAAGCGAGTAAAGATGAATCACTTCAGAATGGAGACTCGCAAACTACAGTAACTAGTCGCAATACTTCACAAAAAAGAATACTCAGACACAACCTAGACAACAACAAATCAAAAAGAAGAAAAAGTATGGAAATAGATTGATACATCTAACGAAATTGATTACAATTAATACAATCGTAAATAATTGTTATTTTTATATATGCATTTATAAAAATATGCGTCAGGAAGTTTGTACAGCTTTAAAATATATAAATAAATCTTTAACATAAGTTCTTAATGTTATACATTTTTAATAAGCATCGTTATAAATAAATCATTGTAACAATGTATAAATATGTATAGAAATATGTACATATTAAGTTGTGTGTGTGTGTGTGTGTTGGTTTTTAAAACTGTCGGTAAAGTAAAATATGTTACTATATACATATTCGTAGCACTTCGTGGTCATATACAGGATGAACAAAAATATATGAATAGAGGAAGCAAGTGATAATGTCGAAAGTTGAAGAGTATACGCTAAATATAAGACCACTGGATATATTTCTCCGTGTCACAATATGTCTCTCGTTGAATACATAACAGAGGGAGGTTCTTTTAAATTTCATTATTAAATTATACATTGTGACACTAATAAAGTAATTGATAATAAATATTTGTATAAAAACTTTTCTACTACTGTAAAAGAATATTTTAGGTGTTATTTCATGACAGTTTTTAATCAAATTTGGATTGTATTCGTGATATGAAGGTTAGCCACGAGGTAAAAATATATATTTTTTTAATATTTATAAATGAATTTGAATAGAGATCTTAAAACTTTTAATTAGATGGAGAAACAATTTAAAAAAGTAGCCAATATGAATGAAAATTTAAAATGGTATGAAGAATATCCTAAAAGTGAGGAACCATATAAACATTCTAAATCTGAAACAGAAATATCAGAGTTAAAATTTAAAGCAAAACGATATTTAGATGCAGAAACTTCTGTTTATCAATTGAAAGAATCAAAATCTTCTGATTCAGAAACAACATGGTTAAGAACAGCATTAACACAGGGTACCATGTCAGACAAAATAGCAGCTGCTATTGTATTAGTACAGGATAAGCCAAAATACAATTTAAGTAGACTTACAATGCTTATAAATCAAGTACGAATAGCAAAACATAATCAATGTAACATGATAATCACATCTTTGAGAGATTTGTTTTTATCAGATTTGCTTCATCCTCAGTTTAAATTATTTAAATTTGAAGAACAAAATTTAGACGAACTAACCAAATCTAATTCTGAGGATACAATAATCAAATCAGATGCATCAAAGAACAAATTAATGGCCCATTGGTATTTTGAAGATCAACTACATGAACACTATGAACGTTTTGTTATATCTTTGGGCACCATTGCATCAGATACAGTTGATGCAAACCGTGAAATAGCAATATCAGTAATGACAGATTTATTGATAGGAAATTCTGAACAAGAACATAAACTGTTGGAGTTGATTGTAAATAAAATAGGAGATCCAAGCAGTAAAGTAGGATCCAAAGTGATATTTTGTTTAAATAAATTATTACATGAACATCCAAATATGAAACTTATTGTACTGAAAGAAGTTGAAAAGATATTGTTCCGAAAAAATGTAGCACAACGTGCACAATACTATGCAATTTGTTTATTAACGCAATTTCTATTAAATAAAGAGGATGAAAAAATTGCTTCTACTCTTATTGAAGTATATTTTGCATTTTTCAAAGCATGTTTGAAAAAAGGGGAACCAGATAGTAGAATGATGGCAGCAATTTTAACTGGTGTTAATAGAGCATTTCCATTTGCAAGAATGGATTCAAACATATTATCTAATCACATAGATTCTGTGTACAAAGTTGTACATATTGGATCTTTCAATGTTTCTTTAAATGCCCTTAATTTATTATATCAAGTAAGTATAATATAATTTCATTGAAGTATTTTTATGTTAATTCTATTTTTATGTTATTTAGATTACTGGAAAAGATGAAGTCCAATCAAATAGATTTTATTCAACATTTTATAGAAAATTACTAGATCCGCAGATAGGAGTAGCAAATAAACGTGCACTATTCCTTAATTTATTGTTTAGAGTTCTTAAAAATGATCGTAATATACAACGTTTGTATTCATTCATTAAAAGAAGTTTACAAATTGCATTATATTTTCCTGCAAATATGTTATGTGCAATTTTATATATAATATCTAAAATTTTACATACAAAAAAGGAATTAAAAGATTTGTTGTTAAATCCTCCAATGTGTATTAAAAATGAAACCGAAAACTGTTTATTGAGTGCAGAAGATAATGTATCTGATAAACCTAATGAGGACTTAGAAGAGTCTGTTATATTAACAAATGTTACAACTGAATTGTATACAAATGAGGAAACTAAATCTGAAAAGAAAATGGAAAATGATACAAAAATAGAATTTGATAAAAAAAAAGAATATGATCCGTTTTGCCGTAATCCTCTTTATGCTGGAGTAACTAAAGGCTTAAATACTGAACTTATAGCGCTATCTAAACACTATCATCCCAGTGTGGTTTTATTTGCAAATACTATTATTGAGGGTACTGTATCTGTTTATATTTTATAAATACCTCGTATATTTTGTAATTAAATATACTATTTAAAATTTGTAGGAAAACCAATAGATTATACAGGCGATCCATTAGAAGATTTATCTTTAATGCGTTTCTTGGATCGTTACGTTTTCAAAAATCCAAAGAAATTGGACGATAAGAAGATACAAAAGAAGAACGATCCCTTAGCACAGCGTGCTGGATATACACCTAAAGGTATCAGATGTATTCCTGTTGATAGTGTTTCATATCTTAATGAAAAGGAAGAACGTATCCCAGTGGACGAATTATATTTATATTGCTATTTAAGAAAGAGAAAGGAATTTAAACAAACAGCTAAAGAAGATGATGACGTAGAAAGTGTTAATAGTGAAGAATTTAATGATATGTTAGATAGATTAACAGATGGTAAAGATTTTGAAGATTTAGATATTATAGGAGACATTCAAACCGTAAAAACAAAGAATAAAGGTATATCAACATATTTTCTTCATTCTTTTAACATATATATTATTTTAAAATCATTATTTAATTACAGATATTGAGAATGAGGAAGATTTAGAAGATGATAGTGCTAAAAGTGAAGCGAGTGATGATTTTGATGATATAGAATATGCAGAAGAATTAGATGAAAACGATGACATAGATTACGAATTGCAAGATGCGAGTGATATTGATTTAGATTTAGATGACGACGTAAGTGACATGGATTTTGACGAAGATATTGACGACAATGAAAATATTTTTGGTGATGATATTCAGTCAAATAAGAATAAACAGAGCAACAAAAAATATGAAGGAAAAAGTAAGATAAAAAATTCCAAAGGAATTGATAGTAACATATTTGTATCGGCGGAGAAATTTGCAGAAATGCTTGAAGAACATAGCAAACAAAAAAATAAACATGGCGGTACAAATGTATTTAACGTTGCGGATGGTGCAAATACTAAACAAATAGAATGGGAAACGAAACGACACCATAAACTTAACGGCTTATTCAATCGTAAGAAACGAAAAGGTTCTAAAATGCCTCGAAAAAATGTAAAAAAGAGTAAATATTAATAAAGATTTATAATTTTTAAAATCCTAATCGTATATAAACGATTAAAAGTATTTCATACGTTATAAAAAAGAAAATAGTCCTTTAATCGATACTTCATACAAAGTAAAGAATATGAGTTATACATTTAGTTAAGACTTCTTAGACACTAAAACGTTTCATTTAATCGTTAACGAAAAGATTAATCTATAATATAAAAAAATTATTATACTGATACTGAATGCTGCAAAGAAAAGATATCTTCAGTTATTATTAGACAACTTAACCTTTCTAAAATCTATCAATTATAGTACAATTTAATTTTTTTGACATAAGTGTTTCTTGTTCATACTATAATACAAATTTTATCTTATGCAAAAGTAAATATTCTTAAAGTTATCAAAATGGTTTTTAGATTTACAAATTGTTAGATTACTTTTACTTGTTTTTGTATGTAGTGTACATTGTCATATTTAACTTTAATACAATATTTTGCAATTTCTTTAGCAACTGAAACAAAGCAGAGTCATAAATATGATTAAAAAAATACCTGTAATTTTAATTAAGTAATTGATGAAGTAAAGTAAATAAGCATTGTATTGAAAAATAAGTTACATGTACAACACAAGTAACCGTTATTATAAGTAAACGAAATATTATTCATTAACTCTTAGATGAAAAGTAACAGTTGCAAAAGAACTTGAGAGTATACATTTTATAAAAGTACACTATAAGTAGTTTGTTTTGCTTGATAGTCACACAGGTATGTAATAAACATTGCCTATTTGTTCAAATTTAGTTTACCATGGATCGTAAAAAAACATTAACCCTACGCTACTATTATTGTGCAATAATTAATAAATTTTAAATTTTCCATTTTGTACACGCTATTCTTTGTTATATGCGACAAATTCTAAAGCGTGCTGTGTAAGTATATTGAAAAGCTGGACGCTACTCTGCATCAGCTTTTGTCGAGCCTTCCTCGTCATGAGTAGGACTATGCCATGTTAGCCGTTCTTCGTAAAACTTTATTACAATTTGTGGACATTTTTCGTTGGCAATTCGAGCAGGTACTAAATCTGCATCGTCTGTTCCTTTCCATTTCATTAGGAACATCAGTTCTCCACTTGAATCTGTTGCACCAATAATTCGTTCAGGTTCTAAATTTCTGTCAAAACCTATAGAAAATAAAATATATTAGTTAAAGGGACAATTAATAAATCAAAATCAAAATAATAAATATAAAAACTACCTTCAAGCTTTTCTTCAGTTGCTTTTTTCTTAGCTTGAGTAGGAGTAGGAGTACTCGAACTTTTTCGTTTCTTTTGCTCTTTATCTTCATGTCGTTTAGCTGCAGCTGCTTCTTTCTTTTTACGTTGCTCTTCAAACTGTGCAATTAAATCTGGACAGTCTAGATTTTCTTCTGGTTCCCATGTATTTTCATTATTAGAATACCCCTTCCATTTTAAAAAATATTCAACCTAAATTATATAGTATTCATTAACATTAATAGGCACTCGCTGAATAACCATATTAATGTACATACATATTAACAAAAACTGTTTGAATTACATACTTTTCCTTTAACCACTCTTCTGTCTAAAACTTTTTCAACACTAAATTCTTCTGCTTCAGTTTCAGCAGGAGATGATTCTTTTCCTTTGCTCATTTTGATTTAAATAATATATACTACGACATAACAAAGTGTGTTAAGGTAAAAATGATGAAATAAATAAAAAAAAGAAATTCATTAAAAGTAAAAATTTATCTGCTTATTAAGAAGGTTGGTTGAATTTGAATAATGGACTTATAAAAGAAAAAATTTACAAAAGATAATTGTGTAGTATAAAAGAAGAATACATATAAATAGTTTAAAAAACGTTAAATTTTGGCAATATTAGGAGAAATGAACATGATGCAAAATGGCGGTATATCAGCCGGAAAACTTACAAAATTTAATAATTGAACTTACATTAAAATTGTGTAAAAAATAACGTTAATTTATATTAACTTTTATTATAATTCCATCTATGAATGTTTAATGATAATTATACTTACGGTTACACGTTTATTTATAAGATTATTACTATGAATTACACGACACGATCATACAAGAACGACGCGGCGGGCTTTCTGGCATTTCGGCGTCTTGTTATAGCATTACCGCGAAAAGTAACAGGTTTACCAACACTTAATTTCAAATAAATTGTAACCACAGATTTGTTATTTTAACATATTAAAAGTTTCCTTGTTTAACAAATTAACAAAGTTGTACTTATATTTATATAAATACTGTTAAACTATTATTTATAAATCTCCATCATTATAAATGCAGCAAGAAGGACAGTATATGTACATACATACTGTTACTTTTTTTTTAATGTCATGATGACCTATCAATTCAAAGTGTTTAAACGTTAAACATGTTTTTTTTTTTAAATATGGTTTGTTTATTATTTATTTTTCATTTAACTATTTGTAGGTTGTTTATATAAAGATACGTAAAATTTTACCGATGAAAGTACGAAACAAGTGTTCTAACATATAATCTATTTCCATAAAAATAATTTTATTACATTCGGAAAAAGTTATATCGTGAAATGTTATATAAAAATATTACATAAAAAATTAAATTTGGTATATTTATAATGATTACTGAGATTGTAAACAGAAATTTCAAGAAAAATATTATAACTTTAAAAAGTATTCTTATAGGTGGCGTTATTGTTTAAAATTTTAACGTTGATTTTCCACCCTATAGAGATCATAGTTTGAACGGCGCTGAAAATTTGGAGTTGCCAAGGACTTTCAAGTGCTTTCAAGGTATTGTTAAAATAGAATTTAGGAAATAAAAGTATGTATGTAAAATGTACATATCAGTTTGTTCATATTAAACGATGTAATATTTAAATTTAACTGTACTTTATGTATAACTTTATAGAATAATATTCGAAATGGCTACTCGATCCATGGTTAAATATTTGCGTGCAAAAAGTGTTGTATCACAAATCCATAGATGTGCTTCGTTATCTGCCTTTGAAATACAACATAAAACTCCAACAATTAAAAAAGTAATGCCCATACCAAAAGCTCATTATGGTGGACGGCATACAGTTACTTTATTACCTGGTGCTGGAATTGGTCCAGAATTAATGACCTATGTAAAAGAGGTATACAGACAAATAATTAAAAAATGACCTTTGCATATCTCAGTTATTACATTACTATTACTAGTTAACCTTTAAACTGTTATATCTAAAAAGCTTACATAATGTTTTATATATTTATTATAGGTTTTTAGTTATGCAGGTGTACCAGTAGATTTTGAAGATGTGGACATTGATCCTAATGCAGATGATAATGTTGATTTAGATTATGCTATCACATCAATTCGTAGAAATGGTGTGGCATTAAAAGGAAACATTGAAACTCGTAGTACAGAAGCTGGTGTGCTATCTAGGAATGTTGCTCTTAGGAATCAGTTGGATCTTTATGTAAATGTTTTGCATTGTGTATCATATCCAGGAGTAAATTCACGTCACAAGAATATTGATATTGTTATTGTAAGGCAAAATACAGAAGGAGAATATGCTATGTTAGAACATGAAAGCGTAAAAGGTGTTGTAGAAAGCATGAAAGTTATTACAAGCACAAATTCTGAACGTCTTGCAAGATATGCATTTGAATATGCTAAAAGAAATGGAAGGAAAAAGATTACTACAGTTCATAAGGCAAATATAATGAAGCTCTCTGATGGATTGTTTTTAGAAACATCTAGAAAAGTTGCAAAGGATTATCCAGAAATTACACTCAATGATATGATTATTGATAACACCTGTATGCAGTTAGTTTCTAATCCACACCAGTTTGATATTGTGTTAACAACTAACTTGTATGGAGCAATTGTATCAAATGTAGTATGTGGATTGTTAGGTGGTGCTGGATTATTAGCAGGTAAAAATTTCGGCGATCATTATACAGTGTTTGAGCCAGGTACTCGTAATACTGGTACAGGTATTGCCGGAAAAAATGTTGCTAATCCTATTGCAATGTTAAATGCTGCCGTTGATATGTTACGTCATCTTGGACATAAGCATCATGCTATTTTAATTCAAAATGCAATTAATAAAACTATCAATCAAGGTATTCACACCCGCGATCTTGGTGGACAAGCTACAAGCCGGGAAGTTGTTGATGCCATCATGAAACATATTAAAATAGCATCTACTTAAGACTGACGTAATATATTTTGTTGTGTAATATCTGTAGAAACATCTACATACTCGTGCACATATGTATATTATAGAACTCCACTTTTTAAAAATAATATTCAGTTATTTGTTGAAATATTACATCGTTGTACTTGATGGTCATGATTATATTTTTCAATTAAAAGAAATTCTATAAAATTGCTTGAACTGCACAAAATTATATTAAACATGACGAATTTGATTTCTTTAATATATTAGTTTTATTTAATATAACGACATTATATACCGAGTTACTAAAATTTAAATTTTCTAAAATATGCATTGTAAGCATTGAAATTAATGTAGATAATTGATTAAATGTAGTAACTATCTTTACGGGACGAATTTGAGATGTAAAGTGTTATTTTACTTTCATCTCAGAAATATCTTCTTGTATTATACCATATACATATTTATATATAAATATATTTATTGAAACTGTATAAGTAGAAACTCTCCAAACTTGACAACAAATTATGTTAAAATATAGTAATGAATTTAATGTATTTTATTATTAAATTCTCTAATCTTGAACTTGAAACAGCTGAAACAATGCGAAGAATTTAGGTAATCATTATTTAATACTATTAACAATATTGTATTAGACATAAAGAAAATTAAAACTTTATTCTATAAAATCTGATTCAGTTTTGTAAAAGTTGTAGTACTAATTCCTCATCTGTTTTTAAATTTGTGTTTTCTATCTTGAGAGATAATTTTTGCTTTTTCTTTTTATACTCCTTCTGTGTCATAAGTTTTCTTTTAGGAAGCCTGTAAACAATAAGTATGTGATCACCAAAGATTAAAATGATATTAGAAATAAAACAAGTATATTTTTGTTAGACATGATGTATTTGTTTATCACTGTATAATACGTACCTGTGTATCTTACTTTCCTCTTCATTCTCCACTGATTCTGCAGTGTCGGAACTTTTTTCGTCAGACTTCTGTTTACCATAAATTTTATCTGGGTCTGGTAACCACGATAAATCTGGTGCACTATACTCGCTGTCACTAGCATTATCATCATCGGCATTTTCCTCCATTTCATCCTCGTCGTTACTTTCATTTTCTACTTTCTTTTTGCTAGCTTTTAACTTTCGTTTTTCTTCCCTATGCTTTTCTTTTACTTTCTCTTTGAAACGTTGTTTATCGAATCGATCTTCTTCACGTAATATCTGTTTAGCAATTTCTATGTTGATACCAGAATCTACTTCATTTTCATACTGTTTAGCTAATTCTGATATCTTCATTTTAGCAGAATCTAATAACTCCTAAAAATATTTAATGATTAATGATTATGTTTCAATACTTTGTCATCCACTAAATTATGCTAAATTTCTATGTAAGAAATAAAATCAAACCTTTCCTTCCTCGTCAAAAGTAATTTTCTTATTAGGTATTATTTTTTTCCTGAGAATTTTTTTAGCGACTGCTGCTTTTGTAACAACTTTCTTTTTATTCGAATTTTCATCTTCATCATCATTCACAATATTCGGTATGTCATCAATGTTTATATTTTTTCTTTTTACAGTAAGTATATCATCATCGTCACTATCGGCTACATATAAAAATAGCATGTTAGAAGTCTACTTTATATACAAGAAGTACATATATTTATAACTGTTAATATCTATCTATTCATACCAAATGCAAAATCACTTGCATTCGTCAAACGTGACGTTTCTTTTTGCTCATGTTCCTCGTGGTCATTGTCAGAATAATTAGAATCTACTTCTTTTGTATTATTACCTAATTCATGATTTCTGATAATTTGATCGTTTATAGCATTTTTAATAGATAATTGTTGTTTTTGTTCCATTCTTTGAAGAAATCGAATTCGTGGAGGTATAGCTAGACCTAAAGATCTAATGATACAAGAATTGTCACGATAATTTATTATCATGATAATATTAGTTATTGTAATTTATGCATATGTTACACATGTACTTCACCTTGCAAACAAATCAGTATTTAATGCGCGAACATTAAAAACTTCCTTATCCTTCATTAAAAATACTGATCTTACATAAGCTATAAATGATCTCTGAGCACTTTCTTTCAATGTTACATCTCGTGCTAACAATGCCTCTATTTTACGTTGTGGTGATTGTAATTTATTTGGATTAATTCTAAATCAATGTATTTGTTAGATAAATTATTAGGTGATTTATGTTAAATAAAAGATAATGATAATTCACCTTATCATGGATATTGGAATTTTCCGCTCTTTAAGTTTCTCAACCATTTTTTCTTCAGAAGGAAGTAACACTAATAATGATTCACCACCACTTTGAAATCTAGCTGTTCTACCCGCACGATGTATATAAGCATTCACATCTTCGGGACAGTCCATCTGTACCACCCAATTTACAGCAGGAAAATCTAAAACACATTTTTATTATTTACAAGGTAATATTTTCTGAAATATTCATGTAAATAACTTCTGTTTTTACCTAACCCTCGGGCAGCAATATCAGTAGCAAATAAAACTGCAAACTGCTTTTTACAAAAAGTTTCATATATTTCCATTCTTCTAAGTTGATGTAAAGTACCATAAAGTGCTAATAAACTTATACCGGGTCTCAATCGGCAAAGGACTTCATATATATATTTTACCTAAAAATATGTATTGTTAATATTTTTCTTAGAGAAATAAGATCATTTGTATTAAAGATTACTAATTATACCTGTTTACAACTAGAGAAGAAAACAATAATCTTTTGTTTTAAGTGATTTTTTATGAATGACCATATCATTGATACTTTGTTTTCTAAAGCGCAAATAACGTAACTTTGTTGAAGAGCTTCAGGAGTAGTATGTGTGGCATGTTCATGTACAGACACATACATGGGATCTTTCAAACTTAATCTGGCTAAGTCTTTTACAGATCTAAAAAGAAGGTAAATAATTTAAGAAACATTCGAACTGCACAATTTAATTTCAATAATTTTTAAAAGCATATACTTTGTCTGTGTTGCAGAAAATAAAAGAGTTTGTCTCTTTGCAGGTAAATTGTCAATGATGGAATTCATTGTTTGTTCAAAACCCATATCTAAGCATCGGTCAGCTTCATCTAATACTAGTACCTAAAATTTCAAAAATAAATAAATGAATATATTGTTACTCTTTCATTGATGGCACCAATTTATATACCTGCATGTTTATACAATCAAATAATGGATTTTCATCCATATGTTGTAATAAACGACCTGGGGTACAGATAATAATATTACATTGATCCATACGTTTCTTCTCAAATTTTAAATCCTTTCCACCAATAATAAGACCAGCAGAAACATCATGGTATTGACCAACTTTTCGTAATGTTTCATATATTTGATAAGCAAGTTCTCTAGTTGGCGTAATAATGAGTGCACCAAGTCCATCTAATCTTGTCCATTGTTTACAATACAAAATTTCTATAACCTTAAACAATTGCAAAATAATATTATTTCTACAAAACACTTCTATGTAATGTATTCAGTAATATTCCTTACTGGAATAAGAAATGCTAAGGTTTTTCCACTGCCAGTTTTGGCTGCTCCTAAAATATCACTTCCACGTAATGCAAGTCCAATGCTCTGTCTCTGAATATCAGTCATTTCAATGTAATTATTTTCTGTCAAACCTTTTAAAGTTTTTTGTGACAGGGGAAGTTCCTTAAATTTTGTTATTTTAGTTTCATCAATCTGTAAATATGTATACAACTCTTATGAGGAAGAATGAAATTTAAACATTTCTGAAAGAAAAAGTTAAATTCTTACACTGTTATATCTTGATTGTAATTCTGCAATTATTTTAGATTCGGGTAACTGCTTCTTTTCTGTCCTATAATATTTTTTTACTTTCTTTTTCTTAAACATAGTGTATTATTTTCACCTAAAACACGTTGTATATATGTACACAAAATATCTTTATGGTTATATTGACAATTGATGCAAGATCACATGGCGATCAGACCAGTCCAGTTTTGCCAGATTTGTAGTCATTGCAGAAAGTGACATTTACAACAAGAAAATATCACATGTATTTTCAGTTGAATGTAATCAACATAATCCTAAATTATAATATTTGTAGTCTAGAATTTTATCATAAAATACAAAAATGAATACAAATAAGGCAAAGTTGTCGAAAAGTATATTAGAAATGAAAGTAAGTTGTAGAGGTTAACTGTTTATCATTATTTACATTATTGTTAAAAATTACATATAAAATGTTTTATTTCATTAATTTAAATATCATTTTTATTAACAGTTTATGAAACGAACTAAAGAAAAAATAGAAAAAGAACAGTTTCAAGAAGAAGGTGAAGAATATTTTGGAAATGAATTAACAAAACGTATGAAACAAGAATCGTAAGTTCCTTTTAATTTTTTAAATATAAATAGTATTTTAAATATTATTTTCTGAAATAAATTTGTAACAGTTAAGCTGTAAAATTTGATATTAAACGTCCCAGCAATGTATTGCTGTTTAATGTCTATATACTACACTAGTTTAAATAATGTAAGTATAAACAAAATCAAAGTATTAAATAAAAATTCTCTATTTACTTTTTATTTCAGAGAAAGATTCATCATTGAACCTAGTTATACCTTCTGTGAAAAATTAATTGAAGGTAGGGTAAGTTTTCAAGGAATGAATCTAAAAATAGAAAAACTAATGGAAGAAAAAGAGAATCATAAAACTTTAGAAGAAACAAGTAAAGAAACAGATATTTCAGATGCACAAATGACACAAGATTGGAAAGGGTATAAGAAAAAGATAACAACTGAACATAATTATAAATTGTCAAAAGAAAGTAATAATGAATTTGAACCAGTAGTAAAAAAACCAAAATTTTTAAAACCTCAAGATTAAATAAAAAACATTTGTACATATATGTATATCAACTTAGTATGAGTTTTTATTATAAAATTTATATATATTTAATACATAATTCAATAATCTCTAAGATGGAAAGATTTTTTTTTCTCCAATGTACAATTATAATATATCATTAACTTGAGAAATTATCAGGAAAATTGAAATTATTTTAATAAAAATATTTAAATATAACTGGAACAAATATGCAGGCATTGTTAATAAATTGATAATTCACAGTAATTTTTAATGATAGTTTATAGGTATAAATACTTTTTTTGTTAATTCAATAGTTATATTGATCAAATAAGTTATTGAAAGCTTCTATAGATAGATTGTTCTCACCACTTTTTTTTAAACCTTCTTCCCAAAGCAAATCAAAACTATTGTTAGGAAATTGAATTTCAATATTTTCAAAAATGCTTTTTACTTCTTCTTTACTCCGAGGCTATAAACAATTAATACCAAATAACACATCTAAATAAATTAATGTTTTTTAAAATATGTACTTTGGAGAGATCTAGTTGACTAAGACCATATCTTGTGAAAATATTTGGAAATATTAGACTATAAGCAGTAGTTTTATTATCTTCCATATTTTTAGATGAAATTCCAGCTGCAGAAATACCTATAAGAATACAAAACTTTTTATTCATAATATATTGATCTACTTTGCAAAATTTGGAATAATACATTTTGTAGTATATAAAATGATTTTCAAGGATGTCACTTTCTTCAAAGGTGTATAAATAATTGAATAAAAAATAGTACAATTTTATATATATAATAGAATAATGTATGTTAGAAAATATACTAACTTGTAGTATTTATTTCTTGTAAATTCCCTATTGTTTCATTATATGTAGTATTATAATATTGGCAGTCTAAAGGTAATTCTGAAATAATTTTAATTATATAATTTTAAGTATAGAAATATACAGCTGATATTGTTGTAGTGAAAAAGTATCAGAAAAAAAATACAAGATTATTAAAAAATATTACTTTCTATTTTTGGTAATGTAGGAAAATCATATCTCCAATTTAAAAGATTCAATAATGCTCTGTAATTAACTGTTTTTCCTTTGCGTATTTGAAGAAGATCCAATAATGGCATTAAAAGTACTTCATTTACGTATATTTTATATTTCGCTAAAATCGGGAAAATTTTATCTGCTGGCAATATTTCTATATAATCCTATAAGCATGTAATATTTGTAATATATTTTTAATACAGAGGAATTAAATTAAGATGTTACTTTATCAAAATAAAGTAAGTCTTCAAAAATATCTACAAATTGAATTTCTGGAATGCGCTTTTTAAGTTTTAGACGTAAGTTATTTATATACTGCAAATAATTATACTGCTTTATTGTTTCATCATTTAGAGAACATTCGTTGAAGACATTTCTTATTTCTTCTTTATCTGTTCTTTTATTTGTATCATGTTCCATGTTTGTACATACAGGTGTGTTGTTTAAATTACTGAAAAAATAATACTTAAAAGAAAGTGATTTAAGAACATGAAAATTTAAAAAATGTATATTTATATTGTGGTGCTACTTTTGAAGCGATAGTTCTTTAACGATCGCGAATTTTGATTTAAATAAGAACTTCGACTCTAATAATCAGCGAAAGAAAATAAAATTGTAATATTTTAATATTTGAATTATAATTTATTTATATAAATTCTGTTGCTGGTATTTTTTACCTTACTTCTTCGACATTAGAATGTTCTTTAAAATCTGAAAACTTAGGATCAATAATTGTATGGGTATCAACATCAATCCATTTTAAGAGTTTCTTCACTCCTGTACCTTTAGCTCTAATATTAATTGGTTTTCCAAAGTATAAATTCTCATTAAATGGTGACTTATAACTAAAAATGTAATTTATATTTTTACATAATACAAAGTAATAACCACCACAATGGTTATAAATTATAATTTATTATCCTATTTCATACTGTCTTTTGATTTGCTCTGCAGGCAGGTAACTATTGTGACTTTTTTTATACATCTCTACAATATCTTTCTCTAATATATTATTTTTATTCATTTTTTCATGCAAAATTTTAGCCACAGTCTCTCCTAAATAATTAATAGAAACTATTTAGTACGTAGTATGAAATTTAGAAGACATATAATAAACAAGTAAACACATATCAGATTTTAGAGTGATATTATAAATTGATTATAACTGAATGCATTTACCAGGCTCAATTCTTTTCCCAAAAGTTGTTTCCAGTGGATTCATACCAACAGGAAGGTTTGGAACTTGATAACATGTTTTTCCAACTTCTTTATTCCAATAACTATTCATTACAGTATTTTTTAGCTCAAAGATAAGTGTTTGAAATGGTGTTTCTTGATTTGCTTGCAAGCATTCTTTTACCTGAGATAATTTTTAAAATTCATTAGAAAGCAGCAACCATAGATAAAAGAGATGATTTGAAAACTATAATTTTGAAAAAAAGTTAATTGTAAAGCATTAAAATCTTACACCAATTGGTTTCTTAATATGTAATATATTATTTATATTTGATGGTTCATTTTGTTTAAGCTTTCCATTATGAGAGAGTATACTTTTTAAAGTTTCAACTTTGTCTTCTAAAGAATATTCTTCAAAACATTCCTTAATATTGTATGTTGAAGTTTCACCATGTTTCTAAAAATAATAAATTGTAAAATTAAAGAAATAAGTAATATATGTTATATATAAAAATAAAATATCATTGGAATCACTTATGAAAACAAATTAAATATTTAATATAATTTATTACATTTTTTTCAATTTCATTTAAATAATGATATAGAATATTATATTGATTTGAAATAAAACAAATCTTACAGATTTTTTATTAACAGAATTTCTGTTTTCATTAATTTCATCCAAAAGTTCTTTTCGATTCTTTACACAATATTTTGCCATTGCAAGATAGATAAATAAATAAATAAATAAATAACATATATTTTATATTCAATGTAAAAAATGTATCGATTCATTTATATTCTTCCACGGCTACAGCAATATTCAAATCATTGAAGTGACTATATGTATATATGTATACCGCAGTTCACCAGAGTCCATAACTGCGAAAAGACCAATTTTCGTTCTTCGCGCTTCTCCAGTGCGCATCTTCGCTCTGATTGGCGATACTCCCAAACGAAGTGGAAAGCGATTAGCAGAGAGCTCGCTGCGTTCCCCCACCATCTTCCAACCTGCGCGTCGCAGTTATGGACTCTGGTGAACTACGGTATACATATATATATATATTTAGTTAATACGAAACACAACGATTGTAAGTGCGTGTTCATGTATCTGTCATAGCGTAGAAAAGCATAATAACAATATTATAAGTGTAAATCAGATTATACAATAATGACAGCAGTTAAGCAAAATACAAAACGGTCAAAATGGGCTTTGGATTTTGCTCACAAGTCAGTAACTTTAATTCTTAATTTACTTAATTCTTAGTTTATTAATTAGAGTGATTTATTAAAATATATTGAATTGTATTATTTTCTCTTAAATTTATAATGTATTTTGTGATTTATAGAAGCTAAACATATCCATAAAAAGTTTTATTTCTGAATGATTTTATAAACATTTTTGAATAAATAAAAGATATTTATAGGTTATACTATATTTGTTTATCTATAGAAATATTTTCTAAAGATCTTTACTTATTACTTGTACTTATTGCAACTGAATCTTTAATTACAAAAAGTCTGACTGTAATAATTATGATATTTTGCAGAAATAAGCAAGAAAAAAATGTGGATATTGCTTCTCCACCAGGTTATACACCAGCCGTTGCTTTATTTCATGCTGCAGATTCCATTAGAGAAACAGATTCTAATCATTTAATAATTAAAAAATCATGGGATCTAGCTTTAGGTCCCCTTAAACAAGTTCCAATGAATTTGTTTATAATGTATATGGCTGGTAATTCCATATCAATATTTCCAATTATGATGGTTGGTATGCTAATCATCAGGCCAGTAAAAGCATTATTTGTTCTTCAACAAAGTATGTACAATATTATTATTTATATTTGTAAATATGTAAATGTGAATTTCTTTACAAAGATAAGAGAACTAAATAAATGTATATAAATAACTGGTTCAATTGATTTTTTCAGCATTTAAAGTAATAGAAGGAACTCATGCTTTTGGACAAAAGTTTGTATATTTTTTGGGACAATTAGTAAATATTGCATTAGCACTATATAAATGTCAATCCATGGGGTTGCTTCCAACACATGCATCTGACTGGTTAGCATTTGTGGAACCACAAGCAAGGTTGGAATACTCTGGTGGTGGATTTATTTATGTATGACGTAAGATATAGTTAAATTAAATATATATACACTGGAAATAAATAATGATTGTACATTTATGTACACCCTACTTTATGCATAAATTACAAACACATTCACATATTACACAAAATGATTTATTAAAAATTGAAAGGATTGTATTACATATTTATATACACATATGCATAATATATTATGTTAAATCATAAAATAAATTATTATTAATTATTATTTCTTTTTGTATTCATCTGCAAATTTCTTTATTCGTTCTATTATTTTAGCTGGTTCATCTACTCGAGGTACCTGAAATAAATTTAAAACAAATTTATGGTATTATTAGATATAAATATAAGTACTTCACCTTACATTTGATTCAGTCACAAATGATAAATTATCTAACGTACCTCATAATTCTGACTTATGTATATACCAGCATAAACTCCAACGCTAAAAGTTAACTGAAAATAAAGACAATATTTTAAATACTTTTATTACAATTAAAATATTATTATTTATAAAATAGATATTTAAATATACCAAAAACTTAATCATCTTTTTATTGATTATCGCTTTTATGTTTGGGTGTACAAACAATACTTTGTCACAATGGTTATCTTAATTTAAAAGTAAACTTCAATTGCAAGTAAAATTTATAATTAAACACTTGTACTGACGTATCGTTTAATACGCATTTCATGAACAAACATTAATTATGTATTCATGATAAAATTAACGTGCAGTGGCGTTTCAGATTTTATTATATATATGTATATAAAATTACTAACACAGTTGAAAATAAATTTTTATCGCATTGATAATCTTAATATTAATCTTATATTAATGATTTCTATAATTTTTATAAATTAAATATAATTTTATTAAGGAAAATTTCGCTTAATTCTCCTGATTTGATACACTGTCATGAAGGAATGAACATTACGTTTCCATCCAAAACCATTCGAAAATTAATACTTTCACTCATAGACAAAGAACGTATAAGATAGACTTTACCATACAATATAAAGTATGGAAAGAAGTATGGAGCCTTGCGGCAACCCTCTTCATGGGCCTCGGCTCACCCTTCCCAGTTATTGTATTTTGTCTCTGGGGGTCTAACGGGGCTCAACCCTATATCCCTTATATTCCTGCGTCTCTTATTTACCGCACGTGAAAATTTTAGTTCACATTTTTGCCGCTAGAGGCCCAGCGATTTTGTATAAATTTAGTTCCTTTTTTACCGCCAGGGAGCGTTGTTTCCGCGGAAAAATTTTAGTTTAAATTTTCAGTTAATTATATTATTCAGTTGAACCCCCTGTGGCTCGGGGGGATCAGAATACGGCCATGGTATCCCCTGCCTGTCGTAAGAGGCGACTAAAAGGGGGTTGTAATAGAGCGAGCGAGGCAGTATGAAGTAAAAATAAGGATAAGAAACAGAAGAAAAAGTACGGCGAATGTGTGAAGTAACGTATGTACAGCGCGAATTGAGAAGAGATTTGAAAAATGGCGCGTATACGCGCGTGGCTGATAATTTTCGGTGGGCAAAAAGGAACCGATGTAAAGTCCCTAAAATACGCCACTCCTGAATGCGGAAACTTGAAGTGAAGTGAAATTATTTAGTTGATTACCATCATTTAATGTCCAGGTACGTAATATTACATTGACATGTTTTTAAACAGAGATCTTAAGACGGTGGTTAAGACTGTTGCAGTGCGAAGTATTTCACGTTTTTATACTAGGATAGAGCAGACGGCGTTCGTTCTCAAAGCACAAATTCAAAATCTTTTGAAAACAAAGGCATGTCTAGTCTTGCTGGATCTATTTACAATGTCCATCTAACGAGATACAAACTCGGGCGCGAAGCAGGGTCGACTCACGGTATATTGATCCCTGCATACTAAAAAATAAGAAGCTACTTCTTTTGGAACAATAATAACAGGTGTAAAGTCATCTCCCAAAATCATGACCAATAATTTTTGCGTACCCTATATACGGAATTTTGCTGTGATCGCGGTGTGCGTATTTGAAAAATGCTAAGTTCCCCCCTGTTTTTCTAAAGGGCCCATGGCAAGAGACCGTCGAAAGTTGGCACTGAACTCGACCCTTGACAGCCAATAGTAACATCCAGCGCATGAACACCGCGCAGCTGTTTTGTTTACAATTGTTCGAATTTGCGTCTCAAGCTGACAATGGTGCGTACGCAAGATGCTAGAAGGTCGCACGCGGTACGAGGATTTGTTTCTGTGGAGGACTTATTTCATATTTAAAATGAATGGTTAATGCTTAAATTGTGAAAATATATATTTGGAAATATTGATATAAAGGAGGATACGTCTTTTTGTTTGAATTGATCTTTGAGGAATGAATAGTTACAAAAGTTATTCCAATTTGTTTTTAAAATAATAAATGAACAATAAACGTAGTTATGAAAAGGTGGCGGTGAGAATTCGACATCAGCTGCAATCTTCCTCATCGACAACGGCCAGCTGCAATCTTCCTTATCGACAACGGCCGCCACATTTCTGTAGGCGATTCCCCTTTTAGCCATAGACTATGTACATATAGGTTAAGAACACACTAGGTTAAGTTAGGTACATTAGGTTTACTTTCTAGGTATAAGATATAGTTTAAGGGACGCCCAAAAGAAAAAGACTGAATAGCGATAGTTCAAATGTAACGGTCTACAGAGAAATATATATTTTATAAACCCTAAAGGATCATCCACGTTATTACCGAACCAGTGAATACCACATTCCCGCTCGTGGTGCTGTCGCCTGCCGGACAGCAGAGCAGGCTCCATGGACTGTGGTGTTTGAGACTGACTGAGACGAGGGTGCCACACATTTACTGACTCGTCTCGTTGGACGGACTATAGTTACTGCAAAAAATATGGATCCACGTATAATTTTGCTATTTATACTTACCTTTAAACGAGGAATATGTTTTGAAGAATGTAACCCCAATGTAGGTATGTAAGAAATAGTGTATTTATGGAAATATGATTATTTACTTTACTATTTCATCTAACGATGCAGTGGATTTTGTTTTTTTTTAATTTGTGAATTTAATTTTTTTAGCGATTATAGGTGGTGGTATTGGTGGTGCAGCGAGTTCACATTTTCTTACAGAATTATTTAAAAATAATGTTAATATTGATTTATACGAAGCAAATACTATTGGGGGACGTTTAGCTACTGTAAAAATTGATGATAACAAATTTGAAGCTGGTGGTTCAATTATACATTCTCAAAATAAATACATGCAAGAATTTGTTAAATTACTTGGTATCTTATTTAATATAATTTTATAACTTTTTATATTTTTTAATTGTTTGCAATGATAAGTTAATTTTTATTTATTTAGGTTTAGATGTTAGATCAAATAATAATAATCAAAGGGCAGGCATTTGGGATGGCAATGAAATTATATTTGAAGAAAGTAAATGGGAATTAATAACTTTGGCTAAATTAATTTATAAATATGGTACTCAGCTATTTAGCCTTAATAGGTATATTATACATTTTCTATAGTATTATATACCTGTAAAAATATATATATTTATTAGATATCACAATAATATTTTATTAATTTCAAACAGATATACAAGTTCTATATTAAATAAGTTTGAAAAAATATACCATCTACAGGATGCTGGATATTCTTTCATAAATATTTCTAGCCTTATGTTGGCTATAAATGCTGAATTTCCAAGAATTTTACAAATATCTATTAAGAATGAGCTTTTAAATTTGGGATACTCAGAAAAATTAATTGATGAAATTGTTAAAACAACAGTGGTAGTAGATTTTGGCCAAGATACAAATGTTCATAGTTTTGTTGGATTTGTTTCTTTAGCTGGAGCAGGTTCCAACTTGTGGTCTGTCAGAGGAGGAAACAAAAAGGTTTCTATATAAATTATGTAAAAATGTCTTTTCATACAATAATTAACAATATTCTGTGTTTTAGGTACCTGAGCACTTAATATATAGGAATAAAAATGTAAATGTTATACCTTCACATGTCATAAAAGTTGTTAATATGTTAACAAATGGTACTAAAAATCTATATGAAGTGCATTATAGCAATAAAGGTAATAATAATATAATAATTAATAATATATAACAATAATTAAGTTGATAAAAATTTATTTCAGATAGTACTGTGATAATGAAATCAGTGTATGATATTATAATTATTGCAACTCCACTTATCCATGATCAGGAATTTCCTATAACTTTTGAAGGATTTCCAAAAAATGATTTTTATAGTACAGGAAAATATCATGAAACTATAGCAACATTTATTAAAGCAGATTTAAAACCATACTACTTTGGTTTAGAAGAAGAAATAGATAATATTCTAAGTTGTAATCCAAATAAAACAATAATTAGTGCTTTAGGAAGACTGAATTCTGTGGAAGGTACAATGAAAAACAGCAGAGTTTGGAAAATCTTCAGCAACAAACCTTTGAAATCAGAAATTATGAATGAAATGTTTTCAAATGTAAGATTAATTTGTAATATTTATATAAATTGTAACATAAAATTGTATTACATTACATGAGAAAGTAATTCAATATTTTTTAAGATCAAAGAAGTACAACAAATCAGTTGGAAGGCATATCCTGAATATTCATCAAAAATTCATGAAGCAAGCTTTAAATTACATAATGCACTTTATCATGTGAATGCTATTGAGTGGGTTGCTAGTGCAATGGAAATGAGTGCAATAAGTGGAAGAAATGTTGCACTTTTAGCATACAATGATTTTGTTCAAAAATATTGCTCAAAAAAGTCTGAAACAGTACAAGAAAACTCTGATGAAAATACACCATCTACTGAACTATGATATAATAATAAGTAAACAAAGCTTGATGTAAATATATGTATACCGCAGTTCACCAGAGTCCATAACTGTGACGCGCAGGTTGGAAGATGGTGGGGGAACGCAGCGAGCTCTCTGCTAATCGCTTTCTACTTCGTTTGGGAGTATCGCCAATCAGGGCGAAGATGCGCACTGGAGAAGCGCGAAGAACGAAAACTGGTCTTTTCGCAGTTATGGACTCTGGTGAACTGCGGTATAAATATGCATGTAAAATGAATAGATTGTAGTAATTTTTATTAATTATAATTTAATTTATATATTTTCATTTGATAATATACATTGTTAAAAATAATACAATAATAAGGTAAATGAAAAATCATATTTTAATTGTAAAGTGTTGAAAATATTACATTGAATGAAACGAGTTAACACATATATTGACACAAGTGTAAGTGAACCGCGTATCGCTTCGTGATGCGATAACTATAAGGTTACTATGATTACTCAAGCTGAAAATCGTATACCACTTTTAACACAAAACCACTGTGTAGTTTTTCGAACTATCCGATGTACCGACACTAAAATTCTTGGTACGAATTTAAAAACTTGTGAGAACATAACCTAGTTAACCTTAGAAGAAAACACACGAATGTCAACATTGTGTTAACTGGACGTACTGAAGATGTGATCTCATCGGAAAAGTAGCATTTGTCAAGTTGTACGTAATGTCATAATATTTTATGTAAAAAAGAAAGTGTAATGGAAAATCATTCCGTTCGAATAAATTATGCGCTAACATCTCGCGACACAGAACAACCATTAATACACGATAGCCAAACTAAACAATACGGAGAGAACAGTAAAGACCGTGAAGAAATACTTGTATTAACAAGCGAAGTAAAGGGTGGCTTGTTTTATCCCAGGGCTTTGTTATTTTTAACATTATGGTACTTCTTCAGTGGATGTACTTTGTTTTTGAACAAATACATATTATCTTACATGGAAGGCGATCCTACAATTTTGGGTAAATAAATTTTATATCCGTAATTAAACTAACATAAACCTATTCATTCATTAGTAATTCCTTAAACATATCTATCATTTATAAAAAATGCTTATGTAATTTATATGTTGGTCTTTGAATATAAGATTGTGATTTTAACATTTAGTAAATTTTTGTATGTAATGCTAAATATTCATTTATTTGAGTAGGTGCTTGTCAGATGTTAATGACAGCTGTTTGTGGATTTATACAAATGTATTTTCCATGCGGAATGTACAAAGCAAATCCTAGGTTAATGAGGCCAGCAGGTTTTTATAAGCATATGATATTGGTAGGATGTACAAGATTTACAACTGTAGTACTAGGATTAGTGTCACTCAATTATGTAGCAGTGAGTTTTACAGAAACTATTAAAAGTAGTGCTCCACTTTTTACCGTCCTTATTAGCAGATATTTATTAGGTAAGAATCAATAATTTATGTAATTTATAATTCTATTCTATTTGGTATTAATAATGAAATTTGTTATAAACATTTACATCTGTGATTCATTTAAGTATTATATAGTAAAATATACTTTAATTTAAAAATTTAGTTAGTATAATGTTTATTAAGAAAACTTGATATATCAAATATAATAATTTTAATATTTTTTTTATTTTTTATAGGAGAACATACAGGGTTATATGTAAATTTATCTTTAATACCGGTAATGGGTGGACTTGCTCTATGTTCAGTAAATGAAATCAGTTTTGATCTCAGGGGATTTATTGCTGCTATGGCTACAAATGTAACAGAATGTTTGCAAAATGTATATTCCAAAATGTTAATAAGCGGTGATAATTTTAAGTATACGTAAGTATTATACATATTAATGTGAATCGCAACGTTTAAGCGTTGACGGTCGAGTCCACAATATCGCGTGGTCGGCAGCGAACGAGCTGAACTTGCCTAATATTATTTTATATATTTTTATAACGTTTGTAAAATTACAGACCTGCAGAGCTGCAATTTTATACCAGTATAGCATCAATCGTGGTACAAGTACCAGTTTCAATTTTATTGGTAGATTTAACAACACTTCAACATTCTTTAAGTTTTAAATTATTCACAGCATTTCTCCTGAATGGAGTGTTTTTCCATTTTCAAAGTATCACTGCATATGTACTTATGGATTACATCAGTCCTGTGACACATAGGTGTGTTTTGTTGATTCTGACGAAATATAGTTACACAAATTATTCAAATTTAAAATTTAGTTATTATAAATAATATCTTTTGTTACAGTGTTGCTAATACAGCAAAGAGAGCTTCATTAATTTGGCTTTCAGTTCTGTTGTTTAACAATCCTGTGACTGGTTTATCTGCAATGGGAACATCCTTGGTAATAGCAGGAGTATTATTGTATAATCGAGCACAAGAATATGATAGATTGAACAAAGCAAAATTACGATACACTTCGAAAGTTAATTTACAATAATTTTATATTAGTGTTATTAAGGATTTATAATTACTGAGAATAAATTATTGTATTAAGTGTATTATTCCACGAAAAACTAAAACAAATTTAGTTTTAATTTCTACAATCCAGTATTTTATTAATTATAATAATTTATACTTTCAATTAAAGTAAGACGATGAAAATAAATTTTGCATCCTAGATGCATCTTTTGATAAATAGCTTTAATTGCATATATATGACGATAAAATTAACGTAATCATAAAACATTAGGTTAAATACAAAATACACTGTACAAAAAGAATAAAGTGATGTAAATAATCTTTTAATAAATAAACATATGCATGTACATACATGCTTTATATAACTCTGTGTACATACAAGGTTTATAGCTTCAATAAATAAAATTTGTTTAATGATACCAACATACGTATCTATTAACTAGTATTCAAAGCTTGGTCAAGATCAGCTAAGATATCCCGTTCTGTTTCAAGACCAACGGATAAACGAATTAACTGATCGCTAATACCTAATACTGCTCTAGTTTCTGCAGGAATTGATGAGTGAGTCATGATGGATCTATGCAAAGAATTAAGAAATCAGTAATAGAAAACATACTTACCATATGTCATGATAAATTATTATTATTATTTACTTACGGTAATTCGGCAAGAGACTCATAACCACCAAGTGATTCAGCTAATGTAAATAATTTAAGTGATTTTAAAAATTTTGTAGCATCACCTTTAAGATAGAAAGAAACCATTCCACTATGACCAGAACTTTGTTTAAGAGCAAGTTCATGTTGTGGATGAGATGGAAGATCTATAATCCAATTATTATTTTACAAAAATATATTGCATGTAAAACACAAGGAAAAATGTTCCTGACTTATATAAATACATACATGGATGAATTACTCGTTCTACGCGAGGATGTGATTGTAAAAACTTTGCAACTGCTAACCCATTCTTCATATGCTGTTGCATTCTTAGTTCCAAAGTTTTTAAACTGCGATTAACCATAAAACAGTCAAAAGGGGACGGAACAATGCCCATAGCTGAACCAATTAAAAAACATATATTATTTTTATGCGTATACTATAATTACACTACAATTAAAAATACTACCATTTTGTAAAAATTTAATTCTTTCTGCAAGATCATCCCTATTTGTAACTGCTGCACCCATAATAATATCAGAATGTCCATTCATATATTTGGTCAAAGAATATACAACAATATCTGCTCCTAATTCTAATGGTTTCTACGATAAAACATATATCAGGTATCTAATTTATATATTATGTTGAATTATATTAGGCATGGCAAGCATTATTCACCTGATAATAACATGTGAGAAAAGTATTGTCTATCACTATAATAAGCTCAGGATTTTTTTTCTTCAGTGTTTCAGTAACTGCTTTAATATCAATTAATTTAAGCAAAGGATTAGTTGGTGTCTCCAACCAAATCATCTAAAAAAAAAAGATATAAATGTACGTGTCTATTTACAACATTATGTAAAATTCCAACATTTTTGTGTACCTTTGTATTTGGTTTTATATTGGCTATAACATTATTTACATCTGACATATCAACAAAAGATACTGTAATACTTTGTGAAGATAAACATCTTTGAAAGAAACGATTGGTTCCACCATAAATATCATCTCCAGATATAATATGATCTCCTGCTTTTAATAATGAACATAATACTGTATTAGCACCTAAACCAGATGAAAAAACAAATCCATATTTCCCATTTTCTAAGGTAGCTAAACATGTTTCTAAAACATTTCTTGTAGGATTGCCACTTCTACCATATTCAAACCCCTGAAATATAAAATAATATAAGAAATCATATTATGATTTAATTCATTAATAAACTTTCTTTTTTTATTTTATAGAAATAACTGAAAAAACTTTGTAGTTTTAAAATAAAGAGTCTTACTCTATGTTCTCCAGGTGCATCCTGTTGAAAAGTAGTGGACAATATAATGGGAGGTATTACAGAACAATGCATCCATTGCAAAGGATCTTGTCCAGCATGTATAGCTTTTGTAGCAAAACCTTCTTCTTTTGCCATACTAAAATATATTTAAAATCGTCACTTTTTGCATGTGAAAAATTAATTTCTCAATAATTAAAGCTTTAAGTACTTTTAGTTAATTCTATAAATGTTCATTTTGAAGAAATAGAATAATATTACTTACTTCAATTAAAAAATCTGCAAATCGAAACAAATTCACCTATACCTAAAATAATATGAGCCAAAAATAAGTCACAGAAGTTGGATGATTTAAAAGTTATATAAGTTTCTAAATTACTGATAACACGCTCTGTTCTTGACGTGTATTTGAATCTCTATTTAACAATACACGTGGCAGCATCTTTAACTTCAAGTAGTGACATTGCGGCCGCAGTAAGAAACAGAACCTAAACGAGTGTCGGAGTGTCGGTCACTGTCAGTCACTGACGCGCGAAAGTTATACAAATAAACAATTTAAATAACAATAATTTGATTAATAAACAATTATAACATTAAAAATAGTAATTAAATAAATTTTAATAGAATAATTAAACAGTTTTGCAATATACCCACGCGAAAATGTAAAGAAATAAACAATTTAAATAGATATAACAATAATTTTATTAATAAACAATTGTAAAATATAAAATAATAATTAAACAAATATTAACAAATATCAGATAGAAATAGTTAAATGTAACCAGCCCCGGAACCGGTGAAGCGGAACGTCATGCTTGATTGGGCGCACCGGTACCCAATTGTCAACAGCTCGACGAAGAACGACCTGGAGACTGGAGAGAGGCAAGAGAGGTCAAATCTAGTCAGTCTTATCGCGACCGCCGAGGGGTGCAGATCTACGCTGACAATGAGTTGCATTGAACTTGTCGCAGTAAAGTTGGCCACGCATTCACTCACCGACGCGGCATGAATGCGTTAGTGAATTTGTAGCCAACTTCACTGCGACAAGTTCAATGCAATTCATACTAACCATACATATACCCCTATTTTATTTTCTGCGTTCATTTAATTTGCTGTATTTATCTTTTTAAATCGCGTGTGCATCCGTTATATCCTTGATTCCTTTACATCTCTGCTGTCCTTATGTCACTGCATTCCTTACATCACAGTATCCTTTACATCCTTGAAATGACGCTTTCGGCGTTAGTAACAGCGCCCCTTAGTGGCGAAAAAAGGAACTAAATTACGAACAAATTTAGCGCCTCTAGCGGCAAAAATGTGAACTAAAATCTCGACCTCCAGTCAGCGCCATCTGGGGGCGAAAAAAGGAACTAAACCATGCCGAGATTTTGGCCTCCTAGCGGGAAAAACGCGAACTAAAATCTCGACCTCGAGTCAGCGCCATCTGGGGGCGAAAAAAGGAACTAAACCATGCCGAGATTTTGGCCTCCTAGCGGGAAAAACGCGAACTAAAATCTCGACCTCGGGTCAGCGCCATCTGGGGGCGAAAAAAGGAACTAAACCATGCCGAGATTTTGGCCTCCTAGCTGGAAAAACGCGAACTAAAATCTCGACCTCGAGTCAGCGCCACCTGGGGACGAAAAAAGGAACTAAACCATGCCGAGATTTTGGCCCTCTAGCGGGAAAAATGCGAACTAAAATTCGAACCTCGGGTCAGCGCCTTCTGGCGGTAAAAATCGCAACCAAATTTGGAACGAGATGTAAGGGGATACAAGCATGTAAGGGATGCAGGGATGTAAGGAATGCAGGAACACAAGGAATGTTGGGATATAAGAAGTGCTGAGATGTAAGGGGTGCAGACATACAAAGGATATGAGGATACAGTGATTTGGGAATAGTCCTTGCAAGGTCCATGAAAAGAATGAAAAAAATAAATAACTGCAAAGAGAAGCCTTGGTCCATAAAGAGTAGGAATAGGATAAAGTGGGAAGGGTGGTCCTCGCGAGGCCCATAAAGAGAAATAAAATAATAAATAATTAGGAAGCGTGGATTTATTCCATAAAGGAGAATAAAATAATTAATAACTGAAAAGGATGGACTTTAGTCCATAAGGAACGATACAATAAATAATAAAGTAACTGGAAGAAGTGAGGCGGGGCTCATACGGAAGGATAAAATAATAAATGAATGGGGTGGTCGGCTGAGGTTTAGAAGAGAGATAAAATCATAAATTTTATTCCTCTTTGATGAGCTTGTTAATAAGCGGAAAAAATAAATAAAGTAAATTAAATAAACTCCGAAGGGAAATTAGAATTACCCCAGGATGATATCATGTCGGTATGCAGCGAGGAGTCACCATTCGCGATCCCTGACACCCCGGATGCCATTATGACGATATGCAAACTCAGGCAAACCAAGTACACCCAGATCACAAGTAAGTAGAAATGAGATTAGGTATATTATTATATTTTCTTCTTTCAATGTTTTATGCTCAAATCGTAGAACACAAATTTCGTCTATCTGTGTAGGTATATACATAAGTACATCATCCCTTGGGGACTCGTTTTGTTCTATCCGCCCCAAAGAATGGCGCTCTGGTCTCTATTTGGACATACGATTCGCAAAAATGTTTATATTACGAATAAATTGATGCAGGTGAGTCCGATCCGCCATTTTCTTCACCGTTGACAGACATATATTTCAATATTTTATAACTTTTTGACAATTTGGATAATATAAAGACTAGCGCGCCATTCTTTAATCTCAAATTTTGTTGCATTCTGTTCAGTAATGACGACGTAATTTGTGTTAAACGTTCTAGGGATTTTTCTAGGATCTGTTGGTAAAGTTTTCGACGCTCGCATCACCTTAAATAAATAACTCACAAATGAAATTGGGTAAATTAAATAATAACTCAATTGCTTTTTTCAAATGATTTATTTATCAAAATGCATGAAGTGAATACAAGTTTGTCAAACAATTACAATAATAATAATTGCTCAGTTTTGTGTTGCTTTTGACTGGTTTAAAAAAAAAATAGAATCAAAGGGAGTGAAAATTGGGTCTTTCCAGATGTCTGTTTGAGGTGCGGTAAAAGAATGACTGGTAAAACAGGCACGATTATCATACTGGCTGTGCTCTCTGCATGCAGATCTAATCTCATCTGGGAGTGTCTGGGACCCCCTAAATCGTTACCCTCGAGAACAAAAGCATGTTCGGTTCTTTTGTATCTGTAGTCACTGTTATAAGCTGGAAAACAACATGTATATAAACACATATATATATATGTATAATGTGTATTTACTAAAAGTAGTCCATCACGTCCAAACTCATTTTAGCGCAGAGGTTTTATTTTTATCCGATCGCTGAGGCGAACAGTTTAAAATAAACTTGCAACAATCTAGTAACGTCTGGACAGTTCTATTCGTCTTTTTAATACGATGTGGAAGCGGCATCAGCCTCAGTATCGCATTACGGTTTGTCGAAGGAGTAACTGGTAATTCAACTCTTCGCGTGTAAATCTTCAATACATTAAGAAAATTAATATAATATATCATATTCATTATTTAGTAAGTATTTTATTATAGTTGTTCATACTCCTGTTAAGTTTTGTTTATTTAAATGTTAAATAAAGATTATGATTATCTCATGATCAATGTGGATTGATTTATTACAATAATTTTTCAGTTAAAGAATCCATCATGACAAAAACAACAAACCTGAGTGCACGTGAATGGAAGGAAAAAGGCAATGAGGAATTTAATAAAGCAAATTGGTCGGAAGCTTTAAGTTGTTATACAAATGCACTGAAGCTTACGAATGAAGATAATTCTGAGAAAGCAATATATTATAAGAATCGTGCTGCTGCGTATCTCAAACAGGAAGAATATAATAAAGCAATTAAAGATTGTGATGAGGCTCTTAAGATATGTCCAAATGATCCTAAAGCATTGTTTCGCAGATGTCAGGCATTAGATGCACTAGAAAGATTTGAGGAAGCATATCGTGATGCAAGATACATTATTTCAGCAGATCCTGGTAATAAAGCAATTCAACCTATTGCTGCGAGACTGCATGAAATTGTTCAAGAAAGATATAGACAAAACTCTCGTGTTAGTGCCAAGGTTTGTATATCAATATTAATTACATAATCTAATTGGATTAATTATAAAATGTACATGAAAAATATTGGAATAATTGTATTCATGATTACATATTTATGTAGGTATCCCAAATGATGAATATAGCTTTTGAAATGAAAGGAGACAATGAAAAACGAGAACAAGCAATGAACAATTTACTTGTTCTTGCCCGAGAAAGAGCAGGGGCAGAAGTGATGTTTAATGATGGAATTGTTTCTCAAATAACTAAGACCCTTAAACTTGAGAAGAATGAAGAAATAATAACGATTGCTATTCGAATAATTGCAGAATTATGTAAAGATAATATCAATATAACTGAGATTATTATAAAAGATATAGGTATACCCTGGTATTTAGAGATGATTAATAGTAAAGTTTTAGAAAGGGTAAATGCTGCTCAGTACTGTTTACAGGTCAGTATATCTACTGAATATAAACATTTATTATTATCATACTTAGAAATTCATAACTGAATTTAAAATGATGTTACAGACTGTACTCAATAGTTACAGTGGAATGGATAACAAACCAGATTCAAAACCAAATCAAGAATTATGTGAGAAATATAATAAGGAAATTGATACCATCTTATCCTGTTTATTGTACAGTATAACGAGTAGAACAATTTCTGGATTAGCTAGAGATGCAATTATAGAACTTATAATGCGCAATATTCATTATACTGCATTAAATTGGGCAGAACGTTTGGTCGAACTTCGTGGTTTACAACGTTTAATGGAAGTAGCAAGTGAGCTTGAAGAATACAAATATGAATCTGCTATGGACATCACCCCATCTACTAGAACTGTAACCAGCGTTTGTTTGGCAAGAATTTATGAAAATATGTATTATGATGCAGCAAAAGAGAAATTCAGAAATGCTATTGATGAATACATTAAAGACAAATTACTTACCCCAGATATAGAATCTAAGGTAAACGATACATTACTTGTAATGTAATATTTGATTAGAAATTCTATTATGAAAATGATATATTTATCATACATTTTTTTATTATACTTTTTAAACAGGTTCGCATTGTAGTTGCAATAACAACATTATTACTTGGTCCACTGGATGTTGGAAACACTGTAATTGCCAAAGAAGGTATTTTAGAAATGATACTAGTTATGGCCGGTACAGATGATATATTGCAACAGAAGGTTGCTTGTGAATGTATCGTAGCTGCTGCATCAAAGAAAGATAAAGCAACAGCGATTATAAACCAAGGCGTGAATATATTAAAGAAATTGTATCAATCTAAAGACGATTCGATTAAAGTACGTGCTTTGGTAGGATTGTGTAAGTTAGGTAGTTCGGGTGGTACAGACGCCACAATAAGACCATTTGCCGACGGCGCAACAAAGAAATTAGCCGAAGCTTGTAGAAGATTCTTAATTAACCCTAAAAAACAAAAGGATATGAGAAAATGGGCAGTGGAAGGATTATCTTATCTCACGTTTGATGCTGAGGTGAAAGAGAAATTAATTGAAGATAAAGAAGCGATTCAAGCAATGATTGAAGTTGCTAAAACCGGAGATCAGTCTGTAGTTTATGGTGTTGTTACAACATTAGTAAATTTATGCAACGCTTATGATAAACAGGAACTTATACCAGAAATGATAGAATTGGCTAAATTTGCAAAACATCATATACCAGAAGAACATGAACTTGATGATGTAGACTTTGTAAACAAGAGAATAATCACCCTAGCTAAAGCTGGGGTAACAAGTGCGTTGGTTGCGCTTTCTAAAACGGAAAGTCAAAATAGTAAGGAACTAATAGCACGTGTTTTCAATGCAATTTGCAGTCAACATGAAGTACGAGGAATCGTCGTTCAACAAGGTGGAGCAAAGGCACTATTGCCATTAGCTTTAGATGGAACAGACAGAGGAAAGAAACAAGCATCACAAGCTCTTGCGCGTTTAGGAATTACGATAAACCCAGAAGTTGCATTTCCTGGGCAGAGAATAATGGAAGTAGTACGGCCATTCATAAATCTTTTAAATCCAGAATGTTCTGCGCTTGAAAACTTCGAAGCTTTAATGGCTTTGTGTAATTTAGCTGGTGTTAATGATAGTGTTAGAAAACGAATTTTGAAAGAAGGAGGTTTCCAGAAAATTGAAACTTACATGTATGAAGATCATGAAATGTTGAAACGTGCATCCGTTCAAGTTATAAATAATTTAATGATGTGCGAAGACACTTTAAAATATTATGAACAAGAAAACGACAGAGTTAAATATTTGGTGATTCTCTGCGAGGATGAAGATTTAGAAACAAGCATGGCAGCAGCAGGAGCCTTAGCAGTGCTAACATCATGCAGCGTAAAATCTTGTATAAAAATATTTGATTCGAAGGATTGGTGTGAATCGTTACGTTATTTACTTGCTAATCCAAATGTTGATTTACAACATAGAGGAGTTGTAATTGTTTATAATATGATTAAAAGCATGAAAGATGTTGCGGCAAGACTAATTGAAACTGATATCATGGAAATTTTAATGGCTTTAACAAAGAGTGATACTGTAGAGAATAAAAAAGTAAAGGAGCTAGCTGCCGAAGCATTAGAAGCTGCAACAAAATGGGAGCTCATTAGGAAAAATGCAGATGATGAACAGATACCAGAAAATTCGAATACTTTGGAAAATGTTGAATAAATATCTGTATATGCTAAGTTAGGTATTCTATGAAATGTGAAATGTACTTAACAATAATTATATTTTACGCGACAAAGTGCCTTGTCTTTCGTAGTAAATAGCATCACTAAAAGACTAAATATTGAAGTATTTTTCGTTTTAGATATAGTTAAATTATAAAAATATTGCATTTATTAACAACTTTATATTATACAACATTGTTACATAACATTATAAAATTATTTATTTAATGTTTGAAGGCCTAAACTATTTATTTTGTATAAATAATTATGTATTATATATGACCGTATACAGGAATATGTATATACAAATTTCATAATGTGCAATTTGTTTCAGTAAATTTGTACAATGTTGTTTTAATATACCTTTTCCCCATTAATCTGTTAAAAACCAGGATTAGGGTTATTTTCATTACAATTTTAAAAATGGATGATTTAAAGCTTCATCTGCAGTAAAACGTGTTTTGTAATCTAAATCCAACAGTCTTAATAAAAGGTGATAAGCTTCTTTTGGAAATTGATCGCCTGATGATACCTTAAGACATTTAATAAACATTACTTAATACATGCTTTTAATTATCGTTATTTATATAATTTTGTTGTTTTAATTTTTAATGACATTTAAAAATAAATGATAAATTAAAAAATACCTTTTCGTAAAAATTATGGTTTCTATTATTTAATAAATTCTTATTTCTTTTTTGTAATTTCTGACATAAGGACACAATATCAATTCCTGGTATATCTTCACTAAAGATAATTTTTTTTCCTGAATTGGCAAACAAAACGTTTAAAATATGAAAAATAAATAGAATTTTAAAATAAAACAAAAGAAAAGAAAGAAAATGAAGTGCCTTACAAGATGACCATAATAAAGAGTTGCATTTTATACCTAATTTGTGTGCACACTGTTGCATCTTCTGAGATCCAAATACAGTTGTTATTTCTGCTAAAGCTGTACAATCGTCTGGAGAATGAAAAAATGGTTGAGTACCACTAAGAATGCACAGCATCATTACTCCACTTGCCCAAATATCAATCGCTGGTGTTTGTGAAAGATGCTTCAATAAAACTTCAGGAGCACGAAATCCTGGAGTACCCGCTCTTGGAGCCGTCTGGTCTGGTCTTGATGTACACAATGAACAAACTTTTGGTTTTCCAAAACAATAACATTTCTCTCCAGTAACCTTTTTTCTACTACTTAGAGAAAAATTAAAATCGTTCTAGAAACAAAAATATTTGACAAAATAATAAGTATTGTCTCGTAGAATTATATATTGTATTACTGTAAATAATTAATACTTCGTCTGATCGTTTCCGCTTAAGCGAATGTACTGCAGAATTAGCCGATTTATGATTTTTAGGTTTTTCTTCTGGTATGTATTCTTGTGCTAATCCAAAATCAACTAATAAGTATCTGTCAATAAATAAAAATATATATTAAATGTATATTATGTACCATAATAATTTATTTATATTCACCTTTTATTGCACCGATCATATAAAAAATTACTGGGTTTCACATCTCTATGTATAATATTAAATTGATGAACCCTTCTTAATGCAGTCAATAACGCTATCATATAATCTTTAGTTTCCTGAACAGTCAAATCTTGTACATATTCCTTTTTAAAATTATTAATAAACAATTAAATTTTTGGTTTAAAATTATTTAGAATGAATTGAAATATGAATATAAAAGCATTTTACCGAGAATTTATCATGTCGCATATATGGCATTACAAAAATTACTGTTTCAAAATTTCGTAAACATAATTCTAATCCAACCACATAATCTTTTCCTCTAAAACAAGAATTTCATTAATTTTTCTTATATTTTAAATCTTATATGTATGTTTATATGCATATAGTATATATTTAATTATATTACAATTAATACTTTAAATTTCTATTACCCTATCTGTTGCATACATTGTAATTCTCGTTCAATCTTTTCTGGATGTCGAGTAGGAACTAAATGTTTTAATGCAAATTTTTTAGAACCATCAGAAGACTTTAAAGTAGCTAAAAACACAGAACTGAAAGTCCCTTCACCAACTTTTCCATGCACATGAAATAAATCTTTAATTAATGGAATTGTACTTTTAATGGCAGCATTGTTATCTTCTGAAATTATTATATTACATTAAATTCTACTTCCTTTTTATTATAATGAAGTTTTTACAAATAAAATATAAACTTCTTACTGTTGTCATTATCCTCTTGCATTTGAGTCTTTTCCTCCATAATTACAATATATTAAACGACGTGCATAATTCTATAAACATATCAAAATTTTCTAATTAATTACTTTAACAAATTATTAATCTTATCATTCATCATTTGCATTAAGTCTTATGTATACACTAACCTATCACAACTGTCAGATATTGGCGTCATTTTAAACGCTCAAATCATGAATCTTAAGACTGGACCACTGATAATATACATATCAGTGGACTGGACATGCCTGTATTTTCGAGGGACCCAGGCACCCCCAGGTTATTATAGGTCTGCAGATACATAAGCACAGCCGGTATGACAATCATGCCTGTTTTACCAGTCCCTCTTTCACCACACCTCGGACTGACAAGCATAAAGATACAGTTTTGAGTCGCTTCTATGCTTTTTCTAGAAATCTAAATATGAGTAGTCCTAACGACCCCACAGGTTTTGCGGGCGAAGCCGTTATGTCTATACCGCAGTTCACCAGAGTCTATAACTGCGACGCGCAGGTTGGAAGATGGTGGGGGAACGCAGCGAGCTCTCTGCTAATCGCTTTCCACTTCGTTTGGGAGTATCGCCAATCAGGGCGAAGATGCGCACTGGAGAAGCGCGAAGAACGAAAACTGGTATTTTCGCAGTTATGGACTCTGGTGAACTGCGGTATAGTGTTGAGTGGATCGCCCTTTCTTTCCTGCTTGCCTACGCTCTGTCCGTATTGGGGCGGTCCTGGCACATGACATCTTCACAGACCGTAGCGACTGCAGATCCAATAATAAGATTGGATATATTTTTGTAGCTAAAATATGGCAACTCTTTCAGATAAAAAAAAATATTTTTATATATACGTACTTTTCCAAATGTTTATTTGCGCAGATGTATGTTGTACTTCATTATTTACATGAATAATTAAAATTGAGTATTACAAACTGAATGCATTTGTGAAACATATACAATATTTATCACTTATCGGTCATAATAGCGCTATATTTAAAATTGAAGATGAAAAATAAGAATAACTTGTTTTACTGTTGATTTAAAGCATTTTAGAATTCATAATATGTAATAAAATAACATACATGTAATTTTTATTGCGAAACGCTATTCAATTAACACAGAATATCATTTTAATATATAAATTTATAATGGTTTAGTACATTTTTATTATTTAATTTAGCATAATAATAATATTAATGAGCTAGTTAAAATAAAAAGTAATAATACAATTTTACGTTTACAATTATTTGTGTATAAATCACTGTGTCAGTGAGTGAACCTGGATGTTTTCTTCCTTTTTCGCGGAATGATTCGTTACTTTATAAAGTTTGTCCTTTTCAATAGGTATCATGTTATAAATGTACGTTAGTTTGACTTCACATTTTTTTTCTTAAAGTGCAACCAAATATATGCACAATTTCTGATCCCCATCGTGTTTCGAATGAGTTTCATTTAATAATCTAATTGATCCTTGATATACATTTCAATAGCCACGAACATGTAGCATGCTAAAATTCCAACACAAGGTAACTGATTGCTTTAAGATTCAATTATTGGCTAAGAAGTGTTCTTATTTCTTTGTGCATGTGGCAAAGAAAATCGACGTAACTTGGACTTCCATCATTTCCTCTGTCTTCGATTAAGAAATGACGCAAAACCATTTCAAGTTTTTCACGTTGTCTCACTATAGTTAACTAAACAGAAGTATTCAAAAATATTGATAAATGATTAAATTAATGATACACTTAATACTTTTCCAACTACTCACCCTCATACACCGATGCCTTTCCACGCGTACACGATTGACAATATCTGTGATTCGTTTATTCAATGGTGTATCTAATATTGGCAGTGCGGTACGATCTGTATCAACTTGAACTACTGATGGAACACCGAATACTGCCTGCACCCATTGCGGAGAGAGTGCTAGGCCTAGCCACAGGAACATGTGGACACTGTTTTCTAAATTAAGAGAAGAAAAATGTGATTAACAAAATAACAAATGGGAATGAATGACGTATTTACCTAGTAAGTACGCGCCGTCATCGGTAAACTTGTCAATGGAGCAGCGCAACATTTGGGGCAATTCTGTATCTTGCGGATCGACATCGTGTAAAGGAAGTAATCTTGGATAAATATATACAACGGATATTGAAATGGGCATAGTTGCAACTGCTTGCATAACAAAAGATCTATCATCAATAGTCATATCAGCACCTGTAAAATTTAATTCAAGTTGTTAGGATTATAGTTATAAACGTGGATAAACGGAATGCAAAATAGTTTTACCTCCAGATATTGCATCATTCTTTAATAACGAATTGATATAAAGTGGTAGCAATTTCATACATTCTGGTAATATTAATTGGCCTGCGCTGGATGGAGAAGCGCAATGTTTCCGGTACGCGCCTAGCATATTTGCACATCTTGCAACTAAGTTGTCTTTAACAGTTTTCGGAGTCGATTCAATTAGTTTGAAAACACCTAATAAACATAATAAATTTTAATTTATGATACTTAAAATTTATTATTAAATATAAATAATTTATCATACTTTGTTTGGAGAAGTAATTAATGATCGCATCCAAGTCGCATGCTCGGTACAATTCAGCCATTTGAGAAGAAGTTTTTAAACTAAGATTAATGATACGCAATCTTCTGACTCCGCCGCATGAAGTATACAACAAAGCTGCTTGAATATATACACCTTCATCATCAGTTAATTTATCATCATGTTTTACTTCTACAGCAACAGCCTGAAATATTTGATATTAAAATATACCATCACATTTAAAGAGTATTAAAATGAAAATATTTTAGATTATTTCACCTTATTGCAATCTATACTAGCTAATTCCATATCCGTCGTATTGGACATAAAGAAATGTCCGTAGAAGTCAGTTGCTCGAACACCAGTAGACGTACGTACACGCATAATCGCATCAAATGCAATTGGTCTACTAATGTTATTAATAACATCTGCAATTAAGCGGTCACCGTCTATATCAGCCTGAAACATAAGAATATTTAGAATAATATATTTCCTAATTGCATGTATTGTAGTGTTTGTTACCTGGAAATATGTATATTTATAAACTTCTCCACCAGTTAGTCTGCAAATTTGACCTATTGTTGCAACGTCTACGTACGAGTTATTAAAGATAAATAAATCTACAGAACATCCCGCGCCAACACATTCTTGGCCTAAGTTATTATAGACATTATTTTGTGGTGCTGAAAGAATTTATTTCACATAATATCTTGTTTAAAGAACGCATGTATAAATAATATCATATAAACAATTTACCTAGCACGGTTTTTTCTTTCTCTGTTCCAAGAACTTTACGATCATCACGGTTTTTCAGTTTACCGGGAGCTTCAGCGATTGGTAAAGATGAATGAAAAACCAATAATTTTCCAGCACAGTCTGAAGCCTTGAATGTCAAAATTCCAACTCAGTAATGTTTTATATTATATATTATTTAAAGAATCTTTAAACATTAAACATACTTTTAATGCTTCTAATCCAGCTTGTATCGCAGGAGCGAGAATTGTTTCTGTTTCTCGAGTATCCGCAAACATTGTCGGTATCTGCGTCATTAAACTATCAATAACAGCTTCGCTTTCTTCAACGTCGCATAAGAATCCATCAAGAAGTGGCATAAATACATCTTGTACATCTCCCACAACCATCATTTGTGGTTGAGCAAGGCAAGGGTTAATATTGTAAAAATGCACTGTATTATTGTACGTTATAAATCCTACTTTCATGTTTGATTTTGTTTGACCAGCATCGACAGGCAGATGCCGTAAAATTGATTTCATTTGCGCACACAAGAGATTGATTAAACCGGACTTAACTGTGTTGTATGATACATCGATCACGAATACAAAAGCTGGTGATTTTGGGAAAGTATTGTTCTAAAAATGAATAATCCATATGAAATTGTTATTGTTAATTTGATTTATTAATATGTGCTTTACCTTGCAATAATCCTGGGTAGCAACATACTCGTACGTTCCTAACATTAATTCCGGCCTCTCATAGCGGTCCATGCGTTGACCAGTGTGATCCAAATGTTGGAAATATTCCGATGGAACTAAATTGATAAGATATGATAGTTGTTGCCAAAAATGATAGAAGTATCAATCTTTACCTTCCGTTGTTGCTTTACAGAACATGCATTGGAATCTTCTGCCAGCATCGATGAACTGCATAAATGGACTCATGTATGCTTTACATCGTACGCAACGAACTGGACCAATCTCACCCATATCCACAATAGGTGGTTCGTACTCGCTTTCCGCAACACGAGCCATTGGACTTATTATTAGACCAAACGGAACATTCGTCTACGATAAAAAATATTGCTTTGATTACATGAAAGTGAATTAATGGCTCTTATATAAGATGCTCAATTTACTTGTTTTATAATATCTGCTGTCGTAGGAACAGTATACATAGTAGATCTGATATATCTAGGGGACGCATTTCCTTGATCCTGCGTCACATATTTTGTAGTTACTAATGGCGGGACCAGTCCCTTTTGGTTTGTGACAAATACACCACCTCTGACACGCTGATCATCTTGCATTACTTGAATTGGGCTTGGCATTTGTTCAGGGTCTAAACGTTTAGCTTGCTGTGGTTGAATACCCGGCTGATATCCACCTGCAACTCCCGGTGTACCACCTTGATACACACCTCTTTGGGCATTATACATATCGTTATTATAGCTTTGATATCCTGTATGTTGGTAGCCCGGCATCGCGCCGGGTGGACTACGATTGAGTCCTAGAGGACTTCCCATAGTTTGACCGTGCATTGGAGGTCCAGAAGCATATTGTTTCTGACCTGTTTGTGGCATATTTGCACCAGAATTCATCATTTGTCCTACATGTTGACCACCTAACGGGGGTTGCAGTTGTGGACCAGATAAATTCTGCTGTCCTAATAATGGCGGTCTGCTGTAACTTTGTTGATTTGTTAATGGGGGTGGAGCAACACTTTGTTGACCCAACATGGGAGGTGGATGTACGTTTTGTTGATTCATTGGTGGTAAACTGGATAAATTAGACGTGGGCATATTTGATTCCGAGTAAGAATGACCCGGTTTTTGCTGCCCTTGTAAAGAAGAATATTGTTGTCCCGGTAAAGGTGGTGGTGGAAGCGAAGAACCAGATAAAGATGGTTGTCCTGGTAAAGGTGGGCCTGATAAATTTTGCTTTGACATAGATGGGGCAGGTAAGTTGTGCTGTCCAGGTGGTCCTTGCATAAATGCATTGCTATGGCCTTGTTGGCCGGACAATGGAGGTCCAGATAAGTTTGCTTGTCCTGGCATTGGTGGGTTAGAAAGATTTTGTTGCCCAGATAAAGGTAAACTAGACATATTCTGCTGTCCTTGTAACGGTAGGGTTGCAGATCTTTGCCCCACTGGTGGTCTTGGAAAGTTTGAATGTCCAGGAGATGTATCAGTAACATTCATTTGTCCAGATTGATGTTGATTTGAAGAAGACAATCCAGTATTGAACATCTGTTCGGATGATAAAGTTTGTCCAGAATAATATTGACCAGAAGTAGACATTGTGGAATGCCCTGAAAATGGAAGACTCATGGACTGTGGTGTGGTATTTTTTGAGGCTGGTCTTTGTTGCTGCATATCTTGTCCTGCTTTTCCACTAGGATCAGTCTGTCCAGTAGAACCTATCACAAGAAAATACATATGTTATTAACAATGATATCTATTTATCAAATATTTGTATACTTACCAGCTACTGATGTATCTAATGCATTATTAAAACCATTAATATTTGAAGGTGTAGATACCACTGGACTAGTTTTTCCAGGTAAGGGTGGTGGAGGATAATTCTGCTATTCATTAAATAATACCAAAATTAATATATGAAATATTTTTTTAAATATTATGACTACTATTAACTTCAATTACCACTGATGGTGGTCTTTGTTGATCTCCTAAGGACATATTCGTCATCTGATTAACTATATTATTCTGATTTGGCAAAGGTGTTGTCATATGTGGATTATTTGTAGCTGATTCATATTGAGTGTTTCCTAAAAAGAAATTATATTGTCATCAACATGAATATATTCAATGGAAAATGAAATAAAAGCAAATCTTAATACCTTCTGTTTGTATATTATTCATATAATATGGAACTTGAGACTGGTGTAAATTACTTAAAGGAGGTCCTTGCATTGGTTTTTGAGAAGCATATGTTTGTGAATTCATAGGAGATCCTTTTAACATATTTGGAGCGATGTTAGAATTTACTTCTCCATATGGAGATGAAGTTGGAGGACCAGGAAAATAGCCAGATGGTTGTTGTGACTGTTGCTGTTGTTGTTGTAAGTATTGTGGATTCATGTTTTATTCTAAAAACAAAAAAAGAATATTAATCAAACAATTTTGCATGATTTGTTTAAAAAAAAAACAAATATTTTGAAGAACTTTATTCTTTTGAAAAATTTGATTAACATAGATACATAACCAACCAATATACCTACATGTAAGAAAATTAATAATCATTGCAAAAAATATATAAAAGAAGTATTTTACAAAACATAATATATTTATCAATTTATAAATGTTTCCAGTGTATGAAGTAAAATCATACAAAACTATATACAATATACTCTTCACTATACATAGAAATATATAAATTAAAAATACAAGACTAAAATATGCTGCAAACTGACAGACAGAAGATAACCTATACAAAATCAGCTGTACGATTTTCGTGCATTGTATCATTTTCCGATTGAATGTAAAATTTATGTGTTAATTATTTAACGACAATGATTCTATATAGTAAATTAACACTAAATGTTGCTTAAGTATCGTAGAAAGGTACAAGCCATTTTGCATACAGTGACATTAACAATTTAGTCCGTCGAACAATAAAATCGACAAATACTTACAAAATACAAATTACTTACGTTGTAATGTTAAATGTATTTGAACCATAACAAAAGTTAATATTTCCACAAATGTTTACACTAAATGAAGAAAATGTATATACTTCGCTGCAACAGTGACTGCTGCCGATGCCACGTAAGGTGGCATTGCGCATGCGCTTGGTGCACGCTGACGAGACACGTCATGATAAAAAATTAGAACATTGTAAAAGGGAAATTTAAATAAAAATTCGACCATATTTTGTTCTAATTTGCTTTTTATATTCAAGAAGGAATTAGAAAAACAATCAAATGAATCATAATTGTTAAGTAATCGCTGGAACATCTACGTCTGAGAAAGAAAATAAAACTGTGCTTCATAACGTTTTAGTTAACCAGTTGGTATCCTTGTAAGCGCATAATTTAAATAGGTTACATGTTTCAAATTTTAAACTACATATCATAAGTTATTTACGCATACTGTAAAAATAAAATTCAATATTAGAAAAGCTAAATTATATAATGTAAGATTTTGAAAGTTACCTCCACTGTTAAAACCTGATGAATGTGGATCATACACACGAGTTTCGTTAAATCAAGAATACCCCATAATAAACTTAATACTGTATCAATTGCATGTACTGAATCGTTACTTTCATAGTAGATGATACTAATGTGTAAACAGACATATACAATATACATCATCGTTAGTATTCTAAATCGAAATTCATATATTTCGTTTAGGAGCGATACTGCTTTACGCAATTTAAATCGAAGTACTTTTAATAGTTTGAATCTGGAAACTAAATTTGAATCTAAATAATCTGTTTTCACAAAATACAACATATAATAAGATTTATTGAAAACATACCGTTATTTACATCAGATGATTCAGAGATGGAGCCCAAACTTTTCCCTTTTGTGATGATATTTAAAATCATATTTATCTCTTTGAATCTGAATCGGATTTTATCAATAAGTATAACGAATGAACATAGTATTATACTATTGATAAAATCAGGTATATGCTCTACTATCCACATAAGAACATACATGTAATTTGAATCATTATCTACGAATCCGTAGTAATCCATTAGATTGAAAAGGATTGTTATGAGTATTGTGTTGATAAGTAGTAAGACATCGTTTCTCATGCACAATAGATAATCAATTTCTGTATTAAAAAATTTCATGTTTTTATCAACGTTGTCTATTTGTTTGAACACTCGTCTTAATTTTGAACTTTGACGTATGCTTAAGATCATAATTAGCGGTAGTGAAATTGTGCTTGTGTAGTATCGAATTCGTTTTACCGTGATTGTCGTATTTATGCTAATAAGAGTTTTAAACATATCACTTGCATACTTATGTACTTCGAAAAAAAGGACGAAATAAATTATTAGCAGTACAATTTGATATATGTAATTCAGAAATAAATATTTGAAAAATTTTACGGGATATAAACCTAAAACAAAAAATATAATTAAAAATCAGAATTTGAATTATATTTTAAGAGAAACAAATTGTTATTTACCTAAAAGCTTTGTTATGGCCAATAATAGCCAAGATTCTTCATATACGTTGGAAGGGTGAAAAAGTTTCATGGCTATTTCTTTTCACATTAGAATTACGACTACATAAATTCATATGGTCCCGTATTGTGTTACTTGCATGCATTAAATTTGTCAATAATTTCAATTGCATGTCAAGTAATATTGAATAATTAATTAAGGTGATGCGAGCGTCGAGGCCGAACTTCGAATTCCGCGTCGGTAAAACAGTCAACGTTTCATCGAAAATTAGGTCGAACAGAAACTGATTTAAGCGCCACCTCAATTATCGCATGCTATCAAACAACTTCGTTCTTCCTAAATTCCATATTTTGTGATTTTCTTTTTATTTTATTTTTGACCGACTTCGAAAAGAAGGAGGTAATTAGTCATTTGTAATTAGTCAAAAATCATACAAGTTCCTTTTTCAGGAACTATAAAATTACTATAGTTATACGTTCTATATGGTAATATTGCAATCCCGAAAATACTTTTCTGAATTTAAACTATTGTTTCCCAATTAAAAAATATATAAATCTTTTTATAGTAGCTCTTAGCTTGATATCGCTTTCTAAAAGTTATCTTCAGAAAACGATATCAATTACCAGGTCACACCACGTGGAGGTGGCTACGTTAGTGACCCACCCTAAAATCATAAGAACGTGAAACCATTCAAAACAGACAACATAAAATAAAAATTTAAACAATACAATCTTGAAATAGAAAATAAAATTAACATCCTAATATCAGAAACAATTGAGAAAATAATAATAATTTAACAATAAAATGCTGTAACGGAAAACATAATTATTAGGATTAGATATACAATAACGTGAAACCATTCAAAACAGACAACATAAAACAAAAATTTAAACAATACAATCTTGAAATAGAAAATAGAATTAACATCCTAATATCAGAAACAATTGAGAAAATAACAATTCAACAATAAAATGCTGAAATAGAAAACATAATTAACATCATAATTTCTGTAACAATTAACAAAATAACAATTCAACAATAAAATGCTGAAATAGAAAATATAATTAACATCCTAATATCAGAAACAATTGAGAAAATAACAATTCAACAATAAAATGCTGAAATAGAAAACATAATTAACATCATAATTTCTGTAACAATTAACAAAATAACAATTCAACAATAAAATGCTGAAATAGAAAATATAATTAACATCCTAATATCAGAAACAATTGAGAAAATAACAATTCAACAATAAAATGCTGAAATAGAAAATATAATTAACAGCATAATTTCAGTAACAGTTCAAAAATAATTCAACAATAAAATGCTGAAATAGAAAATATAATTAACATCATAATTTCGATTACAATTAAAATGAAAAATGCCGACAACAGAAAATATAATTACCACTACAATCTCAGAGTATGTTTTAAATAAATAGAACATAATTAAAATAAGAACATGAAATATAATTGATGTGCAAATCAATAAGAAAAGAATAATTTATTTCAATAAAGCAACAAACGAAAAAGAAATAGGGGAAATAAAATCGCGAGTTGACCATTCAACGAGCTGGATATTGAACTCGTCAAATTTCGAGTTCAATACGTCCTGGACGGTATTATTCATACCGTTCAAGGAAAAACACAAAAAATGAAAAAACAAATTAGCGAGCATAGTGACAGAATGACTGTCCATCCGAAGATGGAGAGCCATTAGTAGTTCCCCTCTTCTGGGCAAATTTTGCCGGGGCTCTTCAGCATATAGCCTCTTCTTTCTTCGGCGATAGCCTCACAAAAATCACTCGCGAAAATTTTACGTTTGCTCAGACATTTGTAAAAACGTAACACGTAAACGAGCAACGATCCCTTGAATCGCTACTCGCATACCTGCACAATTTTTGCAAATGTCCAAGCACAAAACACTTTTTAATTTCACTTCACTTCACTTCACTGCACTTTCACTTTAATATTTCATTTTTGTAATCGGGTCTAGTACCACAACTACGACTTACAAACTAATAAGGCTTGGCCTTGAAAAAATCAAGAGAGAATGCTAAATTAATTAATTGATAAAGTAATTAAATTGCATTTTCATCTTTTCTCTTGATTTTTAGTTTCCCAACCCCAGATACAAGCTTCTCACGTATTAGAGGAGAATACGAAGAGAAACATGAAAGCTTGCTCTGGCCCTGCCTACTTATAAACTAAATTCAATCACACCAGAAGTAAACTACCTGCCTGCCTATCGCTATATTTAAAAAAGGGCAAAAATCATTCTCACAAAAATCCACTCCACGGTTCTCATACAACCACCCGGGTGCAAAAATGCCTACACCTAGAGAGAACGTCCCGGGACGCCTCCGACACCCGAGTTCAATTCAACTTTCACACTCTAATAAAATCATACCTTTTTGCTGAAATCGAATGACAAATAATAGTGAACATTATGCTAAAGCAATACATTTCATTTTCGTATTCTATTGAATTATCTAATGTAAAAATTTTTCAATTTATTCTTGATAAGTATTTTGCAATGTTATAGTAAGTTAAGATTGTTAATAAACGATACAAATCCCACATCCTAACCACACACACACATGTGGAACTTCTATCGTGGTTCACTATTGGTTCACTACTTTTGTCAGTCGCCAAAATGTATTACACTTAAAACTAAACCTTGTCCACCGCCCTCCATCCACGCGAGTACATCTAAGTACCCGAATGAGCTTTGGGCATAAAAATGAACAAGGCCAAAGGTATTTTCACCTACCAGTTTTCTTCATGTGTGCTGAAATGCCTGAGCTAAAACGTATGATTAGCAAAAACTAAAGATGATATTCTCACTTTATTAAAAGTAACAATATCGGCGAAATTTCACGGCTCCGATTTAGCATATGGGATGGCCCCCACAGGGGGTTTTATTTTTAATAAAAGTGACTCGACTTTGCAAATATAAAGCTTGAAGAGCAAATACAGAAAAGCAAAATTGAGCAACTATGACATAAAACATGGTGCACTGCTAATATCAGTTGGCAACGGAGGTTCTTAGGCCCCCTGGACTTGCGCCCGACGCTACATACCACCCACCCCGCCTAGAACAGGGTGCACCCCTTCGCTAAGAGCGCTACCCGCCCGCCCAACACGTTGCATCCAACGGTGTCAGATTGACGGACGCCCATAGTATAGACAAAAGGACTGCAGTTTATTAAATGGAACATATGGATGTGCGCCACATTCTAAACTGCGCCTTGAAAGGCCTAGTAATGCATGGGTATATCTCCCAGAGATGGTGTTCACGGTCTTATGCCGCGGAATCCTTGTAACTAATTTGATTAATTAAATAAAACATTGAGTTTAAAAACCAAAAGGATTCCCACCGAATACTAGTAAGTGCATCGTCATAGTTACTCTCGCGCTGGAAATTTTTCGCAACACTAATTAAAATAGAAAATCCTGATCTAGCAACATGACTAAAGAGGAGCTTTAAATTATGCTTGAAGAGCAAATACTGAAAAGCAAAATTGAGCAAATATGAGTCAACATTCGTCCACTGCTAATATCAGCTGGCAACGGAGGTTCTTAGGCCCCCTGGACTAGCGCCCGACGCTACATACCACCCACCCCGCCTGTTTAAGGCTCTAGGCCCAGGCAGGGTGCACCCCTTCGCTAAAAGGGCTACCCACCCATCGAACACGTTGCATCCAACGAGTCCGAGTGGTGGACGCCCATAGTATAGGCAAAAGGACTTTAAGACAGCTTAGCGTATGGGATGCAACATACTTAAATGTTCCGTACTCTATGGCTGTGCCTGCAAAGGCCTAGTAATGCATGGTTTTATCTCCCATGAGGTGGTGTTCACGGTCTTATGCCGCGGAATCCTTGTAACTAATTTTATCAAATAAAAACCAAAAGGATTCCCACCGAATACTAGTCAGTATATAGTCATATTTACTCTCGCGCCGGAAATTTTTCGCAACACTACTTAAACTTGAAAATTCTAACAGGGTAATATTTACCCTCGCGTTGAAAATTTTTCGCAACAATACTTAAACTTGAAAATTCTAACGGGGTAATATTTACTCTCTCGTTTAAAATTTTTCGCAACACTACTATAACTTGAAAATCCTAACGGGGTAATATTTCACTACACAAGGGTATGCGGGTGGATAAATGATTATGTGATAGAGTTCGTGCGGCTGAAGTGCGAATGATGAGTGTTTAGGGTCGAGAACCGTGATCGTGACAGAATGAATTTCAAGTACGAAAGGGGAACTTTATACAATGCTTGAAGAGCAAATACCAACCCCCCTGGGGGCCAGCCCATATACTAAACTGATGCCAATTTCACGAGTAAAATTGGAAAAACGTTTTAATTTCAAGAGCGATTTCGTTATCAAAGTAAGTAGTTATAATAATTAATAGTAATCATGCTTATTACTTTGATATTGAAATCCGCTCATCGCGAAATAAATTCTTGTACATATAAAAAAGAAAGCGTATTGTGAAGTCGGAGAGTCATCCGACTTCTCTACATTTTTAAACTCGAAATCTATATATGTAAATATGTACAAGAAAACCCTATCCTAAGCTAAGGCATAAAATACAAAAAAAAGCAATTTGCACGATTATCATTGTATAAAATAATACAGTGATATTCGTGGGTCACTATGCTCGCTCAAAAAATAAAAATTACAACCAATTCCCGTGTCGCTACAGACCATTCGTCCTACAACATGATGGGAACCGGAGGAACTTTAAAGCATGCGACTCACCGATCGTTGACTTGCACCACTGCACTCGCCACGCATCTTAAATTGATTCATAGCTCGACTGTTGGCTCGTCAAAGAAACGGTACCCCCACTGGCCAAAGCACTCATCTGGAAGCATAAAAATCACGATTCTTAAACGATATATGTTTTCTCTCAATTTGTTGTAGTTAATATGCTAATACATACTATAATTTAAAAATATGCATGCAAAACTATATAGGAATAACTACATCATAAAATACGGTAAAACACATGCAAATAAATACATCCCAAAACACATGAAGATCAAAACCATAGAACACCATAAAATATTTGCAAAATTGTAGTAAAACACATAGGGTACCACTCCATAAAGCCTACTAATAAATTCGTATAAATATACTAAAACACATAGGGTACTACTCCATAAAACCCACTAATAAATCCGTATAAATATGCCAAAACACATAGGGTACCACTCCATAAAACCCACTAATAAATCCGTAAATATATGCCAAAGCACAAAGGAAACCACACCATAAAACACAATAAAGCACATGCAGGTACATGGGGTACCACACCACACAGCACACTAATGCACTTGTATAAAAATGTCAGAACACATGGGTGACCACACCATAAGACACACTAATATATCCGTATAAATATTCCAAGACACATGGGAAACACTATAGGAAACACCATAGGCACACATAGAAACACTTGTGGTAACACACTGATAAATCCATGCACGAATATCCATAGTGTCAACCCGTACCGGTATATGTTTGGCAGCTCCATCCGAATGCTTCGGCGGTCGCGATAAGACTGACTAGATTTGACCTTCCTCCAGGTCGCCAATGTACCGGCGTGCGACGCGCCCAATCAAGCATGACGTTCCGCTTCACTGGTTCCGCGGCCGGTTACATTTAACTACTTCTATCTGATATTTGTTAATATTTGTTTAATTATTATTTTATATTTTACAATTGTTTATTAATCAAATTATTGTTATATCTATTTAAATTGTTTATTTCTTTACATTTCCGCGTGGATATATTGCAAAATTTTGTTTAATTATTCTATTAAAAATTATTTAATTATTATTTTTAATTTTACAATTGTTTATTAATCAAACGAACGAACTGCGCCCTACAGAATGAACGAGAAACTAAATTTCTGGTCTGTTTTACCTTGTTGACGTCTTTCGCGAGTGAACGATCAACGAAATCGTAGTTTTCAAATTACTTCTATCTGAAGACTTGTACATCATCCCTTGGGTGCTTGTTTTATTCTATCCGACCTAAAGAATATCAGTCTGGTCCCTATTTGGACATACGATTCACAGAAATGTTTATATTACGAATAAATCAATGCAGGTGAGTCCGATCCGCCATTTTCTTGACCGTTGACAGACAGCAATTTCAATATTTTATAACTTTTTGACGATTTGGGTAAAATAAGGACCAGAGCGCCATTCTTTAGGGCCTTCTGGACACGTCCCTCAAATTTTTTTGCATTCTGTTTAAAAATGACGACGAAAACCGAAAACTCGCGTCTAGGGAATTTTCTAGGGACTGTCGGTAAAGTTTTCGACGCTCGCATCGCATTAAGATTGAACTACTTTTTCCCCTCTTTGTTATTTCTTTTTAGTATTGTTTTCACCGCAAAAACTCTAAGGAACTATCATTAACAATGAATGAAAAAGAAGCAAGTAATACGAAATATATTTATTTGTTTTTCTGTTGTAATAAATATTGATAATCTATAACGTATGTCATGATAAATGATTTGTAATTGCAGCTAGTAATAATAGAATTACTATTTCAGTTCTAAAATGAAATTGTTATAGGCAAGATTATTTTACAGATCAAAATCTTTCCACTCAGAAGGTTCTATTGCCTGGTCACGATCCTGGATGGAATGATCCTCCAAAATGGGTGTACACTGGTGCACAAAGTTCTGCAACTCCTGCCAAGCGGATGTTGAACAAGAGGGTGGCATTTCCATTAGCATCCACGAAAGCTAATGATAAAGAATCTTCTTCTGAAACTAAATCGTTAAACATGCCACCCCTCTTACAGCCATCTAATTTGACAACAGCCTTAACTAAAGATGTAGATGTTAAAGTGACTGAAATAAAAATTGACAAAGAAAAGGTATTATCTGACGTCTTGGAAAAATTAAATACTGTGATTAATGAGCATATATTGGAAAAACATACAATAGAGGAAGTGAGAAAAAGATTAGATATATTGAAGTCTATGTGGCTTGAAGATAAATTAAATAATGTGATATATAAGAATATTTTAGATTTATCTACAGGTCAGTTTTATGTACTAATGTATAAGGTAGTTGAATGTTATTATTTAAAGAAAAACATAATTTTTTCAGCTTTACAAGAAGGGAATGTTGAAAAGGCTGATCAAATACATGTTACACTAATGATGCAGTATGCTAGTTTATGCAGTTCATGGATACCCGGAATTAGGCATATTATTTTAGAATTGAAAAGCAGAACACAGGATGCAGATGCAACACAGCCCCAAAATCCAGAATCCCATTTATTTTCAGTTGAAGAAAACCATTAATATATTTGTACCTGTTAATTATTTTGCAATATAGTTATTGTCAATGATTTTTATGCAGTTATAGAAATTCAAATTATTGTTTTATTTTTGGGGTTTTAAGTTTTAATTAATTTTATTAATGACCAACATGCTTCAATTGAAAGATTAAAAAGCGAAGAAAATACTTATTTTGTCAATGTAACAAATTTTATTGCAATACAATAAATTTCATTGAACTTATTTGGCGTTTATTGTATTTGTAACATTATAATAATGTAAAAATTTTCCATAAAATAATTCAAAATAGCGGAAGCTACATGAAAACTGTAAGAAGATCGGCCGATAAGTCTGAGTAGTTTCCGATAGTTTCCGATAGCTAGCACTAGTGTTCCCCTTGTTGTGGCGGCCGTTGTCGATAAGGAAGATTGAAGATTATTCTCATCGCCACCTTTTTATAACTACATTTATTGTTCATTTGTCATTTTAAAATAAATTGGAATAACTTTTGTAACTATTCATTCTTCGCCAAATTCTCCAAGCCTAAAGACGTGTCAACCTTTATATCAATATTTCCAAATATATATTTTCTCTATTGAAGCGTTGATCATTCATTTTAAATACAGAATAAGTTCTCTACATTGTTACGGAAACTCAGTCGGTAAGTTGCTGAGTAGTTTGCGTCATTTTCGAATCGATAGCGCTACAATCGAATTTTAAAAGTTTTTAATTTTTGGCAGTCTTTTTAAATTACAAGTTTGTCAAACAATTGTTTTAATAATTTTTTCTAATCCTCCGATAACTCCTGTGTAAACAAAAATGTTTGAATAATAAATGATTGTAAGTTCCAAATGATTTCAAAATTCTAATGAATTTTGTTTTCGGTTGGTGTAATTAAAAAATCGGTGGCAATCAATCAAAGATGAAAATTGCAGTCATAATTAGAGTATTGCAATGTGAAGAAAAGTAAGGAAGAAAAGAAAGTTTTTAAAGGATTATTCGGCGAGTACGATTTACTCAACAGCCAATATTAAATACATAACATTTTTATTGTACTATGATATGCATTATTAATGCTTCGGTTTGTCAAATCGGAGTTGCGAACGTTGGGCATATTCTACATACTCTCTACCACATCATATAAAAAGCAATTTTAATTACATTAACTAAGGGAAGTAATCGTATTTGAAACGATACACCTATGTGAAAACGGATACAAGTTTATTTAAATCATGATCCGTCGAAGCAACATTGTCGATAATATCGATCTCAATCAATGAAACGAGTATTTACCACCGACTTACTTAATATCAATCAAATGTAATAATTATCGATCTTGGGTGATCAAAATTTGATTTTATTCCCGCGAGGATCAACTCGATACCATCATCGTTGTTGCATATCATTTCGAAATGATCGTTTTATTAATTAAATTATAAATATATCCATTGTTTGTATAAAGGAAAAGTTTACATTCTCATTGTCTGTATAGGATGGAATTTCTTCAACGCTTTATAATATCTCATAAACATGTACACGAAATGCTCAATAATTGTCCAAAAATATTGTGTACACGTGGGTTGGTCATTTGTCTACGCGCGATGAACATTAAAAACGTTTTTTATATTTCATTCATTCGTTTTATTATCAGTTAAGCATTCTGCTTAACGCTGCCCACAGCTGGTACACGGATACGTAAAATGATTAAGTCTCCTTTTATCATAAAAGTTTCTTGTATTTCTCATTTCTCTCTTATGTATATTCACAAAGGACAATTACATCTTACTTATAACATATTCTTCATCTAAATGTACTCTTATGTCAATAATAGTCATCGATAGCAATGATCAGTTTAAATTACTCTATCGCTTATCGTCTAATGAATCGCTACTAAACTCTAAGCATACTGTGTCTGTGTGTATGGGTGTATGTTTTGTAATTTGTAGATTTTGTACGTGTTCTTTCCTCGTGTACGTGTAAGTATGTGTGTTTTCATCGCTCAAGCGCACCCGCGTTTTCCGTATTTTCCACTTACCCACGTGGATTTTCTCGTTTTCAAAGTTCTTATCTATCGATCGATCGAAATTCACGTAGATCGATGCTCGACATATCGTACGTCACAATTCGCTTTATCGCCTCCTTAACGCAATACGGAGAACCAAAAGAAAACATCTAATGAAACAAAAAAACAAGAAAGAAAAATGATGACGATAATAATAATTATAATAATAATAAAATAATGATAATAATATTAATAATAAAAAATACATCATCAACGTTCACGATGATAATCGAAGATCCTTCTTCGACGTTTAATTAATTATTTTTTTCCACTCTCGTTCACCGTTGATCGATTCTATTATTTTTCTTTTTCGAGTCGAGAATGAATTTCATTTTTTTATCTTTTCCCTTCTCGTTTACTCATTGCTTCGCTATTCCTTTCGCTTGTTCGTCATTTTTTTTGGCGCGATTATTCGAACATGGCGAAAGGCATTATTAAAACACTTTACAAGTAAATATATATATATATATTTATCTTCATTATAAAACTTACATTTTAGACTTATGACCATCTATCTTTAAATCGTCAATATATTAGATTTTCTTCCATTCATCATTTTCATCTTTTTTTTCCTTTCTTTCTTTCATCTCGTTTAATCTCGCGTAAATAAATATTCATAAATACATTTTGAACCCGACGCGTGTGGAACGTTGTCTCGATGGATCAAAATCAAGGTCTCTCTCTATGTTAATATCTTTTTTGTACGTCTTTTCATGCGTCTCTGTTTTTCGTTTAAATCACGAACGAGAGAGAAACGCGTTTTCCTCGTGAGTCGTCGATCATTGAACGAAAGATTGGCGAAAAAAACCACAATGGATTCGTAAAGCTATCAAAGAACGTTTTCTTTCTCTTATTTACCTCTTTTTTTATCTATCTTTCGCTTTCTTGTCAACGATCACGAGATCGAGAAACGATCCAACGAGACGACTCCGTGTTCGCGTCGCGGTCCGAATTTCGATTTAAAAATTTTTTTTCTTCTTCTCATGGTTCTTTATCCAAAAATATATGTACACATATATGTATGCAACCGGTGTATACGTAACGCTATTTTTCGTATGCCCTATCTCGGGGTTGTGGGGGGTTGGGGAGACCCAAAGGGGATATTGTTTCGGTACTAAAGTGCAAAAATTGTGAGCGATCCTTCTTCACTTTTTATCTCTCTCCGCTCTCGACTTCGACGTTTTTCCTATAACGATTTCAAACACTTGTTTCTGTATATATATTTTAATTTTTATTTTCGATTTTATATATATATATATAAATACGCGGCGAGCGTCTCACGATTTTCGCACTTCAGGTATAATTTGATGCTCGTTACACTCTACAATTTTTTATTTATGTTTCCGTTCCACCATCGTTTCCGTTCACAAAACTCTGCGTTACGGCAAACTACAATTATTTTACCATTAATTAATCATATTACCTTTACTTTATTCTCCTTTTGCTTTTCCTTCTCGATTCTTATCGATCAATTATCTATTGTTAATTCTGCTTCATAAGGCGGACAAGTGTTTTTACTATATTACCATTCTCACCAGACAGATATACATCGAAGTATATTTCTTTTGTGTGTTTCTGCGTGTGTGTACGTGTATATATGATTGTGTTCCTTTTTTGTATTTGTATTCAATTGTTATTACATCTAATATACGCTCGCTACAAACTATTTAAAAAATTTGTTCACCCTCTCGTTTCGCTCCAACCTTCCATTTCCGTTACACCTACACTCTTCCTCCATCGTCTGCTTGTCTCACATTCTCTCTCTCTCTCTCTCTCTCTCATCTTCTATTTTTTTGTGGATTTTTCATAACTTTTTTCGTACAAAACAAAATGGCATCTTTTTGGCATTGGAAGAAAAAATACAGTTTTCAACCTCTTTCTTTCTATTTTTTTTCTTCTTCTCTCATTTCGCTTCACTCGTACATCGTTATCATCCCTACAATTCGAATCTTGCATTCTATTTTTTTTAAACCTTCTTTCGAACCGTTTCTTTGTGTCCTCTCTTCGAAATAGAAAAATCGGCATCGTTCTCGCGTGTTATTTCCCCTTTCTTATCATTTCGTACAACAGCTAGTGAGTGATACCTCTCGTCACTCGCTCTAATTACCTATGTTTATCTTTTTTTAATACTATTTTGGCATCGTCGCGACACAACGTTCGCGTATTAGATAAAGAAAAAGGAAAATAGCGATGACAACGAGCCTTTTCCTACCTTTATTTCAAACGAGGGTAGTACGGTCGACACGATCCTCGCGACTCTGGACACAGTGGCGGATCCAAAGAAATATGAAACCTTAAAAAAATTAGTATTTTAATGCTTTAGTTTTATTAGATTTTAATACCTTTTATATTTCATGTGAAATGTGAAAATTTTAAATTTCGTAAAACAAAAGTTATTTCATCCCTGTAGTTTCAAGCAGGGCTACCGGATCCACCCCTGTTTGAATGTACCGTAACTATGTATCTCATGCACCACTCACTCACGCAAAGTTTGATGACAAGCACGATTCCGGAAGTCGACGAGAGAAAAGAAACCTTGCTTCTGTGTTCTAATCGTATTATAGACCGCGATCGAGGAAAGAAACGTGTACGAATTGTGAAAGAAATACAGCTCCTTCAATGCTGACGATTGCTCCTTATTATAATTAACAGTGTGTTTGGTTAATTTCCAAATTTCAGTTTTTAGAATATTAAAAATAAGAAATTTATGAATTTCATCTACCTCGATTAATAAGTTAATTAAATTCTTAATTAATCATCATTGGAGCGTTTGAAAGCATCGTGAAATTGGTTACCAAACGTGTTTGTTCGCACATGGCGTGCGTTTAATCGAACCGGAAGTCACCATGCTTCCGGTAAAATGGCCGCAAGAAACAAGAAGAGTATTGCGATCGGAACGTTTTCTTGCGGAGAAAAAAGAAAGGGATGACGAAGTTGAGAAACGGCGAAATTTATTTTGTTGCTTAAAATGGATCAAAAATAGAGAAGTTTGAATTCAATGATTCCCAGGATGAATTCTTCTCCGTTGAGAATTTTAATTGACTGGTTGAGATCGATTTTCGTTCTCGGGGGAATTGATCGAAGAACGGTGCTCGACGAATCGTTAAAAATAATCTCTAACCGAATCGATCAATTAGTCGACTCTTGATTGTATCCTTCCTTTGTTTAAAACTCAGGGACTTTGAAGTCGCCGTACGATAAAGCGAAGAACGATAAAAAGAGATAACAGAAGGGACGACTAGCGTTTAAAAAGGCCCGAGCTTTTGCTATCGATGATATCGCGATTGTGCTCGAAAGAATGTACAAATAATAATAAAACAAAATAAAGCGAAAGAAGAAAGTGCAAAGAAGAGGTACTTCCTGCTAAAAATGAAACAAACAAAAAAAAAATTAGAAAGGAGAGATAAGAGAGAAAAAGGAAAGATAAGAGCAGCAAATAAAATTCGAACAACGCGTTCATCTCGTCAGAACTTAATCAATAAATAATCAGATTAAATTAGATTATATTACTAATTATTACTGTTTGCCGCTAATAATTATTATTACAACTACGTTATGATAATAATGAATGATAATATATTAATGATTCTTATTAATACTCCGATGGGCGAGGGGTTGGACGCGTCTTTTCTCCTCCCTTCATTTCTAGCGCCGCGATCGATCCATCGATCTCGAGCAACCACAATTTTCATCCCTTTTGTCCTTTATCGACACACCTCACAACGCACTTCCGGCACGCGTTCTCGTCTTCCGGCTGGTAGCGTCGTGCCTCGAAGCCTCGAAAGGCAAACAATTAAAACAAAAATTAAAAAAACAGAATATCTATATTTCCCTCGTAAATAAATTACAAATGGAACTTCTTCTTTTGTTTGTTCGAAAGCACGACGTTATATCTTTAACCCTTTCGATACTATAGACGCCTAGACGAATCGAGCATGAGTCAAATTTGGAACGACTATACTGTCCACTTACGAGTTAATAAGATTTTTAATCTCTGATTGTAGCATGAACGCAAAAATATTTAGACATTTTTAAACTTTGATCCACTCGCGATCCATTCACAGTTCAATCATTCCAATCTCGGCCCGCATTCGATCCATCGATATATGTATAAATAAACCTTAAACGTTCCATGTAAGACATGGAAATATTTTGAAATAAATATTTGAACTAATTTCATTTCTACCCTTGTCCCGAAAGGGTTAATAATTCCAATTCATTCTTCAAATCGAGCTACGACAAACGATCGAAGAGCAACCTGAATGACGATAATAAAAAAAAAAAAAATCACTGGGTCCTATCAGAAGATAAAATGATACTGGCTGGATTATTTACAATGACAAAGAAATAGGGATCGGTTCGAAAGACGCGTTTTTGGTTCTAACTCGAAACCATCCTTCTCTAGACTCGCTTGGCTCTTTCCTTAGCGAACGAAAAGCTATCTTCCTGGCTCGAAAGAGGGCTCGATCCTTCATAATGTTGATTAATTCTACAATAGGGATTGGAATAGACAGTCGGAAGAACGTAGTCGACGAAGAAGACGGCACCATCCCACTTTGAAAGTGTACCTTTCATGATACGATACTATTATTTTGTGTTTTTGTACTCGATCGAACCGAAGGACGAGAATTAATTAATTAGTAATGTATGTATGTGTGTATAGAGGATTTTAACGTGACGGTAAAAATAGATCTACGGGTGCAAACACGTGCAATCGTGACAAAATAACATAATAAATACGATGATTTAACAAGCGCAACATGTACAACAGGCGAACAAAAATTAAACGAAATACAGTGAATCAGAGAATTATTCGCATAAGATAATCAAGGATCATTTTTATTTAAAAATTATATAATAAATTTGTAAGTTGCGATTCTAAATAAATAGTATCTGATTCGTAAAATAGATCAACCCTTTAGTGCACTGTATTCTAAATACACTACATAAGATAATATGTACAAATCTCTCACGTATTATATAAAAAAGATAATATATAAAAATCTGAGTGCATGATTAGAGCTGCATCTTCGTTGAGTCACCCAGCAACCACCATTCGAGGGTTAATTTCAACAAATTTTTAAAAACTTGCAAGCTTAATTTTACAAATTGCAAATAATTTTCTAACTCGCTGTAGATAGAAACAGTAGTGTACAAGAAAAAAAGCAGAGAAAGAGAGAGAGAGAGAGAGAGAGAGAGAGAGAGAGAGAGAGAGAGAGAGAGAAGAAAAAGAGAATCAAACGTCGATAATTATCGTTTAATTAATTAGCATAAAAAACTTGAGATCATTTTCTTGTGTCTATATATATATAATATATATGTACGTGTGTGTCACGTGTATCTATGGCGAACCACCGCAATAGTTTGTTTCTTTAAAAACGCGGTTGTCTCGTCTCGAGATTGTGCATGATGACCTGTACAAAAACAGAATCGATTCGAAACTAACGCTGCTCAAAAGGTGGTTGGATGGATGAAAAGGTGGAGGGTGTGGGTGAGGAATGGGGGTGTAAAACCTATGGTGTTGATCGAACGGACAATTTGGTCGATTGGGTGGATGGATGCGACAAAAAGGGTACGTGTTTAAAAAAAAAATAAAAGGAATGCGCGGATAAAAACCGTGTCTCTGCGTCACTCTAAATACAATGTGATCCAGCTTTGTACAACGTACAAGTTAGCGTTACATGTTTGCCACTCCGTGTAACGTCGCGATAAAAACCTGTCGTCTAGGCTTGGACTAGCTAAATACGAATTATACGTCTCTACCAACAAACACGAAACCGTTTAAAAATATACAATCGGATGCGTTACATTCTTCCTTCGTTTCCATAACATTCTATCCATATTTAGTTCATTGAACTTGTTGTTTCCATCCTCGATCAAAGTTTCTGTCTGATCGGATATATTCTTCTTCTACTTCTTCTTCTTCTTCTTCTTCTTTTTCTTCTTCTTCTTCTTCTTCATTCTTCGTATAAATCCACGTTGATCATTCGTCTCTTGTGTCAGTACGCTCGCAACATCTTATGTGATTCGTGTAAAAGATCGATATAAAAAGGGAAGCCCCGATTAGAATTGAATCCCGTACGACGTTTATATCTCAGCATGCGAACCAGTTTCCACCTATCTTCGATTCGTCTTCGTTACTGTCGTTCCCGTTTCTGTGTAACGTTTATTATACTCCCCGCAAAAACATGAAATAGAAAAATGGCAGTGCAAACGTGTTTTCCTCGTTTCGTCGGTAAACAACCTCTACTCATCTAGGACGATGATGATAATTAGAATAGAAAGCCCCTCGTGATGACGGTTTGTCGTTTCTTCTTTTTTTTCTTTATTATTACTATGATTATTTTCATTTGGTCTTTGATCCCCTTGATAGTTTCTGTCGTCTTTTCTCTCTGTTCCTCGCGATTCGTTTCGCGTTCATCGAGAACATGGTCTGCGTATCAGCCTGACGAGATAGCTCGGTCGACTCTTGGCACGGTTCTTGGTCATCGATCTGAACCGTAGCCCCCGACGGTTACTCATCCAATGGCTCCTCCTTCTTGATACGGGCCGGTTATCATGCACGGATGCATGGGGAAGAGCGTGGTCCAAGTCATGGTGGTGTAAGTCGGTGATCTCATCATGAACTGAGAGCTTGGAACAGGAGGTATGTAAGGAAGCGGTATGGATTTTTCGTTGATGATTGCGCTGGCAGGACTGGTCGGAGTCGATGGCGTGGACAATGACTGCGATGTGGTCGACGAAGTGGTGATGGCGGTCGTGCCGGTGGTGCTGGTTACGCCTAATTTTCTTAGTCGCATCTTTTCCTCCCACTCGTCCCAACCGTGCCTCGGTCTGTTGAGGTTACGGTGCTGATAGAAGACCAGGCTGATCCTGGTCGGATTGAGACGATTCGGCTTCTTCAGGGCCGTGGTGGAGTGCATCTCGTGTTTCGCACACTCGAAGAGTACGCTACCATGACCCAGCGCTATCGCCACTCCTCCCATCTGCGAGTCCTTGAAGCATTCCTCGTTGTCCGAGTAGTCTGCCACCTCCCCGAGTGGTTCTGCTTTCGGCGGTGGTTCTGGTAGCACCGGGAAATACGGTGGTGGTCCGTAAATGTCCCACCTGGGTGTCTCCCACCTGGCCCAACCAGGATTTAAACCCTGATAGGGAGGTACACCTTGATAAGGATACTGTGGCGATGGGACAAAGGCTTCTCTCTTTGGTTGTTGGTAAAACTGTGGTGGATACTCTGGTGTTTGAGGATGATACGGAGTCTGATGATAATTGTAACCTTCCCACGAATTAGAATAAGGTTTTTCGAATACTGGATACGTTGGATATGGTCCGTACTGGGGGAAGGAAGCGTGAGGATGTCCCAAGGCTGGCACTGGATGGAAGTCTTGCACTTGCTTCATTTCTTCTGGCCATGGGAAACAGTTAGAGTTTGGATTCGCTACATTCTGTCTGTTATCGTGGAATCCTTCCTTTATCTTGTTCTCCTCCGGCCATTCTGGTTTCCGTTGATTACTCTGATGCATCGTTCCGATACTTTGCACTCCATTGCTCAGACTGTCCGCGTAAACGGCGGTTCGCATCGGTTCTTGAGGTTTCAGAAACGTCCTATTGGAAGAATTTTGATATGTATTGTCTGCATTCGGATTCTGGCTCGACGCTGTCCTCGAAGGTGGTCTTCCTTTTGGCACTCGGAAGGGAGAAGGATCCGGAGGTGCTTCCCAACAGGGTGGCTTCGGCTGATCCGGATGTGGTATTCTATCGTTCCAGTTCAGAGTTTTCTGATGATCTACAGGTTGTTGATGAGTTCTTTCGGAAGCAATTTGATCGTTGTACATTATTTGTTGATTGTAAGGTTTAGATTGATCAGGGTACCAGGAGCCGAGCATGTTCCAACCACCCGCTTGATCAGAGGGAGCTGGCGACATGTGATTCACTCCAGGCATCCTCTGTTCCGGTACTTTCTGCGTTTTATATCTCCTTTGATCAACCGGGCTATAATTCTGAGCACCGTTTTGCTGATTATTCGGTGGAAGATGCGACGAGCTGTGAAGCAACAGATCCGGATTCGTAGCACCGAATGCTTTATGACTAGCGTTGTCCATGCAGGGAGATACCGCCGAGAGCCCCGGGTACACGTCCATGTTTGAATCGTGTTGATTCTGATAAGGATGGTTTCTGACCGACTGGACAGGATGCGACGGGTAGTGACCTTGTATTCTACCGGTGAACGACTGTTCGGTCTGCGACTTTTGAGCCTCTAAGTAGTTCTGCGTCATATGGTACTTTTGCTGACTAGAATCATGCGCAGGTTTCGAGAAGGGGAATTTCGACTGTTCGCAACTCTGCCGAAGAGCGTTGATGTGCTGCGGGTGGTTACGGCCGAGAGCGCTTCTTTGATCCAAATGAGGCGGGAAATTTGTACAGCCTGTCTTTGGAGATGCACTACCCTGCCTGTTGTCGTACACGTTATAATTTCTGGATGTGGGCACGTGGGTGTAACCGGTGTCAGGATACCCTGAGCTCCTTGGCGAAGCCATCTTCTGATCGTGTGGCGTGGGAGGACAACCTCTGGGAGACATCGAATAACAAACGTCCCCGGGTGTACCTGCGTGAGAACTCCTTGGTGAAATTGGATGAGTTCTTGGCGAATGAGGATAACAATTCCTTGGCGAGTCTATGGTGGAATTAGGTAAATTTCGTGAGCCTGGCCGATGGTCGTCCTGAGAAACGGCGCTCCTAGGCCTTGTATCATCCAGACTGGTACTGTCTGGATCAACTTTAGCTTCCCTGTCCAAACCACCGAAAGAATACTCTCCCCATGGATTCAGCCAGTTGTTCTTTCGTTGATCGAGCCAACCGTTTCTACCCCACTGTTGTTCGTTCTGATAACCCCAACCTTGATACATGGACACCGGACTGTCAAGAACGGTAGAGGATACCTGAGAGCTCTGCAACTGCGCGTCCATCCCTTCGAACATCGACGCCATTTCCAGGGAGAGCTGTGTATCCCTCATTTGCGGTTTCGCTGCCTCTTGGTGACCCGGTACACGACCTTGCTCGTTCATTTTCTCCCCTGTATTCTTTGAACCGTCTTTTTTGTTGCTCACCGTGTCCGGTTCGTCTTCCTTTCTCTTTTTACCGTGTCGCCTACAGGGCTGCAGCGGAACCGATCGAACTCTGACCTCGCAGGGATACCTGGATCAAACGATACCCCCATTGTTATTATATCTTAACAATAAATTTCATTTAAACAATAAAAATGTTTCTTACTTTGTTAATACTTCTACAGATCCATCCCGAACCTTCTCGTCCTGTCCCTCTTTCGACCCATACTCGTCCGTAGTGTCCATGATGTAAAGCGGAAGTACGTGTAACTGTTCGTCTTCAGGTTTTGATAAAGTGCGATGTTTCGTCAAGGTAACCACCTATAAAGCAACCAAGAGCTACGCGTCAGTTGAATTTCATTAAAAACACGGTTGCTTATTAAAAATATACAGACTCTTGAGTATACTCACCACGGTACATCCATTGTTCATGTTGTGCAGATCACGATGCGAGTGCGCGCAAAAGTCAATGCAAGCCGTGACACCGGAAAATGGTCGGCCAGGTTTGAATCCTAAACGGCACTCGCTCGCTTCCCGTTCGAATTGCGTCTGATTGTTGAATGCTTCCGGTGCAAGGCTGAGATACAGAGGCGACAGAAGCGTAGCTAGGACGTGCATTCTTTCTTCGACTTCTTGCTCCTGTAAACAACATTGCATCGTTATCATTAATACTAGTTTATCGTTAAGAAGATAACGATAGCTTACCTCTGATCGTACTGATAGTCGGAATTTACGGACGGTTTTACTTCTGGCGTATTTGCAACCATTATAATACATGGACCAGGAACATCCAAAGGAAAAGCTTGCACCGCAAGTATCAGGATCGAGGCCTTGACAGGCGCAGGTTCTCGGTTCGTTCGTTCCACATCTTCTGGTCGTTGGAAGACCAAATCGATTCAATTTATGGCTCAGGAGGGAATATATCCGATCGGCTTCATGGGTTGGTACACCTTCCCAGGCTACCATCGCCACGACGATCCAAGCTGTAGGACACTTGTGTCCTTGCCGGTGTTTCACTATGGTCAAGATCTTCTCGTCCAGACCGGATCGTCGGAGTATCTATCGAATCACTGATATTTATAATCCTATCACCAAAAGTGGAACAAATAAAATATCACAACAATTCAAAATGATCGATTGCAACGTAGGGATGATTTGAATAAGACAGCGTCTCGTTATGATAACGAAGAAAAATAATTAAAGGGTGGGTTTAGACTTTCAGATAGATTGTGTAATTTATATATATTAATAATGCTTACCCACTTGGCCATCGGACATCCCTGAGTCGTCTTTCCCTCCTTTCCAGTGTAGATGACCTTTTCGAATCTTATGGCGTTTCCCTTAAGGCCGGTTCTTCTTTCAAGGTCGTTCCGTAGGTCAGGCAGGCTTGCAGCCGCCCCGAGATGAGTGTAGTACGAGCCGGGTTCTGGTGGACCTTGTAGTTGAACCTCATTTTACTTACGAAACTGGACGTTTCAACGGAAAGGAAGCAACAGAAGCGGAAACATTTATGCCACGTATGTAGGTATACCCCCTGGGAAAGGGGTGTAAGTTAGGTACACGTGCATTCCTCTTTGGGTCACTGAATCAAGGCGCATAATCGGTGTATTGTCGGCCGTAATATTAGTAGTAGTAGTAGAAGAAGTAGTAGTAATAGTAGTAGTACAGTTTTATTTATTTGTTTATCTGTTTTTCTTTACTTTTTTACTTTCGTGTAACAAATAAATCGTGGTTAGTGTGTTCTCTCAATGTTAGTGTCGTGCTGAATACTCAATAGCAACTCACATTTGTCGGCGGGGAAGCAGTTGCAGTCCGGCACTTCGGTCCTGACATTGTTCTTCAGTTTGTCCAAGTGATCTTGCAATTTAGTCGTTGCCGATGGCACGCTACCGCTTCTAGGACTCTGTGGACCTTCGTTCTTTACGTCGGACTTGTCCGCTGAGTCGGCTAGTATCTCGTCCCTTGTTTGCAGACCTTGACAACAACCGTCTCGTAGATGTTCTGGTGTCGGTTGTTCGGTACCGCCTCTGCGACAACACCAAGAACCGGTGCCTGCTGTTACTTTGGCAGGACCACCGTCTCCACGGAACATGTAATCGGAGTTTTCCTGAGATCTTTGATCCGGCTCGCTTTTGATCTCCTTCGTTGTACAGCTTTCGCTTTTGGACGAGGCTGCCGGGGATGAAACGCAGTCGGAACTGGAACAACCGTATTCGCCGACGTTTTCCTGCTTGATGATCTGCGAGGAATCGCAGTTCGTCCCCGTGGACGTTGTCTTGTCGGTGCTCTCCACGTACGGTCTGTCTTCCTCGTTGATCAACGACACCTGTGTCGTTTCCGGGAAACCGAGACTGTTCTCACACTTCTCGCTGTTGTCCGCGTTGTTTTCACACTGCTCGAAAACTTTGTCGTTGTTGGTCTGATCTAAGCACAAACTTCTTTGAAACGATTTGTCGTCGATGGTCTGATTGTCGTTGCTCTTCATCTCCTCTTTCCATAAATGCTGTTGTTCTTGATGTTCCTCTTGTTGTTTCTCACAGGGTTTCTCTAGTACGGTTTTGTTCTCCGAGCCGAACTTCATGAAACTCTCGATGACCGTCATACCGTTCTCAGACAGTACACTGCCGTTGTTTCCTCCTCCTGACCACTCCCATAAGCCACCACCGTCGGGCAAACTATCGGCCCGAGGGTGGTGGCTATGCAATAAAAAATTACCGGTCAAAGATTCGTTCGACTGCGTCATCGAGATCATGTTCGACTGGCTTAAATACTGTTCATTTTGTTGTTTCTCCTGCATTTTGTCCGAGTTTTCGTGCGAGTCTCGCATCCGATCTTCGCTGTGATAATCCCGATTCGTTCCACTATTACTATTCACGTGATGAGATTGCATCTGATGGTGCATATTGTGATGTTGTTGTTGCTGTTGTTGTTCCTGATGGCTCATCTGATGTGCAGCCTGCTGTTGAGCTTGCTGTTGAGCTTGCTGTTGAGCCTGCTGTTGAGCCTGCTGTTGAGCTTGCTGTTGAGCTTGCTGTTGAGCCTGCTGCTGAGCCTGCTGCTGAGCCTGCTGTTGAGCTTGCTGCTGCTGCTGCTGTTGAAGGTGTTGATGTTGCAACTGTTGCTGCTGCTGCTGTTGTTGTTTATTCAGGATCATAGATTTCAGTCGACTGTTCAAATTAACACGATTAGATTGAGCAAATACGTTACTCTCCTGAGCATCTTGGTTATCCGAGAACCCGTTTGGTTTACCGGTGTCCGTTGTTTGTTGCTGCCAAAGCACTCTTTCCCCGGAGTTCTGCATATCTTGCTTGGTTGTCTGTTGGCCCCAGGTAGGTTGATTCTCGGCCACCGAACTAGGCGACCAGGACATCTGGTTGTCCATTTTGTTCTCTTGTGGCTGAGGCTGCCACGCGGCCGGTTGATGACCGGGCGTTCTCCTCGGACTAGGCTGTGAGTCTGGCCATTGTTGTTGCGGTTGTTGACTACCGTCGCTTTTCATACTATTCGGCGACCAATTCGATTGACTAGTTGGCGTGTCTGGCCAGGACATTTGATTAGACGGTGTGAGTCTAGGATTCTTTTCTATCTTCGTCTGCTGCGACCACTGTTGCTGCTGTTGCTGCTGCGTTTGCTGTTGTTGTTGCTGCGGCGTTAACCTCGGATTCGATTGATTAGAGTTCTGTTGTGCCTGCATCTCTGGACTACTCTGTTGCCAACTGTGTTGTTGGCCGGAAGGCGTCATTCTGGCGTTCTGGTGAGACGGATTCTGTTGATGGTCCGACAACTTCGGAGAATGCTGTAGCCACCCTTGGTGCTGAGGCTGTTGTTGACTAGAGGGTGTCAATCTTGGATTCTGCGTGTCCCTCAGCTTCGGACTTTGTCGAGACCAATTTCCCTGAGTTTGTTGCTGTTGATTATCTGTATTGTCTGTCCACGATTGCGGTGTATGCGGAGTCTCCTTCACGCTACCATTTTCCCAGCTCATGTGACTGGCTGGCCTGGGTAATTCTTGTTGCCCCTGCATCTGCATGCTCTGTTGCTGTTGCTGTTCTTGCTGTTTCATACTGTTACTCTGCATACTCGATTGTTGCTGTTGCTGTTGAGATTTCTGTTGTTGGTGCTGTTGTTGCTGTTGCTGCAACGTTCCATCCGACCAATTCATACTGTTGCTTACGTTGTTCATCTTTGCACCGGTACTAGTGTCGGACCATATGTGTCGTTGTCCAGCATCGGACACCGAATGCTGCCGTTGCATGTGTTGGTGTTGCTGTTGTTGTTGCTGCTGATGCGACTGCTGTTGAGCCACCTGGGGCTGCCATTGGTTCTGTACTTGTTGCTGACCCATTTCCACGTAGCCTGGATATCCGTTAGAGTTGTGTAAACTCTGAGGGCCCGGTTGAAGTGGATACCCAGGCATCTCGTTTCCCGACACGTTGCTGGCTGCGATCGTCGCGAATCCTTTCACCTGAGTGTCGGTCTGCTGTTGCTGGGGTTGCGACGGTGCCTGCTGGGATGCTTGTTGTTGTTGCTGGTTATCCATGTGCACCGAGCTACTACGACTCGTGGGGGTGGTTGAAGGCGGTGGTGCCATCGTCACGTCCTGCAAAAGACATCATTCCATCTGTAATTTAAAATTGTTCCAGGTTACACGGCATCGTCTGATCGGCGTACGAACGTGTTTCTTCGCTAGACATAAGGAGAAATTCGCAACTTAACCATCGGTTCTTTAAACGATTTCATGTAAATTTATAATGATCGATGGTCAGGTTCCAATTTCTCCTTGTCGGTAGGAAAAATAGTATCCTTGAACCATTGTCCCTCGACTATAATTAATTTATCTAGGTCATCTTCGTCTCCCTAAATTTCGTCTCTCGAATAACTACCGCCTACTATATCGTCTGTAGATATAAATAAACGTTTCAAATGTTTCAATTCAATATCCGTTCGAGTTGAAATACATTTAACGTTCACTTTGGGGAGAGAGTGATTTCGCGAAGACACATTTAATTAAAAACGATTCATTTCTAATTGTACCTGTTGTTGGTAACCATTGACGTAATCCTGCCTTTCATAACCAACTGATTGGGTCGCAGTAGCAGCGGGATCCATGAATTGACCGTTTAGTGGCCTCTGAGCTGTCGATGGTACCGTTTGCGGGGCGACTGGTGGCAAGGGCGAGGGCTGCCCCGTGATTGTGTATTGTCCTGTCGCTCCGGCTCGTTGAAATGCCGACTGATCCGTAGTAATGAAAGTCTGCTGCTGATATGCGACTGTAATCAGAAAATTCGCGAACTGATTCCAACGGGAACGCATCGCAAATCCGCGGGACAAAGACCTGCAGTTGCAGGCTTTGCATTCTGCGGTCGTTTCACAGTGAAAAATGTAAAACCGTTCATTCGTATCGCGATTGTTGAAAATGAATTTGAAACGCGACCTTTTTTAAAAATTTCTATAAAGAGCGAATTAACTAATCGATGGATTCTTCAATTACCTGGTTGTGGGTGGTATGGAGCGGCAGCGGTGTACTGAGTATGATACCTCAGCTCTTCGAGCTGATTCGGAGCAGGAATTTGTTGAATGAACTGCTGAGGTGGCCATGGTGCTGCTGACGTTTCAACCGCAACTGTTCCCACGGGAGTAACTCCCTGGTGCCAAACAGTATTCCCAAAACCGGCTGCTGGCCGGAAGCCGGCACCAGAATCGCCGTAGAACGGCATCACTCCGGGTGACTGTACGGAAACATAGAACTTAACATTAATTTAATAAAAACCTTAACATTCTTAACACTTCGACTAATTGCATTTTTATAATACTCTTCACACTTTCAATTAGAAACGTCTCAAGTTTAATTCTGAATACCGCGGTAATTATATAAGATTCTTAGACAGCACAGATGAAACGTTTCTTTCAACTCACGCTATTTCAAGACACTCTAACGTAAAATGAAAACCGTCTTTTCATTCTCACCAATGTGAAGTATTTTAGAATTCTCATAGGTACTAATTAAAACATCAAATCCCTTTGGAAATATTTCTATTTCTATTGACTATTCGTTTTTCTTTTCTTTGTAAGAACACCGCCTCTGAAGATTAACAATTAACACGTTGAATACCATGGAGGCAATCAGTATGAGACCGGTACCAGAAATTTAATGCAATATAAATTCTAAGTGAAATTATCCAATTTCTGAAACAGCCTGTATGCCAAGAAGAGGGAAAGATATTCTCGACGACCCAGACATCTTGAATACTTTGGTTCTACGGGTGATAAGTGGCCAAGAAATATCGAAAGAGGAAAGAAAAAGAGGCATAGACGTCGCAAAGAAATTCCTGAAGTCCGCGAGGAGACATCTTTTATTTAAACGCGTTGGACTTTGAAAAATCGATCGTTCAAAGGAAGACAAGCGAATACAACTCGACAGGGGAGAAAGTGAAATAGAATGACACAAAGCTCGGTTGGAGGTGTATGGAGGATGAGCAAACTGATCGTTCGTGTTCGTTGCTTTCGTTTTGTACGAAGTTTTATAGTCTGGTTGCCAGTTCTTTCCTTCCTTCCTCTTACCCTTCCTATCATTCTATCCCCGTCTTCCTCCCTCTTTTTAACCCAATCTATTCGTGGCTCTCTCCTGTATCGTCTCTCTTTCTCCCTCCCACGATACGTCCCTTGGAATGGTTATTTTCCGTCTTCCTCTCTCCGTGAACCTTCCACTCGAAACCACACAACCGACCACACGCGGATCGAAACTCCGCGTGTCTTGCTCTCTCCGAGCGGTCGCGAGCGGAAGGTAGCGATGGGCTTAACCCTTTCATGGGCGAACTTTAATAATGAAAGTTTTTTATAGGAATTTTTATCCTATGGCGATAAATCGACGTCAAAATGTGTAAGAAACACCTTTAGCTACGCGAAACCTTCGAAATATTCTTATGAAATTCAGAAAATTTAATGGACAGTGAAATATAACGGGTTATCGTTAAATGTGTTTCACGTATCTCGCCTATTTCCCGAGGATTTCTGTTTATCTGCTGTTGCAATGTGCACAGCACCGAACCGTTTTGCGGGTTATTACCCTTGTTGCGCGGTACAGTTCAATTAAGTGAGTTACGATGGTAATTCCATCGGCTATGACCAAGGAAGTGAAATTTCCTCGGAATATTCGGCCTGGAAATTCGAACGAGCTCGATATTGAGGTACTAGATCGAACAGCAATTTTCGAAAATCTAATCAAGAATTTAGGGCAAAAATAAAGTCGTGGTAAATTTCATTTTATCCGATAGAGAAATCGGTCAAAATTTTTCATCGTCACCACAGAATTGACCCTTTAAACCATTCACCCCGAGGTGCACCCTCTTCACGGGGGCGTTGAATCGCAGCAGCAGGAACGTGTAATGTTCCGTGAATCATCGAGAGAAGCCCAGGAACCAGTCACCGAGGCTCTGGTATACAGAGGCAAGGTGGAAAAACGAAGGAAAGAAAAGAAAGGAGCCGGAACGACGACGGAAGGGGTCGAGGTCAATGAACAGAGAGACCTGAACGTTAAGTTCCTTCGAGACCAGAGAGGGTCGAGAGAAGCCCGAACGGGACGAACGTACACACGGAGAAAGGAAGGAAGAACGAGCGGGAAGCGAAGGTGGAGTCTCCTGGAGGGTTATGTTTGGGTGCTGTCGCGGCACATCCCGTTTTATCACGCCTCGGGTTTACGTTGCCCTAGGTCACGATGTCAAGAGAACGGTAGGATTTTCCCCCTGAGAGCACACCACGAGCGAGACTCACTTTGGATAGAGAGAGATAGAGATTGATGGTAGAAGAGGAAAGGAGGAAAACACGAAGGAGAAGTCGAGGTAGGAGGTAGAGCTCTGAGGGATCGCTGACTCGGTTGGCGAGACGCCCGGCCTGGGTCTTCGATGCTATCAACCTCGACCACAAACACCGATTCACGGCCACTTTGGGGGTTACCCGCAGTTTCTCCATTCGCCAACACCTCTCTTGCTCTATGGATCACTACACACGACCCAATTCTTTTTTACCTCCTTTCGATATTTCATTGAACCCCTCCAAATGGGTATTTTTCTATCTTTCGACTTCCTTTTGTCGATGAATTTGGAAAAATTCAGTCTCGAAATTACCTCTTGCCAATCAATCTCATCGTCGGAGAAAAGGTGGTTGTTCTAAAGGCAATGAAGATGTTCCCTAACAATACAACACGTGCATACAACGAGCACGTTCACCGCCCCTCTAAGACACCGCATAATTTAAACCCCCATTATAGCTTCTACTTCGGAGGCGCGAGCAGCAACAACGCCTCCTTTATTCACGTCAAAACGTCGGGGATCGTGTTTTACACGCATCCTTCTCTCGGGCTACCACTTCATGAATCAAGCAAATAAAAGCCTTTCAAACAGAAGAATACACCGGCTAGTGTTTTTCTTCGCAACCAGCAATAAAAAGCAATGAAATCAAATTTCAACCGATGATTTTATTAGATCGAACGGTGGTTTTCTCGAGAAAAATTGATTCACAGATCCTTCTTTATGCACGTATGTCCCTGATCACGAGAAACCGATCGAAGTATCAGAGTCCGTGGTCGTCGTTCCCGTAACCGTGGCCCGATACATAAATAGCCCGATAAAAGCTGTTTTACTGCGCAAACGATTCCGTTTTATCGGTTTTCACGACGGTCCACGATCGAACGAGAGAAAAAAAAAAAGGCGAGTGTAGATACAACGTTTCACGCCGCTATCTGGCTGTTAGCTGAAACAGAGAGGGTGAGAGCGAGGGTGGAATCGGGGACATCGCGTTTGATAAATGAATTTTCGCTGCGAAACAAGCTACGCGGATACGCGTAACCATCAGCGATGTTCGAACGTGCGATCATCCGCTCACGGTGAACGCTTAATGAAATAAACGTATCGATGCGGGACTGATTGCTGTGGCTAATTCGTCGATAAATTTGCAGCCCCTCTTGTTTCAATCGAATCGAGAACGAGAGAGACGGGGATAGAGGAGCGGACAGAGAACGGCGAAATTAATTTCTGGCTGGATTTTCAAAGCGGTTTAAATTCGGTCGATTGTCGGATTCGCTTCCGTGTTTCAGCAATTCCGAGCATACGTCTACGGGTAATCGAATAGCAGGCCGATTCTAGTGATCCTCTCTGATCGATGATGATGCGATACAAAGGATGCTCTTTTTACGGATCTGTACCGATTTTCTCGAAGAATTTTTCTCTTCTGTTACGGTTTAGCGTAACGAGTTCTCAGGAATTCTGAACCGAAGGAATTTATACGCGTCCTTAAATCGAGGTTGCGAAAAAGAATCGGTAAACAGGGGGACAGAAACTGGTAGCTGTTTTATCTACATCTTACCCGGCGAATATATTCACGATCGGTCGCTTTCGGTGCAAACAATGCGTCTGAAACGAAAAAAGAAATATCGTGGAACAAAGCCGCAACTTGCGCCTTCCACGTTGTTTCTCTCGGGAACGAAAGGGTTGTTTCCCAGGCTTACACTCTGGGGGTGAGATCGAGATAAAATTCTATTGAATAATATATAATGTTAATTCATCAATCGTTATAGAAATGTTTCCGAGTTTCATGTACATATCTCTCGAGTTTTGTTTAAATAAAAAATTATCAATGTTTTCGTGGCCAGGGTCAGTCACTTTTCTACGAAGCGTATACGTTTAGAGAACTCTGCACTCAGATTTCAAACCTCTGACTCACTAATAACTCTATCTATATTCTTGAAGATACTGTTATTTTTAAAACGGCTCGTAAATTTTGTTCGTTTCATTCTTAATTCACAAACGACACCATTATGAATCACTTTTATAGTTGATTGGTGTTTTCAAAAAATTGATAAACATCACTTTACACTTCAATAAATTCTCCACGGCTAAAACGGCACTTTCCAAAGTCTATAACACTAGGTTCACAGTACTTTAGTGTGTCCGTTTGGTACGGTGGTGAACGGAGCGGACACACGCGTTTCCGCGGCATAGAAAACCGCACGTGCTTCGTGGTCGGACGCAATTCGTACACGGCCAACGAGCATGGCTCGCGTTTCGCGGTTTCGGTTTACTGCATAATTGCGTGGCCTGTAACGTTGATTCCTTTATCGGCGACGATATTGCCAATTACCGTGTCGCGGGGCTGACCGCGTTTACGCGCGCAGATAGCCGCGTTTAACGCGGGGAAACGCACGATTAACGCGGCACGACTGTATGCGCCAATTTACAATGAAAACAACCGCTTAAACGTGTACCAGATTTTTATCAAATTTCTTTCTTTATTATTTTTATGAATAATTACCAGGCCTCGTACATTTTGCATATTTTTAAAATTCTGAATAATTTAATAATTAAGAGAAGTTCAGCATAATACATCAAAATATGTAAAACGTATGCAAATTAAAATTTTATAAATATCCTGGAAGTAATAATTTCTATCGACCATGAAAAGCGTCAGCTCAGAGGGGTTGAATTAAAAAAAAAAAAAAAAAAAGAATCAACGAATGAAAGAAAACTGAGTGTAGAGTTGAAACAAAAATTCAAGGACGATCTTAAGGGTTGTTAATCGTGAAGAATACTAAACAGAATAATAGAAGAGGAAAGACGTGAGCAAAAGAGCGTTGCTCTTACCCCTGGTTGTATGTCGATCCTACAGTTGGCTGGTGGTCGCGTTTTCGCGGTTTTTTCCCTCGTGACAAGGGCTGCGAGGAGATCGTCCGCCGAAATAACAGCATAACGTCGGGGCAAGGGTAGACTACCGGCAGACAGCGACTATGGGGGCGGTGACCGCCCGCCAACGCGAATCAATACCCGCAGGAACAGGAACCACCGACCGACCTGGCAAGAGGGAGAAGGAGAGACAGGGATAGACGGAGAGAGATGGGTAGAAGGTCCCAGAGGTAGCGAGCGAGAACGAAAGAGGGGAAGGAAAAGCGAGCAGTATCAAGAGGAGCAAGAGGTGGCGGCAGAGGCGGAGAATGACGGGCGGAGAGGAACAAGGGTGGCAACGAGGGGTTGAAAACGGCACGGAGTAAGTGCCGATACCTGTCTACGTTTCGCGATTCCTTCTGCGGGTGCGCCATCATTCTGCTTCTTTTTTTTTTTCTCTCTTTCCTTCTCTATCTCGACTTGCCCGTTCAGAAGCCACGGAGATTGAGTGGAACTTCAAAGACGTTTTACCATACACCTCGATGAGAGACGTTTTGAGCTGGCAGACACGAGCAGCGGAAAGAATTGGCTGAGGATTCTTTCTAGATGAACGGATACTAGATTTGGAGGAAGTAGCAATTGATGGAGATTAGCCTTTTGAAGGGGTCTGAACTTTAAATGTGAATTAGGTATTAGGATTGATGAAGAGTTATTGAAGGTTAGTGTTTAGAATAGTTGGATGGTCATTCAAGTTTCTATATAGTTCTCTTCAAGATAAAGGATTTTTGGAAGTTGTCATTAGAATGTCTTCCGAAGAGATGAAAAATAAGAAAAACCAAAGTCATTACACCTTCGAATACCGGCAAACGTCCTGTTTTAAGGGTACACCCATAAACACGGAGGTCGACAGTAATGGGGCAGTAAATTTTATCGGCTTGCTGGCCCGTTCAGGGTACGTAGGGTTGTCAGGGTTCAACGGGACGACCTTGGTGGTAACCGATAACCGGACAAGTCGCAGACGGGCTGGAACCTCGTCAGACACCGGTGGTCGGAGTTTAACACGCGTAGTTTTACACACGGATTATCCTCACACGTGTTCAACTTGCCACCGTTGAAAACACGCGGCGTGCTCGCAGACTGGTTTGCCCAGTAACCTCGCGTCGGCCAAGAGGATCGAGATACACGTTTGAAACGAACGCGAAGAACCACATTCCTACCGCCTTTTCTGCTCCTCTTCGCTCGACTTTCCTCTTCCTCTTGGCTCGTTGAAAGCGAGAGGAACGTCTGGGATCAAGACGTCTTCGCGGTTGACCGGTTGCGCGTTTCCTTTTTGCTCCGGAAAGGATTGAATGTCGCTGGATCATCGTCTAACCAGGCTACTTCCTGACACAATTTTCAGGATTTCATCCTCAACTAATTTGTAATTTCACAACGGAGCACTCAACCCTTTAGTGTTAAAGATTTTTGAATAAACACAGAACGGAAGGAGCAAGTGTATCCCCTTGGAGGATGAAGACAGATTGAAGTAACGAACCGCGATGGTCTAGGTCTAGGTCAAGGTCCGGTTTCACCAATGGCATACACGAAATGCACGAAGGGGTCAGGGTACTGTTTATTCCCTGAAGTGTGCTACGTGTTCTGTATCGATACACTAGACCGGATTACCAGCGAGGAACGGCTAAGTAGCTTGGGATCGATACGATCCTCAGGGACCAAGATTTAACTGCTAACTCTCTAAAGGATTTTCAACGAGAAACATGACTCTTCTACGTTACTATGCGAAAAGAAACGGACGTCTGAACTTATAAAATTACCGGTAGATTAAAAAATTTGCTAGTTTGATACGTAAGTTGTAGCATAGAAATGTACTCACCATAGAAACGACAGGAGGCGGAGGATTTCCGTTTCTAAGTGCACCGGTTTGCTGGTTCGCCGCGGGATTCAGATTGTCCTTGGATTGCTGCATGGGATCCGGCTGATGTAGCGTTTGTTGCGTTTGCTGTTGCGGTTGTTGCTGATGTTGTTGTAGCCCACCGATGCCAGCCTGTGGACTGCCTAAGCCTGCAGGTGCGCTGTCCGGTGTGCTGACTTGCCGTGCGATCTTTCGATAACTCTGTAACAGAAACGTTAATCTACCATCAGAAATGAACCAACCAGTCTCGTTTGCGTGGACGAGAAATTTACATTCAACCAACAGTGAATGTTATACGTGTACCAACAGTTGCGTCATTCTCAATCGTGTCGGGTATCTTTCACTTTTCATCTATAGCAGAATTTTCATTATAAAAAGTATGGGATAAAATTGGAAACGTAAGAGTAAGTTTCCGAAGAAGGTTGAATGACACGCGATAGAACAGTGAACTGTTCATCTTCAGAAGGAAAATGTCCCCCAGTGGATCACCCACGCATGTCGAGGGGAGTACGCGTCACGACAAAGAGGAGAATCTCTTTTGAAACGAAGGAAGGAAAGCAGGAATGAAGGAAGGAAGGAAGGAAGGAAGGAAGGAAGGAAGGAAGGAAGGATGGATGGTTTCTGATACGATGGCCGGTTGTACGCCGGTGTGACCCCAATGCTAAAAATACCAAGGTGGCCTAAGTAGGCCGAGCCAGCTGAAACGGTTTCCATAGTTCAACAAGCGTCGTTGGCCGACAGTATAATCGACTCCTTCCCTCTCCGTGCCACAAACTTGATCAATTATTATGACGTCCCTCGAGCTACGCTATCACGGTGCCGACGTTAAGCATCGCGCGATCAGAATTATCGAAGAACTTGAGGAACACCCGTGCGCTCCAATCTTTGGGTCCTTGGGGTTATATAGGAGAAAGATTATTTAATTACTTTGCTTGATAATATTTCCTAAAAACTTGGGTTTAATTGTTAATACTAATTGCTATTCGATTAGCAATCCGAGTCAGGTCAGTAACCCTGAATCCGGAGCCATTTCTAAGATCTAAAATTTGTCATTCTGATGGGTTTAGTCATCCCACTGGTTGAAGAACCAATCTATAACATGATTTATAGCGGGAGACATTTGAAATGGACGTTGTTAACGACCCTGATCCTTCGCTCGTTATCTTTATTTTTATCAAACACAGCAAATCATCCCTGACAGGGCTGAGAATGTTTTCTAAGAATTTCTTAATTGGAGGAAACGCATTCGGCACCGATGACTCATGGGTTCAATATCCTCGAAGAAGCTGAACGTCTACCTGTTGTTCTAACGACGAATACAACGAGTCACCACTTTGTTATTGAAAATGCATTTGCAGGCTTCGTAAAAGGAAAGAGTTTCGTAATACGATCGACGACGATGTTACAGAATATTACTGATTGTATCGGACGGTGAATTTATTGGGCAAGTCGGCCGGGAAATTTATGCGACGGAATTCAATTTACATTTATGACGGGCTGCGCTCGTCATGGTTGCCGCAACCTGCGGCCAACAGGAATAAACAACAGGCTCTTTATAACCGCGAGGATCGTTACTCGTCAACGAGAAATACCACCCTGACGAACCATGGAAATAATTCACACCTATCGATCGAATTGACTGTTTGCAAGAATTAACAATCGATAAATTGTACAGATAATTGACCGATATCGAGATTTTCAATGTTTTAGGGAAGCTTTTTATCGATTTATAGGATGCAAGATTTATTCAGTCGTTCAAGGTTCGCACGAGAAGTATTAATATCTTGACGGCCGCGTCTTTCATTTAGACCACGTTTTAACACGTCCACTGGTACGGCACAAATATCCACGATATTATAAATTATTTAGGGAAAAGATTAAGATTTAGAATCAAAGAAATATTTAAAGATTCTAAAGTCATTCTCTTCAAGACCTCCCACAAGATTTAACAAAAAGACCTCCCAAATCGCTGAAACCGAAGAGTACTAAAAATGGAATTCAACTTTCTATCTGCATCCTTATCATCGTTCTGAAAACGGTAAACGACCGGAATACCATTTGTCAGCCCTCAAACATGAACTCACCTCCCAAGAAGTTCATTCAGTCTGACGATCGAACAGCTACATGAGTCATTCGAAATGACTGTATATCGAACTGAAAATGCGTTGAACAGCGTGAAACTCTATTACAGAGCACAGCCTTGCTAGGTGGTTTGAAATTACCGGGTCTCAGGATCACGGAGGAGCGTCAATTTACGACGAAGGCTTCAATTTTCTCGCGGGGTATCCGCATTGGAATCGACGTGTGTTACGACGTATCACGTGCGTGCAAGCTTACATACGAGGTGCATTTATAAATAGACAAGGTCTTGGGGCCCACGCTAAGCCCACCGGGAGAATGCATTTGCTTACCGAACGAACGTCTCCTCGTCACCCGCTGAGATATTTTACTTAACTCGCTTCCAGCTAGCACGAGACACGTCGCGTTTCGGATCCCTGGCGGGCAAAAGCAACACGTGCTCCGAGAAATTTCACTTTTTGTCGAGAACCACGCCTGCAATGGAACAACGTTTCAACGGTTACGAGAGACGGAAACGTGACTTGCACGGCTAGGGAAAAATCAGTCGAGGAAACACGTTCGCGTCTCGATCGAACCTCGATCCACTGAAATGAAAGGGGGAAAATATTGATGATCTTGTAAAGGTTGTTTCTTTCGAACTACATAGATATGAAGATATAGAAAAATGAAGGATATGTACGATATTATCTGAGACTTGTTGATATACACCCTTATTCTTTAACCCTTTGGAGCCGACACTGATACCCTGGACTAACAGAGGAATTTTCGTATGCTAAGGTCTATTTTAAATAGCCAAGTGAAGTGATGAATTTCAGAAGGTAACCCTTTTGGTGGTATAATTGGAATATTCATTTGTTGAAAATAATCGAGTAGGAACTAATGGAGTTCTAAAGCGTTGAGACGTGCCAAAAGCAGTAGAGCATTCCTACATGGGCTACCTACTCGTCAAGATGATGTATGAAAAGTTCCTAGACGTTTTCGAACGATTCCATGCATGGGAACTGACAGACTCATTGTTGTTCTGACGGCTGGAAATTATACCGAAGGGATGGTTTCAAAGAAGAGAAAAAGAAATTCTTCAATTTCACCTGTTTTACCTGCTTTTCCAGTCGATGGGTCTGGTATTTTGAAGAATGAATAAATAACACGAGTATCGTGTGGATACTTTAACAGGATAATTATTTCACTACATTCTGTAATATAACATCGTTCTAATATTAAATAACCTCGAGTGTGCTGTGTAATTTCACTGATAATAACGAGTTGCACAGGGTAATCTTGGTGATGGGTTTACCAACAGAGTCTGGAAGAAATGTATTTTCAACCTTCTTTCTTTTGCTTTCATCTTACGATCATCTGTAGTTAAGATAGCTTCTTTTTGTGCAAAGAAAAGCTTCTTGAAGCTTTCAAGGTTTCGAGACTTCGCAAATCGTTTATCGGTGTACTTTCCAGACGACATCAAAGTAAATTTGAACTTTGAATTACAAATGAAATGAAAACCTTTCGGTTGAAAATACCGAGTCAGAATTGAAATAGAATTATACTAATTATTAATAAAAGAAGAATGAAGACTTTGAGCAGATAAATTATGATCTTGATATTGCATCGTAAAGCAGCATCATATGAAGACTATAATATTAACCATGTAATTACACTCTATTGTATCCTTTACGACGTAATTGCTTGATGATTTACCGTCTATAATAGAAACAATAAATTTTCTGTTCAGATGAGTGATGCTAGCTTATTCCTTAGAGAGTGACTCATGGAACGTTTGAATCGACAATAACAAGCTAACTATGTTAAATTATTCCAAGATCAAATCTGAGTATTTCTAGCAATCTTGATCATAAATTTTAACTATGCACTCTGGATTTTGGACTTTGGACATTGAACCTTAGATTTTGGATTTATAATGTTAGACTCCTTACCCAAGATCTAGGACTTCAATTTCAGATCCTGCATATTCAAACCTTAAACCTTGAACTTCGAACTTTAAATCCTCGATTCCTTTACCATCAAAAGCCATTCACCTCCAAGAGCCAACAAATGCAAAGTGGCGTATATTACAAGCAGTCATATTTCTCGTCGAGCGTTTCGCATTTTTTTCCCGACCGTCCACCCGTTCGCGGTGCTTATTTACAATTCGCGATTCGCGGTCTCAGCGTAAAAGGAAAAACGAAGGGGGCCACAATAGGGAACGAGGATACAACGCTATCGTATTTTACGCGGCCGCGGGTTTTCATCCTTTTATTCGCCGGTGTCGTGCTTTCACGAGCTTCGAGTGCTTCATCGATCCTCGACGAAAATGAGTTTCGCGATGCCACTAACGACGTCGAGGCTGTTTACGCTCGTAAACCTACGACTAACATCAGCAAGAATCCCCTCGCCACCGATTTTATTGTTCCCCCGGCCGCGTCGTGTGTCATTGAGTACGTCGTTAATTTCGAACAGGCATCTTCCAGCTAGTAATTTGTTTTGATTTTAATCACTCGTCGTTATCGTTCGCCCGTTCGTTCCATGGAAACGATGAAAAGCCTGCGAACACGTACCGACGCTGACACCGTAAATTTTCGGTCCAATTAAAACTTTCTAATTGTAATAATTCGTGTATGAAACGCGAGTAGACGTCTCTGCATTTTCGTCACGCGGGATACATAAATATTTTATTTCTAAAGGATCCTATATGTAATTTTAAATAAAAAAAAAGTATAAAAATCTTTCGTTTGAGAATTTGACTGCTTATATCAGTAGAATTAGATTTCCAATTGATCTCGATCGAACGAAAAAGGGATAGATGAAACTAAAAGGAAGACTCCACTTCAAAGGGTCACATTGACTCTTTTCAAGATGCAAAAACGAGGCAGACCAGGATTCATTTTTATAACGGCGGGCACCAGAAACGCATTTACATCTCTCTGTTCGCGAGCTCATTTTTCCGACTATCTCGTCGGAAATAAATCTGCCCTGAGCCATGGAACAGGCCACAGTTGGTAATAAAGAAAAAAATGGTATGGTGGAAGAGGGAGGGTAAAAACGAGGGAAGGAAAAGAAAAAAAAAAGGAGAGTGAACGACGTCCTCCCTTTATCTGCATCGCGTAGCGAGGCTTTTTAATGACGGG